TAAATTAAATAAATTACTAACTGCTTGTCAACTGCTTGTTATTTTTAAATTATAATAATAATAATTAAAATATATTAATAAATATTAATTCATAGTAAATAAAATTTATTTAATTAATATTTTTATTATTACTTAGTTTAATAAAAAATATATTTCTTAAGTTATAATATATATATATATATATATATATATATATATATATATTACAGGCAATTAGGTATAAAAATGTATATATTTAAAAAAATTTAATTTATTTATATATGTATATATATATTAAATTTAATGTATATAATTTTATATATAATTACTATTATATTATTTATTATTTTTAAAATATAAATAAAAATATTTTAAGTACTTGCTAACTGCTTGCCAAGCACTTATTAATTTAAAATATTTTAAAAATATTAAATATTAAAATAATTATTATAACTGCTTATTAACTGCTTACTAAGTGCTTTATATTTTATTTATTTTTTTATTCTTTAATTAATATAAAATTATTAAAAAAGTACTCCGTAAAATTACATTAACTATACAAGATTAATAATCAAGGTCAGTCGCGCGTTCATTGCTTATTCACCTGGCTTAGCATTTTTCTTGCTTACGTTTTAGGGGTGATGCTCACATGAGCGTTTAAAACGCTCACATGACATATGTCCACGTGACCAACATTGCACTCATGTCCTGACGATGAAGGGGCCTTTCTTGATTGTCCCCGCCTTGAAGATAGTTGCAAGTGCAACCGGTGTGTCAGATCGACCCCGCAATTGGATAATGGAAAAGGGAAGTTCGTATACTGCCGATAAATTTAGCGTTGTTTAAAATGCCAAGGCCATCATTCGTAAGTAATTAATTTATTTAACTTTGTATAATACTTCCTATACATTTTAAAATAAAGGCCTTTTTAACTAATGTTTGCTGCAGTTACCGCGCAGCGATTAGGTAGTAATATAAAAAAGTAAAGTAGCTATGCAGGTACATTATATTATATAGAAGATTACATAGAAATTAATGTATTATATAAAATATTAAGTTTTAAAGGTAAAATAGGGAGAATTAATAAAATACAAAGGGGCGGTTTAACAGGCGCCTAATTAAAAAAGAGTATTTATAGTAATTTAGCAGAATTTAAACTTAGTAAATTTGCTAGAGAAGTTCTAGAGTTAAGTACTACTATATTTAAATATATATTTTATTATTAAATATTAAGTATTTACTAAAATAGTAAATATCTCCCGAACTTTATAAATTTAGATACTAAAAAAACTTATATAAAGTAACCTAATCTTACGCTTTTAATATTTTTACTTTATTTTAATTTTTATCGCGAATTTATGGCGCGAAATGCTTGTAAAGTTAGGAGTATAATTATAAAAAAAAGCGGCACATGTGCTTTGTTTAAACAAAGCTATACTTTATATAAAAAACCCTATATAAACAAAAGCTATAATAAACCAGGCGCGTACTTCTTCACACACCCCAACAAGGTAAGCCCTCCACCTACTAAAAAGCTAAATTTTATATTAATAGGCCTTTAAATAGCTTCATAAATACAGGTACTTTAATTTATATACAATTCTTTATAAAAAACTAGGTACCAGCGCGTTAATAGCCTTGCTAGCGCGTTAACAGCCTTGTTTTTAGCTTAATACCTCGCGGATAAATTAAAAAGCTTCACAAATACAGGTACTTTGATTTGTATGCAATTCTTTATAAAAAACCAGGTACTAGCGTGTTAACAGCCTTGCCAGCGCGTTAATAGCCTTGTTTCTAGCCTAATACCTCGCGGATAGACCAAAAAGCTTTATAAATATAGGTACTTTAATTTATATACAATTTTTTATAAAAAACCAGGTACTAGCGCGTTAATAGCCTTGCCAGCGTGTTAATAGCCTTGCCAGCGCGTTAACAGCCTTGTTTTTAGCTAAACACCACGCGGATAAACCTCCGAATAGCTTCATAAATACAGGTACTTTAATTTGTATGCCTTTCTTTATAAAAACCCAGGTACCAGCGTGTTAATAGCCTTGCTAGTGTTAACAGCCTTTTTCTAGCTAAACACAACGCGGATAAACCTTTAAATAGCTTTATAAATATAGGTACTTTAATTTGTATGCCATTCTCCATAAAAAACTAGGTACCAGCGCGTTAACAGCCTTGCTAGCGCGTTAATAACCTTGTTTTTAGCTAAACACCACGCGGATAAACCTCTGAATAGCTTTATAAATATAGGTACTTTAATTTGTATGCTATTTTTTATAAAAAACCAGGTACCAGCGCGTTGGTGGCCTTTAACACTAATTTATAGTTAAAAAACGCGATTACTGCGCCTTAAAATAACTTTAAAAATAAGTTTTTAAAGGTTTTTATTATTAAATTTGCCATTAAGGTACGGGTATATTAATTTGTGTGGGAGAGCTTATATAAATTAATGTACCCGTACCTTAACGCATGACTTAGTAATTTTAAAGCAAGTGCGCCCGGAAGGCCAGTGTTTAGTTTTGTATGTTATTTACTATACAAACTAAAACAGCTTAATTACACGGGCACGTGCGCCCGCAAAAATTGTTTTGACGCTAAATTTATCGGCAGTATACGAACACCCATGGAAAAGCTCCAGATGATAGGCGATCGCATGGGGGTACGGCAGGCATTGAATGCAATTCCGCAGATTCGACTCGCCGCCACAAAGCAGGCACAGTATGAAACTGGGCCGTCGAGATCCGATGCGGTCATCGAGTTATCTAGCCACAACCAGTTGTCATGGGCTTAGGCGCCTTCAGGCTGACGTGCTGATTGTTGGGATCGTGCCATGGCCCATGAGTTGGCAGATGGCTTGGCAGATTCAACGGCGTATCGCTTTCGCTTCACCGGGCTTCGCCCCAGGAACCGGCGGGCTTGGCCTTTGCCTGGCAGGGCGCAGGGTTGACTCCGAGCCTCTCCGAGGGGTCCGAGTCCTTTGCTGACTGCTTGACGCAAGATGATTGAAGATGATTATGGACACGTACAAGTCAACCCCTGCTTGACGATGTCATATTGCCAATTGGGTACGCGCGGGATGACTGGATTGTGGATTGTGGATTGTGGATTGTGGGAGTCTGCAAGGTGGAATCTTCTGTTCAGCCTTCGCGGAGCAAACTCTTCAGCGAGACGTATCAATACTGTATGGATACACAGATACCGGGCTACTGCGCCTTCGATCCTGCCTGGGACGGTAACAGCGGTACAAAGGGTCCGGCTAGTACAATAGTTTAATTAAACTGAAATTGGTTTCTTTTCGCCCACAACATGAAACCCACTGAGACAATGGAGGTGAGAGAGCGCTTGCAGATGCGACAAGTATAGACACCTCTATAAGCGCTTTCAGAGATTCGAAGAGCTTCTCTCAGCCAAAGAAGCCGGGCACGTCAGCGTCCAAGTATACTTTGTTTTGTGCCTGAAAGGCTGACAGGGGCGTTCAGGAACCGGCGGTGGCCGCCAGTGTGAGCAGCCAGTAGGAGAGCGCGACAGTCGATGGCGTCTGGGTCCAATTCCAAAGCGCCGATCAGCAATTTGAGGCCCAGACGGCCACGAAGGCACGAACCCCTTGCGCCCGCTCTGTTATTGGCTGTCAGTCCTCGCCCTCGTGTTTGGCCTGTATTATTTAGTCCGTCTCCCCCCGGCATTCTCTTTCGTTCCTTTTCCCTTTGGTTTCCCACGGCTTTGATCCTGAGCAGCGCTCCTCCACTCGTTCCCTGTCCTTCTCAAATATCAACTGCGATACGCTCACTCGTTCGTGTGTCCAGCTCGATTTCAAATTTCAACGTTCCTTCCATCTCAGCCTGCATCCGCTTGCTTACTCCCTGCGCATCAACCGCTCTCGCCGCATCCCAACCGCCAATACAAAGACAAGACAACTCCGTCCTTCAAGACCATTTTCTATCCTCACTTCAAACACAAACACATCTCCAAAATGAAGCTCACTGCTATCGTCTCTACTGTCCTCTGCCTGGGCGCAGCTCACCTGGTCGCTGCTGACCAGACCTCGACCCTGACCACCACCGTCACCAAGACTCTGGTCCGCGTCAACGCTGTCACTCCTACTGCAGCACCTACCTCGTCCGTTCCGCTCATCCACACGAGCACCCCCGTCGCCAGCAGCACTCTGGTCCCTAGCACCTCCGCTGCCACCTCCACCGCTGCTCCCTCCGACGAGCCCGTCCACACCGGTGCGGCCGCCAGCTTCGGAGGCAACATGCCCGTCGCTCTGGCCGGTGGTGCCGTCGCTCTCCTCTTCGGCGCTCTCTAAGCAGGCGAATCAACATATACTCTGGCAATGGCTCCTCTCCGCACCTGCGAACGTCAACGAATCTACAAGCAGTGGGCAATATAAGCAGTGGAGGGCTGCTGATCACAACGACTCCATTCAACAATACTTTTCTCTTCTTCTCGTTTATACTTTTCACCCGTATTTACCCTTATAACTTCTTGTATCCCTCACGCCAACCCTTTAGCAGCAGCTGCTGCTGGGAGACCGCGAGACGGACGTGTTATGAATTCTATACCCCCCATTTACGATTATGATTCCACGCGCTTTGATCTATTTCACTTCTTATCGTTCTGGTTAGTGAGCCGCTGGTGAGAGTCGGCCGTTGTTTTGCGACGTTGCACATCGCTTGTATATAGGTCGATCTCTAAATCCATTGCAGTCAGCGCTGGTCTGAAACTAAATTATTGGCATCTGCTGTGCTCCGTATGCATCGTTCTGTGCTCCGTAGAATGTACCCCGGAGTCCGAAGTACATCGATTATTTGAATCATGGTCTCGACCGTTGATCTGTCGATCTTGTCGATGATTATCATATAAGGACCTCCAACTGCTGCCGATGGCTTTTAGACAAGTTCTGATTTGTTAAAAGCACTGCAACTGGTATTGATCCACTGGATGCGAATGCGCCACTCCGAATACCGCATAGATGCCGATATATATTGCTACATGTCCGGGCATATGATTCATAGAATAACGATTGTTTCGACGACTCATGGCTTCTTGAATAAGACTTTATTCGCAACTATTCGTCTAAATAACAGTCTCTATTACCACGTTATTCCTCTTAGAATCAATACAGTCATTGGTGGTGTCCTCGGTGTCGAATCCTTATCAATCGCGTTATCTCCCACTCCAAATTCCCGAGTCCGAAACACGCATACATAACCCCCCCTCTTCCATCCCCTACATACTTCACGCTCCAGCATCACCTCCTTGCTTCAAAGAAATTAAACTCAAACAATTGCAATTTGCAATGGACACCGAACCGCCCCTCCCCCCACCCCCACGCATCCGCCACCGCTCGCCGCACAAACCCTCGCACCAGCCCGGTTCCCAATCCGGAACCGCAGCACGCGCACCCGCACGCGTAAACAAAACAACCTACCGCCGCCTCTCGCGCTTCGACGACGCCTCCAGCCAGCCATCCAGCGACCCCGCCCTCTTCTCCAGCGACGACATCCCCGCGTCGGGCCTCGAGAATTACCACGCGACCGGGAACGCGAGCGGGAACGGCAATGGGTCGCACTCGCGCAAACGCAGATACCGCGGCACGTGGTGGGGGGAGATGGTTAAGGAGAAGGATGTGAAGAGGAAACGGGCGGACTTTAAGGATAAGAGGTTCAATGATAGTGGGGTTTGGATGGGGAGTGATGATTCCAGGGCTTCGGGGATGGGGTTTCTTGCGAGTGAGGATGCGGCGGCTTGGGGGGAGGAGTTGTTGGGCCAGAACCAGGATTTGAACCAGGATGGGGATGCCGACGGGGATGAGGGGATGGGGATGGCCACGGGCATGGGACTGGGCATGATGCCGGCGCGCGCTGGGTTCGCGAAGAAGGTGGAGGAGTCGAGGGAGCACCAGTTGGCGCGTGCGGTGGTGAATGATTGCTTGGAGAGGGGACTGGACAGCGTCGACCTAAGGTATGCCCTCCTTAAATTATCTCTCCTTGTCTAGTGATACTAATGAACGTAATAGCAATGCCCCCCTCCGCACCATCCCGCCAAACCTCCTCCGACCCCTTCAACACCTCACCAAGCTCCCAAGCATCCGCGAACCCCCCATCTCCGAAGAAGGCTACAGCTCCCTTCAACCCTTCCTCTGCCTCTTCCTGTCCGGAAACGCCCTTACAACCCTCCCGGGCGAACTCTTTGAGCTCGGCAACACGCGCGTCCTCAGCCTGCGCAACAACAAGCTGACGGAAATTCCCCCTGCCATCCGCAGACTAACTAAGCTCCAGGAACTGAATGTCGCTGTTAATCGTCTTACCGTTCTCCCCTGGGAACTCCTCTGGCTCATCAAGAAGGGTGACTTGAAACATCTCATCATTCGGCCGAACGAATTCACTGAGATCGATGATCCGGCAACGAAAATCGCGCATTGGCACCTCTCACCGGAAAGGGAGAACGAACCTGGAAGTGAAAATGAGATCGAGGCCGAAACTGCACCTGAAAGTCTCCCTCTCAAAGCCATCGAGTATGAAGGGCCCGCGCCTGAAGAAGCATGGGCGCCTATCCACGTCGCGACAAGCCCAGTCCAGCGCTTCAACATGGACGGGCTCCCCATCCCAAACTCACCAACCGCCACACACTCTCAATCTCCCCCGCCGTCTCGCGTCCCCTCCCTCCGCGAAGTCTCCCTCCTCTCCTTCAGCAGATCAACCTACTTCGACATTCTCCCCGACGAAGAGCTGGCACTCTTCCCCAACCTAGCTCTCCCGCTCCTTTTGCACGCCCGCGACGTACGCAATGCCGGCGGGCGGTCATGCTCCGTCTGCCACCGCAGTTTTGTCATCGCGCGCACGGAGTGGATCGAGTGGTGGGACGTCAGTACGTATGAGAATGGGCTGAAGGGGCCGAGGGCGAGCGGGGAGCGGTTGAGGCCGGTGCCATTCCGAAGACTGGGGTGTAGTCTCGGGTGTCTTCCTGCTACTCATCAAGAGAGGGGTGAGTGAGTGGATGGTGGGCGTAGAAGTTGTACATATATATTCTGTACGAGGCTACCTGATGTTCAGAGCGTCAACTGCATATATCATTATCATTCTGTCCTATATCCATCATATCATACCAGAACCACTTGAGATGAACATGAAGCGAGTATCAAAACCAGAACAGATTACTTCTCAGCCTTCTCCAAATCAGCCGCCCACAGCGCCGCGCCCACCGCATTCGTAAACTCAAACACCATCGACGCAAAGGGCACCATCTCCAGCAGCACCGATGCCATCCCAAGTCTGCAAGAATCCCGCATTAGCAAGCTCTCAAAGCCAAGGCACGCAAAACCAAGGAGCCAAAACATGAAAACATACCCAGTATACGCGCCCCTCCTCCTCTCCACAAACTCCCCCCTCTCCTGCCCCCTCAACCCCCTAAGCTGGAAATACCTCTCATGCAACCCCGGACCAACCTTCTTCCCCGAAACATAAACAAACAGCACGGTCCCAACAACAGGGATGAAATTCAGCGGGAGCATGAGCAGACTCCGGAGCATGCCGCGCAGCACCCCATTCCCATCCCCATCGCCAAACGGTTTCCTCACCATCTTCCCCAGCCGCGCCATAACCCCGCCTCCATTCCCGCGCTTTAGTTCGCGGCCGTTCTGCACGAGCCCCTCACAGCCCCGCTCAAGGAGCACAGCATCAAAGACATCGACCAGTGCATCGCGGATAATCCAGGCGCGCGCAACGAAGTGCGTTACGGCTGAGGCTTCGGAGAGGACGAGGAAGAAGGCGGCGATGGGGGCGAAGAAGGGGCCCGCCGTGAAGCTTAGCAGCGCGGTTTGCGGGACGTAGGTGAAGAAGAAGAGGGCGGTTGTGATGGAGATTCCGGCGAGGAGGGTCTGCGATAGGCGTTTTGTGAGCGGCTTGTAGAGGGGTGGGTGGGTGGTGAAGTGGAGGATTCCCTGGAGGATATAGTGTTAGTTTAGGTCAATGATGCTATGTTAAGGATGCGGGCTGGAGAGGAGAAGGGGGAGAGCTGGGTACTTTGAATGGGTAGATGTATGCGCCGGAGACGAGGACGTCTTGGGCGGCGGCGCGGAGGTTGGAGGATTCGGCGCGGAGGGCTTCCTTTGCGCGGTCGGACATCTTATGGGAGGACCGTGGGAATGGTAGTTGGTGACTGGAAAAATGAAGAAGAGTTGGGAGATGGAGAGGTGCTGGTGCTGAGAGCGGGAGCTTGAAAGCTCATGTGGAGATGCGATAACGGTGACGTCACTACTCAAGGCCTAGAATCCTGAATCTACAGCATACTCCAGGTATCGTGATAGAGCCTTTATAATGATAAATGAATTCAAGAAACGAGAGTACATGACCAGTACAGCTCGAAGTGCAACTCTAGACAGGACAGTGTCGAGCTGCCTCCCTAACGCCAACCAAATCAATCCGCAGATCGCTAATGAAATCGCTCAAGACAGAAAAACGCTGAACACCCCAGGACCCGAGATTTAGAAGTAGAGATAGAAGTGTATAGTTGTGGAATGAGACGAGATTAGCTGTCGTTGTCGGCCCTGCCTTGGTGCCAGATTGTGTCGCCGCTAAGCGCTGAAAGACTGAGAGCTGCAAAGTTCCGCCAGCTCGGGGGAGATGAAGAACCGTGTCGTTCAAGACCGGTATCTGAGATACGTCGCTCTAGGTCTGTCATTTCGTCCTCGCCCATGGAGGTAATAGGGAGTGGTGCGGACGTTGCGCCGCGGTGGGCTTCCGCGTCGTGTTCGGGTCGCGTTTCAGCATGATGACTCTGTGACATGGACCGTACGACGTCCCCCTTGCAGATGGGACAGGTCCGACGACGGGTCGTCAACCATGGAGTACTGCATCTGTTAGCATGATCCTAAAAATGAAACGCAGGTACTTACATGCACTCCACGTGGAACTCATGGCCACATGGTAGGCTCATCACGCGGCTCTCGCCGTCGATGTATTCTTCAAGGCAAACAACACACTCGACTTGTCGTCCGGTGTACTTCCGACGCCACGTCGTAGATGTGCCGGGCTTTTCCCTCCTCGACTCGAATGACGACTCCGCATTCTGGACCCGTGGCCGAGAAACAGGACGTTCAGTACTCTTCGAACCTAGAAGAGGAGACGTCTGAGAGACAGGCCCAGGGCTCGGGGATCGCAGGGAGCTGGACGACGATGACGACGATGTTGGCATTGTATGATATGTTCTCACTGGAAGGCGCTCAACTAGCGACTTGGGTGCTCGCCAACGTCGTCGCCGGATGCGCGATCGGAGTAATAACAAGATGTAAACCACAGACAGAGTGAGTAGCGGGCTCACGACGAGAACGAGAAGGGTATCGAAGAATGGACTAGTAGACATGCTCGTCGGCGTAAGGGTGACCCATAAGCCTTCATGCTCTTTGGTCTTGGTATCCTTTTTCGGGACATCACGCGTAAACCGCTGTTTCTTTCCTTCGGCTCCCTCTGTTCTCACGCCGAGGAAATGCCTCGAAAACCATCCCTTCGATTTTGTACCGTCGGGAGAACGTCGCTCGATTCTTTGGGACTTGAATTCGGAAGTACTTGATTTCTCCACGGCGCGATACTCTCCACTGCCAGGAGTAATGCTGCCGCCTTTAGGCGTAGACGTGTCTTTGTCCTTGCCCTGTTTAGCTGCTTCCGACACAGAATTACCTGTGGGGACGGCCCTGGCACTGCTCTTGGGCGCAACAAGATCCGGATCCCGCCAGTCTTGCACACCAATGAGGAAGCCGTCGCCGTCGCCGCTTGTTTTGGATTTCGAGGCTTTGGAGTTCTTATCGCCAGTTTCGGCTTCTTTTCGAGGCATTTCCTGGTTCACTGGGACCCAGTTGATATTGCCACTAGTTGGCGGCCGCCTGTTCTCTTCCAAGGTACCGACCTGCTCGCCTCCGCCTAAGCCGAAGATCGATAGCAGTGTGTGTAGGAACCCGGAGTTCGACGCTGGAAGCACTTCGTCGCTCGTAGTCTGCTGAGTAGATGAAGGTGTTGCTGCCGCGGACACCGCTGGTGTAGGTTCGGCCTCGGGCTCGCTGGCGGTTTTTGCTCCGTCGATCGAGATGTGTTCCTCCCGGTCCTGCGGGGGAATGAGAGACGACAGCAGATGGGCCGTAGTGTAAGATGTGAACAATGCGGGGATTGTAACGTTCGAGGTATCACCTCGCGCATACATCGTAACAAGGCTTCCCCCTCGAGTATCATCGCCCACAATCACCGCGAGGGCCCCGCGCCGTTGAGCCCACTTGACCTTCTCCAGGAAGCCACAGCCGCCTCTGCTCAGCAGGACGACCTGACCACTGATCTCCGCAGATTCTTGCAGAGATTGTATGTCGGCATGCGCACTTTTTAGAGCCGGAGATGAGTCACGGTTTTTTTCGGCGGTATCGACCACAACGGACTCGGGAAGGGGATGGTGAAGATGGTCATCCGTGCCATCGTTCGGCGGTAACGATCCGGGATATCCATCGCGAGAGGTCGACCCCGGCAGGAAGTCGGCATGGCTTTTGCCCGGGGTAATGCCTGCGTCCATGTCACTGGAGCCAGGCTTCCCATCGCGGCTCTCCGGGAGATCGGTGTCGCCCTCCTTCCAGCCCGGGATATCTGAGCAGCCCAGTTCTCTCCCAGAATCGGTTGATCTCTCTCCAAACCCACTACCGACCCATAACTGTCCACTCAGCCCTTTGTCCGGAAGTAGGGGGCCAAACGCCGCAGGTCTGGCTATGAAGAACGTCGAGTTCTCATCGGTGAGGCTTATGATGGCAGATGGAGGGAAGAGCGACGACGGTAGGTTGAAGGAGAATAGCGAGTGTATTCCTGTCGCTTGACCAGCAAGCGAGCTAGGTGTCGACACATGAGGAGATGAGGTGAGGGCGGAGTAAAAGGTGAGAAAGATTGGGAAGAAGAGGAGACAAAAGGCGAGGAAGAGTAGACGCGGAGGTCGCATGGTGTCAACTTGGGATTAATTTTTCGACAAGAATCGTATCCTTCGGTGACGGAAGACAACTTGTTGCGAGACTGTCGATTAAGAACAGTTCGAGGGTCGTGCGTTCGTCATAGGAGCGGGCTCTTCGAGGGGGGTAAGCTAGCAACAGAGAGACCAAGATAGCAGGGAATCAAATGAGGGATCGAGTCAAAAATGGCAGAGAACCATCCAAAAAAAGACAGGAGACAGAAAGGTACAGAAAAAGCATGAACGAGAATAGCTGGCTCGTGGGACGTCGAGTGGTTGGAACTTGGATGCCTTGACTTGGGGCCCTTGACTTGAACGGGAAGCGGAGTCACGAGATCGCAGCCTCAGGCACGCATGTCACACCACCAGGCAACAGCTCCGGATTCCAAAGTTGTCGGACGAGAGGTGGAGATCCCTTGGATCTCCGCGGTAAACTTAGTTAAATAACTCCAACTAACCTCCAAAAATAGGAAAAAAATTAACCTTTAACTTTAGCTAAATTTTATAACCTAATTAGGAAATAAAATATAAAAAAAAAGGAATAAATATAGCTTAAATTTTTTTATATTTAGTTATTAAACTTTTATATTTTTATTTATTTTAAATTTTAAAAAATTTTATATTTTATTTACCTTTTAATTTTTATCTTAATTTTATATAACTAATTTTTACTTAAAATATTTATAACTTTAAAAGTTATAAGCCTAGCTTATACTTTACCTTTTTAAATATTATTTATATAATTATTTTTAAAGTTATTTATTACCTAAATTTAAACTTTTAAAGTTTTTCTTATTTACTATATAATATATTATAAAAAACCTTTAATTTTTACCTATAAATACCTAATTTAATATTATAATTTTAAATAGTTTTAATACATGGCGCCCATAGTATTAAATTACTAAATTAATAGTTATAGGCCTTATAATATAAAATTATATTAATTTTTTAATTAATAATAAAAACTTATTACTTATTCTTATTAGCCCAAGGCCTATTTTTAAAAATTTTTATTTTAATATTTTTAAAAAAGGCAAACTTTAAATAAGTTATTTAATACTTAATAAACAAGGTAGATTTTATATTATTATAAAAAAATATTTTACTTAAAAAAAGAAATATAAAGCTTTGCTTAATATAATAATAGCTTATATAACCTTAATTATATTTAGCTTTTACTAGTAACTATTATATAGCCAAGAATATTTATATATAATACTTTAATTTTTTATAAAATATTATATATAATTTAATATTACCTACTAAATAAAAATTAAGGTAAAATAAAAAAAGGTAGTTATTTACTAAGGCCTTTTTATTAAAAAATAAATTAATAATTAATATAACCACTAGGTTAGTATATTTATTAAAACTAAAAAGTTTAATATTTTTATTAATAATTAAAATATTAACACACTTTAAGACTTTATATATACTATTATAATTATTAATAAAAAGTTTAGTTAAAGGCTTTACATGGCTATTTTTTTTTTAAAAAAAAAGAACTTTACTAATATTATTAAAAAGTTTAAAATATTTTATATGCTTTAGGCTGTTTATATTATATATAATAAATTTAAATAATAGCTAATAAATGGCACCTTTACCACGCTTAAAAAAAATAACTTAGTAAATAAAAAAAAATAAAAATACTAAAAATAACAAGAAATCTAAAAAAAATAATAAAAATAAAAATAATAAATTAAAGCTAATATACCTAGTATATAACTATTTATATTTTATTACTTTTTATTAGTATCTTAATGCCAAAAAAGCTTTAAAAAATTAGGAGCCTTAAAAAAAAACTTTGCAAAAAGTAAAGGAAAATATACAGGATTTAACTATTAAAAAAAAAGTACTAAGTATTTTTAAAAAATCTAAATTTAACACTATAATATTTAAAATTAAGGCTAAAAAAAACAACTTTAAAAACCCGGAAAAAGTTATAATAATAATTACTTATTTACTATTTAATAGCTTATAATATAGCCTATATAAAAGCATTATTATTAACTCTAGATTTTTTATATATATTACTAATAACCTTACTAAAATAATTAATATTTATAATACCTTTAAAAATAATATTATTTTTATTAATAATATTATTAATAAAATTAAAAAGTTTAGTATACTCCGTGTTTCTTGCAAGGGACTAAATAGCTTAAAAAAATTTTTAAAGCTTAAAAATTATGCTTATATTCCCGGCTTTTATACTATTATTATATTCCTTAATAAAGCCATATTAATAAATTTATATTTTAATAGCTATAAGAAAACTTTTAAAAACTTAAAAAAAATAAACTTTTATATACTTAAATAATATTACGGATTATACATACTTTATTATAAAAAATTTAATATTAATAATAATAAAAAGATTAAGGCCTCTTACGCTATAATAAAAATAAAAATTTAATACTTTATAACTTTAAAAATATTATTAAAAAGCTTAAAAATTTAGTATAAATATATGGGCCACCTTAATACTAACATAGTATTTAAACTTTTAATATTTATAACTAGTATATAAATTAATCCGGCACCTTAGCTTTTTAATAAAAAGTAAAAAAAAACTACTCTACGCGCCATGCAAACTATTATAATTTTTTAAGTAAATATTATAAATTAAATTAACTAAAGTAACCCAATTCTTTAAAAGAATTTATTTTAATATTCTTACTTTTAAAGCATTTTAAAATAATATAAAATATACTTTTTATTTCCTAAATAACACCACCTAAATAAGGTGGATAATATTATATATTAAAAAAAATAATTACTAGCGCGTTATTTAATTACTTAATACCTATACTTTTAAGTAATATAGCCTTTATATTTAATTTTTTTATATAAATAATAAGATATTATAGCTTTTAAATAACTTTAAATTTATTAAAAAATAATAAGGTTTAGCCTTTAAAATTATTATTTTTAATATACCTAAATAAAATAGCGCAAGTAAATAATTAAAAAAAATTATTTTATAAAAAGTTAAAGCACTTTTATTAGTTACTAATATATTTTAAAATCTTATATTTAAAGCTATAAAAATATTTATTTATATATTAAATTACACGCCTATAAAAAATAAAAAAAAATAAATAGTTTATATTACTTTAAAAGTTTTAAGTACTAATAGGTAATACTTGCCTAGTAAATATAGCTAATATTTTTAAGTTTAAATTACTTGCTTACTAGCGGCTAAAAATTCCTAACTTTTATAAAATAAAGCTAAAAGCGGCTATTAAATATCTTTATAAATATAAAAAAGCCTATAATATTTAAAAAATTTAAAACCCTCGCGCTAAAGCCATATAATATTTAATTATTTAAGTAAAAAATATAGTATTTAACAAGGCAAGAACCTATAATAAAAATAATTTAATTTACATAGCTAGTTTAAGATACACACTCCTAGTATATATTAATAAAAAAAAAAAAAAACTAGTTAATATATTATTTTTTATTAATTTTAAAAATAATTTTTTTAAACTTAATAATTAAAATAAGCCTACTCCCGAACCTAATAATATAAAAATAGGTAAAAATAAAAAGGTTAAAAATAATAAACCTTATACTAAAATTAATACTTAAAATAAAGTTATTTTTAACTTACCTAATAATTTAATATTATATAATAATAAAAATTTTATAATTTTACTTATTCCCGCTGCTAGCCTAAGCTTAATAAGTATTATAATTAATAAAAGCTTCTAAACCTATAATAATTATAAAATTATTTTAATAATACTTAACTAGGTAGTAAAAAGCAAGAAAAATAAAAAAATTCTTAACTTTAAAAATAATAGCGCTAAAGGGCTCCTATAACTAAAAAATAATATAAATAAAAATAATAATAAAAAAAAAATATTAATATTATTTTTTCCTAAAAAATCTAACCTAAAACCATATAAAATTAATATAAAAAAAGGGAAGTAAAATCCTAATCCCAGACTTTTAATTACATAAGTTAAATTAAATAAAAAGGCCTAATATAACCACCTATACTAAAAACAAGATTTAAAAAATTTTATAAATAAAAATTACCTAAAATAAAAGCCTTTTTTTAAAGTTTTTTATACTAAACTTTTTTACTAGCTAGTAAAAAACTTTACTAAATACTATATTTTTTTTACTTAGTAATTTTTAAGTTTTTTAAACCATTACAAGAGGCACCAGGCAAAGCTATTTATTAAAATTAGCTTTAAAAAAAACTAAAAAACTAGGTAAAACTTATAAAATATTTATATAAAAACTAGTTTATAAAGGCTGCTAGAGTTAAATTTAGTACTCTTAAAAAATTTTATACCTTTAAAATTATTTTTATATTAAAAGGTAAGATTATTATACTACTTATATAAGTATTTAAATATAAATTTAATACTACTAGTTATTTAAATAAATTTAAAGCATGCCTTTGCGCTAAAAAAGATTTTTAACCTAGTAATTATATTAATACTATAATAATAACTTTTACTACCTAATTATTTTAATTTATAATAGCGCTTGTTACTTATTTTAACCTTAATATTATTTAATTAAATATTATTAATGCCTTTATTTAAAGCTTTATAAATAAAAAAATATATATTAAAACACCACCCGGCCCCTAGCGTGTTAAAAGCAAAATATTTAAATTAAATTAATTTTTATATAGCCTTAAATAATTACCATATATTTAATAAAAAAAAATATTTTTAATACTTTTTAAATATAGCTTTAAGCTAGTGCTAAAAAAGCCTTGCCTTTTTATTATAAAGTATTTTATAATTATTTTTTTTATTAATAATATACTTATTATAAGCAAGAGATTAGCCAAAGCTAAAAAAAGGCTATTAACTTTATTAAATATATAAAGTATATATATAAATTATAAAATTTTAGTAAAGTAAAATAGTTTTTAAATATTAAAATTATTTATAATTATTATAATTAAAAAATTTAATTACTTTAAAATTCTTATATTAATAATTTACAGGTTAAATATAACCTTATAGCACTAAGTAAAATACTAAAAATATTTTTACTTATTAAAAAATTAATGCCTACGCCTTTAAATTATACGCCTATAAAATAAGATATTTTTTTATATTAATAACTTATTAGCTTATTTTTTTATTTTATTATAATAACATGCCTTAACGCCTTTAAAGCAGCTAGTAAACTTATTTAATATATAATATAGCTTATTAAAACTTATATTAAGGTAGCTAAGTACACTATTTAATATTTTATTATTATAAAAAACCTAAAAATTAAATACTTAGCTAATACTAAAGAGATTATTACCATGGTATTTAACACTTTTTTTAATAATAATTTTAACTAATATAGCTTTAATAAATAGCTTATAAAGTTATTTAAAGGTTTAATTAACTAAAATACTTATAAGTAAAAAATAGTTACTACCTTTATTACTAAAGCTAAATTACTTACTATTACTAAAAAAGTAAAAAACCTTATATAATAAAAAAAACTTTTTAATGTTATAAAGTTTAATTTAAAGGTTAAATTATATTTTTTTTATAATAATACCTAAATTATATAATTACTTAACTTAAATAACCCTATATTTATTATATAACTTTAATATATTAATATTTACTATTACTAGCTTTGCAAGAAGTATTAAAATAAAAAAATTAAAGTTAATTAAATAAAAATAAAAAATTAATTAATAAATAATTTTATTAAACTTTTTAATAGCCCGCGTTATAAAATATTTATTTACTAACTTAGCCTTATTAAAATTAAAACTATTTTTAATATTTAATATTAATATTTTTATTTTTTTAAGTACTAGGGGGTATATTAAATAAAAGGTAAAGATTTTTTAAATCTTTATAGTAAATTTAGTTAAATAACTTTAACTAACCTTTAAAAATAAAAAAAAAATTAACCTTTAACTTTGGCCGGATCTCACGACCTAATTAAAAAATAAAATATAAAAAAAAAAAAAATAAATATAACTTAAATTTTTTTATATTTAGCTATTAAACTCTTACATCCTTATTTATCTTAAATCCTAAAAAATCTTATATTTTATTTACCCCTTAATTCTTATCCCAATCTCACATGACCAATTTCTGCCTGAGGCATCCGTAACTCCGAAAAAAGTCAACTGGTCTTACTTCAAAGTTCAGTGAACTTGTGACTGGAAATACACGAGTGAGTCTGTCCCTTTACACTGTGGCTTATGTCGATACCCCTGATCTCCTTCATCCCTGGAGACCGGCCAGGGACGTGACGTCTGTCTCCGAGGCAGTGCGGGCGGGATCATGCGCTGATCATAGCGCCAATGCTGCGAGCCCCACGACGCGGCGACGCCTGAGGCGTGATCGACAGACACTCCGCTGCCTGGGGGTGGGCGGAGAGGAATATCCTTCCTGATAAGCCTGTGCGAACCGCGGGTTGCGAAAGCATAATCGTCGGCCAGATATGGATTACAGAACTCAGGCCGGGCTGTTCGATGGTCAGCGCCGACTCGCCGGAACTCTTTCGTCTCAGGGATTTGAAGAGTTGGAACAATAGGCCGACTCTTGAGTTATGCTTCGATCCATGGATTCGCCGAGATCCAGTCCCGGCGCCTTTCGAGAGCCAACCCATGGTCGTGACGTCGAATGACACCCCCTGCGGACCGCGGCGGAATACATCAAAGAAGGCCCTCAGGTATATCTCGTCTCTTTCTGCTTCAAAGCCGGAATTCCTGCCATCAAGCTCTTCCAGTTGATCCCTGGTCAATGCCTACAACCTAGTCTGACCCTGCACAGTTCACGTGCTGCTGTGCAAAACAGTGACATACTACAAGAAACCTAAGCCCATCACAGTTGAGTACTCAGCATGAAGTTTTTCGAGAAAATGAAGAACGTCATTGCGGGCCGTAAGTCGGAATCAAAGCGCCCTTATAAGCGCATTTCAGATAAATAGCTCGAGCAACGCAGCTAACTACATCAGGTCGCGGCTCGGATTCCATGAACTATGGAGGCGAGTATGGTTCCCATGCCGCCGATGGCCTCGGGGACAGAGCCGACTACTCTCCGTTCCATGCTGAAGACTACGGGTCGAGATTTGGGAGCTATGAGACTAAACCGCGACCTGGTACCTACGGTTCGGGCGATTATGGTGCTCAAACCCGTACATTGGGTTATGGACCTGGTGGTGGCTACGGGCCTCATACAAATGGACGCAACCATAGCTTTGCCACTAATAGGTATGGCTCTCCAACTGCGGTAACACACGGTTCGGATGCAGGAGTGAGGTCAGGACGAGGGTTCAGTGGCGTATCTGCTGCTGGCAGTAGTTATGATAGAGGGTCAGGATCTCGGGATGGTTGGACCTACGAATATGATACTAGAGGCCGGAAGGGCTTCATGCCCATAGATCGAGTGCAGCGAAGTGAGTGGTAATAGACATCTAGGGGTATTTTACTGTTACGGTTATCAATTAGTGAAAGGGAAGCGGCGTAAGTATTTTAAGGGAAGGAATTGATGGACTGAGTTCCGGCAACTCCAATAGGCAGGAATTCACCTCCTTCTCAACCGTCAACCATCTCAACCATCTCAGGCTCTGCCGTGAGTAGCTGCTGGCAACGTTCTCCAAGACAACGGAGCCAGGAAAGGCAGCTTCTGAAGCTTCTGAACGAGGTTTGTCCAAGAAAAGCGCGCTTCTCCCGCGAAACACAACCTGCTCGCAAGTCTCTATCGCTCTCTCCAGCCATCCGTCGCTTGATCCTCCCCGACTAACACACCTCTCTCCAGACTTCTTCATCTCCACCTCCTCCCCCCCGCATGAATCCAGCTCCACACTTCCTCCTCCCCGTACAGTCCAGTCGATTGTCGCCAGATCTCCTCGATGGCTGGCCAAAGATTCATCATTCGCTCCGAGGGCTACGCTCAAGCAGTCCCGGCCTTCGCTCGGAGGGCTGTCGACTATGAAATCGACTACGAATTTGCTGACGACCAGAGGCTTGCATCCTCTCAGCCTGTTTCTCTGATTCAGCTGTGCAGAAAGAGTTCGTCTAGGAATAGAGCAACAAGGAAGGCAAAGGTTTTTCTCTCGGAAAGCGCAAGTGACTTGGCAGAAGCCGGGTTTCCAATCACTCGCGAAGTCGATAAACACCAGCATTTCCCTCGACTTTCGCTTCCAAGCTACTCGGCTTCCGCAGAATACGGCCCCGGTGATGATCCCGAGACTCTGACTCTACCCTCCTCACGTTTCGTCTCTCAAGACTATCCCTGGCAGCGTGAAGAAAGCCATTCCGAGGCTGTTCAAGAGCAAACATGGCACTCAAATCAGAGCGAATACCACCCTCAGGAAAACCCTTTAAACTACGCGAATCAATACAATCGTTCTCACTCAGGTGAGACGAGCTACGTGACCGAGAGCCCATTCCTCAGGAAGTCGGATTACAACAGCGCTGGGCGTGGAACTGGCCCTGTGGACTCAACACCAGTCACCATACGGTCCCCGCTGGATACACCACAGTCATACCTTTATTCTCAGAGAACGCAACAGAAGGAGCATTTGCCAACTGCTTTGCAAATATACCGCGATAGTTTCGACCGCCCAAATGACCGATCACCGTACGAATCGTACCGTTTGAATCGGCGCAACAACCGAACTGACCTACCCGAGATAACTTCTGGCTTGCAATTCGGAGACTCCTCTGACCTGGAGTTTCGAAAGGCTGTGGGAAACACAACGGTGCGCTCCGAACCCGGCTTCGCGACACACAGTCGTTCACGACTTTCTAACACCGAGGTGGCTACGCAATCAAGCGTCCCTCGGAAAGCTCACAAATCTCACGACGCACTTGTCCTCAGGCCAAGATTATCAAGCGGTACCAGCACCTCCCAGCGGACTCTGAAAGAGGAGATATACGCCATCTTAGACAGTATGCATGTTGACTCCCAGACAGATTTTGAACCGACCCCAACTCAGACTCCCGGGGGCACAGAGTCTTCAACAAGTGCGTCTGAAATGAACCAAGCGCTGCCAGCCGAACCCACAGCGATGCACTCGCTTTGGACAGGTGGCGAGACCGAGACTAAGCAAGCAGAGACTACAACCCGGGTTCATATTTCCAGCAAGGAGGCTCAAAGACATGAACAGGCCGATGCGGACACTTCGCCACCAGGGCTGAGCCAGTCGAACATCGAGCCCCTGCTGGAAAGCCAGGAGGCTTCTGTTGCTCCACTCAGAATAACGAAACTTCCTCCTGGTCTTCCTCGGCCAGAGATAATAAGTTCGGGCAAGTTGACAGCGTTCACAAATGAAAGGCTTCCTGATGCAAGCCTTTGGTTTCACACCGACAACCGTGGACAGGATCAGTTGCGCCGACACATCTCTGATATTGCCGAGAAGTTTCTCGATAGAACTGAGCGCCTAGGAGGGCAGAATTTCCCGAGAGAGGATCGCACCGTCACCGAACAGACCATCGCACTCCTAGGTGGCGTCATCGCTAACCTCCAGTCCTACTCCTCTGATGCCTCTAATGCTGAGGAACGTCGAGGGGGATACTTTGGGAATTTCGCGCCTGTGGCGTCTCGTTATTGCGACCTGCCAGTCAGAGGTCGGCGCAGCTACTTTGAAGATCCTTGGGAGAGCCTTATGGAGGGAGTGGTCCGTGACGGCGAATTTTCTTAACCACAAACAATACCCGCAGCCTTGTTTTGGCTTCGCCGGCCACTTGGCTGCCACATGCCACGAGGTCGAGGTGTTTTCCATTTGAATCGGGTTGATCCTGAGCTAGTAAATTCCAAAGGAGTATTATGGGATGAATACTGTTTTTCTTATGTTTTTTCAGCAAATCGGGTGATACCCAGGGTCCGCTGTTCTACGTTTCTACGAGCCCAGACCCCATTAATTCAGCGCAGTCTCATCGAGAAATAATTATATACCTACTTTGCAGACTTAGTCAGTTCAACCAAGCAATCTATTCACTCATTGCAATCCATAACCCGGAAGCCCCTTAAAAGGAAGACAGCGGTTACCGAGGCCCTATTACGCACTCACTCTAGACAGGTCCTGTAACCACACATCCATATACAACGCAAGCAAGCAAACAACAAGCATCGCATCGCATAGCATAAGTAAGAAGGGAAGAATAAAAGAAGAAAAGAAGAAAAGAAGAAGAGAGTATGAAGCCGCTAAGTGCTAAAGTTGAAATGTGAAGTTCTGAGATTCTGAATCTGGAATCGAAGATCATTCATTAACCGCGTCTCGCCAAACGCCGAAATCGATGCGCGCGTCATTAGAAGGTGGAAACAAAAAGCCATGCCGATTGCAGCATGGTCAAGGAAAGCAAAGTAGGTAGTAAATGGGTAAAGAGTAACGAAGGCACCCACACAAACCAAACCCCAGAGCGAAGCACAACGCAAACCGAAGCGAACCAGGCGCCATGTCCCTGTCCAGCCGACGGGACACAAACTCACACGAATGAAACATAGGTAGGCGGATAGAATAGAATAAATAGGCCAAATAGGATAGGCATGGTATACGGAAGCGAGCCTAGCAGCTAACCAAATTAATATGATTATCGTTGAGGGCTGCGCAGGCGAAGAGGGTGCGGTGCGGGTGGAAGGCCGTGCTGGAGATGGGCGAGGAGCGGTTATGGTGGAGGAAGCTGGAGTAGGGCTCGAAGGTGGAGAGGTGGGTGCCGTCGACGTTGTAGGTCTTGACTTCGTGGCGGTTTGTGCCGCTACATTATGATTAGTCTACTTACTTCGACCTACAAGGGAATGAGGGAGGAAAGGGAAATGAGGGGACGTACACCATGAAAACGGGCGCGTGCTCGTGAACGCTCAGGGTGCGGAGGGTATCTCTCGTCCCGAAGATCGTGGAGATGGGGTTATCCATGCGCAGGTCCCAGAGTCTGATTTCGCCGTTGCGGGAGCCGGAGATGAGTTCGCGTAGGCCGCCGCGCTGCATGTGGACGTTTGTGATCCATTGCTTGTGCTCGCGCCAGACTTTGACCATGGACGCGGTGGGTTTGAGGCGCTGGTCGAAGACGCGGACGGCGCCGTCGCCGAAGCCCGCGACGAAGATGTTGCCGGCGACTTGGTCGGAGGTTAGGGAGGTGATGCAGGAGCCGGAGCGGGCGGGGATGTCCTGGTTCTGTGAGTGGGTGTGTTATGGGTGGGAAAGGAACTTACGTTCGTGCAGACTTCCGTCGCTGCATTCCACACGCGGATAACCTTGACATCACCCGCAACCAAAGCCTTACCCTGGCCTTGCTGCCAGTCGAGGACGAGACCGGCGTTGCGGTTGCTGGGGATTAGTTCGGGCAGTGCTCTGAAGGCAGTCACAATTTCGACGTCCTTGGCTGACTCATAGTTGCGGAACACCTTGAGCACACCATCCGACGATCCTGTCATCAGAAGAGCCTGGTCGTCTTCGTTGATGTAACGAACTTCGTTGATCTTAGATCCCACCGGATTCCTGTTCGAGAACCGGTTGAGACGCTTATGATTTTGCCAGTCCCAAATCCTATCATAGTCAGCATTGAGTTCGCACTGCGATGATTGGACTTACGTGATGGTATCCCTATCGTCAGCAACAGCAATATGATCCTCAAACTGATGGAAGCACATTTTCAACGGCTGGGTACCATTGGACAACAGCGCCACCGAGTTATCCCAGCGATTGCTGCCCGCCTTCCCTTTCAGCGGCTGGGTCTCCGAGATGATTTTCTCGTTGCGGCTGCGCCGCCAGAGACGCTCGTTGTAGTCCGCGCTACCGGGCTCATCGGGCTCGTTCGGTTTCATCTGGGGTTCCCGAAAATACTGGGCATGCGTGAGAAGACGTTCGTACTCATCGGTGTATTTCTGGGACAGCAAATGGAGGAGTTCTGGAATTACCTCTGTGGACCAATCTAAGAATCTGCTCATCAATGGGATGCTTGGGACAACTGATGGGTCTCTACGTTCGAATCCTCGGGATGTGGGGACCGGGGCTTGCTGGTATGTGGCTGGTGCAGCAAGTTGGTCGTTTACTTCGGGCGGTCGGGTCCATTCCGGAGGGGCTCGGCCTCGTGGGGTTGAAGGGGCACGAATTTTGGGCGATGTTGACGGATCTGAGTCTTGAGATGATTCGCCCTGTGAAGAGCCGCCAAACGCGAGGTTCTTGAGCGATGCTGCTACACTAGCAGTTCGCCTAAGGCTCAACGAGAGGTAGCCTTCTTGCTTGGGAGGCGCGGTGGGAGGCGGTGGCGGCGCTGCAGCTTTCTTCACACTCGGCTTTTCTCGAAATTGCGACTGCTGTTCGATTCGACCTGAGAGATCCAGGATTTCTTTTCGGATTCGTTCAGTTAGCGAAGCCATGGGTGAGTCAAGTAACAGGTAATGCATGTAATCAACAACCATTCCCGCGTCCTGCGCGATATCAGGATGGGGGTCGACGGAAAGAATGAGAAGTTGCTTCCAGATTGTGCCAAATGTTGTGTTTCTGGACAGCGGCTGCGGCTTGACTGAACCGTTCGTCTCAGGAGGCTGAGAGTCCTCCAAGCCGAGCTTGCCGAGAAGATTCTTCTTCTCGTCCTGAAGTTCTTCGTAAGCAGCCACTAAGAACTTATTCTGATAGCGTTTCACAAAAGTCGAGAAGAAGACGAGGAGCTCTTTCCTGACAATGACGCTGCCGTCGGACGCCATGGGCACGACAGCAAGGGCCAGAGATTCCTCGATTTGCGCCACCTGGTCCGTCAAGTCCGGGATGCCGAGGAAGGTCGTCAGAGCATGGAGCATCGCAGCTCTTACTTCCGGGACGGGGTCGAAATTGAGTTCGCAGAGCCTCATTGGCGCAGCGCACCGGATGCCCATCCACTTGGCTTCTGGGAAGTCAGACCAGAGCATACTGATGCAGAGACACGACCATTGTCGCAGAAGAGGGTTCTCGACATCCATCAAATGCATCAAACAGGATTCGAAAAGGTCGGATGAAAGGCAGACATTCTGACCCTGGGTATAGTTCTTGCAAAATATGGAGACAATAAAGGCGCACATCGCCCGATGTTCACTGGCATTGCCAACGGGAATGGGGGAGGATGGATTGAGGATGGAAATGAAGTAGTGGATCCCGTTGTCTTTCAAAAGGTCATTCTGTACTGTGTGGTCGACGGCCATGATCCGCGCCCAGATAAACACCATGACCGGCTTCAGCTCTTGGGCTGCGGACTGAAGAAGCTTCACAACATAGGGGAAAATACCAATGCTCAAAGCCAAGTGGACAGCCCATGGTCCCAGATCGAGGAACTTGCTGAGCAGGATCAATGCTCTTAACCGGTGCGCCTGACTCAGAAGGACTTGCAGGACAATGGGTAGCTGATCCGGTGGACTCTTCTCAGTCGGGCCGGAAGACAAGTACACTTCGAACGCCGTAAGCTGTTCAGCGAAAAAAGAGGAATGCTGGTACTCGTAATGCCTGCGTCCCTCTTCATGGTCAATCAGCGCAGGAAGCTGAGCAAGAACCATCTCGACTGCCAGATCCCAGCTCTTCCACAGCGGGTGGTCATGCGTCGCCGGGAGTTCAGGCGACGATATTGGTTGGCACTTGTACGTGCGCATTATCCGCTCACTGAGCAGGAAGTTCCTGAACAAGGCCGCCACCATGAGGTCTTGGCGGAAAAGCTTCTTGAAAAGGTCGCGTGGTAGTGTTTTCCACGCTATCGTGTCGGTAATAGCGGTGAAGATCCAGTTCAACTCGCCGAGGGGGCTTCTGCGCTCCTGCAAGCGACCGGGAACTCGAAAATCGTCGACCTTGACATTGGTTTGAAGAGGGTTCTGGAGGACGAAGAAGCGCAACGCGATCTCGATTGGCGTGGTAAGGCAACACGTGAACAAATCCGCGGGGAGATCTGGATTCGTCGGGAGAGATTCATCCTTCTGGCATGCCGCGAGGATGATGCAGTCCCCGTAGTTTTGCACAATCGCGTTCGGATCAAGCCTCTTCTGCTCGGAATTCTCCTTCTCGTGCTTCTCAACGAAAGTGTGGAAGTTCTGAACGATGTTTCCGGCTTGAGACACGTCGAAAACAAACAGACTAGGTCCTGCAAGCCATTGTTGCAGGTCGTATAACGACACCGGAATGTACTGCGTGTAGTTCTTGTTGAACACCCAGATCTCTCCGGACTGCGTCGGCAGCGGAACACCGTGACCGTTGTAGTGGAAGAGCACTCGTTCGTCCTTGGCGTTGCGGCGAAGCGAAACACAGAACTTCTTGGTCTCGTCAACCGAAGGGTCAAGGTACTGCTTGTACCGCGTCCGTAGACTAAGCGTCTCGTACTGCTCCTGCAGCTTCTTTCCAATCTGCTCCATGAGTTTGTTGTTACCACCGCCAGTCGTAGAGGTCGGATCGACCCAGCATTCCAGCTTAGCGGTAGGATTCGTCTTGACGACATCCGGCGGGTCGACACCGATATTCAAGCAGATCGCCAACGCGGCGGAAACGGTCTTCAGGCGGTCCTTCATCCGCCAGTCCTCAGACGGCCAGCTTCCGACAGGGTCTCGCGGGAACCCATTCGTCTCGTGACGCTTCTCCGTGAAGTACATGTAGAAATTCTAAACGATGTCAGACCGGACCGCAACCCTCAGCACCGCATCCGCTTACCGAATGGAGAACCTTGAGGTACTCGCTCGACGTGTATTCCTCTTGCCACCCATGCCTCATCGCAAAGTCCTCCTCCTCGTCATTATCAGGGAACACGGGTCTCTCGAAGCCCCCGCCTCCACCTCCGCGAGGTCCATAGTCACTCCTAGCCCTCTTCAACGCCGCCGTCGGGCGCGCACTACCGGACTCCTGACCGGAGGTATACGGCGAACTGAACTCGGTGGGCGTCGTGTTCTCGCCGGACGAACTGGTCGGGCGATTCGGCGGCGGCGGCTTCGATCCCTCGACGGTGGTGAATGATCGGTGGTGATGCGAGATCGGCGCGGGCGATCTCTCGCGCGGCGGGATGTGTGTTTCCAGGTCCGGGCCGAACGCAACACGTACGGACTTCTGCGTGCTCCGTCGCGGGGCCTCGGATTGCAGACTGTGAGCCTGTGGCGGCATTGTATCTCGGTGCTCCATGTCTATAGTTGGGTTCCTCATTGTCCGGGGGTGCTCATCGTGTTCGCTCGTCTATCGTGGGGAGACTGGGCGGCACCTAGCGCCCCAAAAGATGTCAATGAGTTTGCTCTGTCCAGGGACTGCGAGAGCTTTTCGACGGTGGGGCGCTCACCTTGTCAGAACTCAGCGCATACACTGAATCCAGACCGACTGTCATCGGTGTGAGACGGTTAGCAGAACGAAGGAGTCGTAAACTGGAGAGATGAGACAGAATAAAGCAAAGAGAGAGAACTCCGTCTAGCCGTGATGATGAAACCACAGCTCTCCGCCCCTAGCCAGCAGCGTCGGGGTCGCGATGATCCAAGAGGCGGTTTAAGTCGGCGAGGTAAGCTCGCTGGGCCTTGGCATGGACCTGAAGGAGGATCATCGTTGTTCCGTCTGCGTCCGAATCCAGCCTAGTTGCCCGTCGGTGGCCAACGTGGCTTAGCGCGCTCGCGGCGCCAGGGTCCACAAACCCTAACCTCGGAGTGCGTTGCGAGCACTAGACGTTGCCCAGGATCAAGTGGCGGCGTTATAGAAGAGGAATTCCACACAAGAGGATAATGGTGGCGGGAGCACTTCCGCTAAACTATGTCGAATCAACGCGAGGGATAGTTTGATTCGAAAGAAGGTGTTTCAAGAGGACAGTGACAAAAGGCAAGGGCAAGAGGTGGATAGGGAAGGGTCACTAATAATCTGGAAGTACGAACGACTATCTCGTCGCCAAATGACCCTTCTTGAGTGTGGTTCCGCCGAAATCAAGGGCGTGGATTGAAGGTCTCTGAAGTCGCCATGAAGGGGATAGTAAAGCCGGCTCGATTCAGGATCCATGGATGATGCTTCTGCTCCGAATGGGATAGGTTCGGTGAAGGTGAGTGGAGGATGGCAGGATTCAGAGAGAACCTTATGCATAGACAATGCAGATAGAAAGCATTCATTTTTAGTATTGTATTCAGTCCCTTTGGTTTGGGCAACGGCGTGGTCTAGCGGGTGTAAAGGCTAGTTGCTCTGAGCTCCGAAATGTATAGGTAGGTGGTTAGCTCGTCCAACTCGTCTTTCAAATGTTATAGAATCAGGAAATGGGAGCTTTGCTCATGATAGGTTGCTCGAGATATATATGCACGGGGTTGCTTAGATCGGAGGCGGGTAAAGGGCATAGGTAAAAACACCTAAAATAGCATAGAGTAGAATGCCAAACTCTCAAAATACTCCGTACAAGCGCCAATCAGCTTCCCAGAGCATATGAGGCTGGATCAGTGGGTAGCGTTGTGTAGTCGTGTTGGGAGACTAACCATACGCATAGAGGATTATAGTGCACATGGGTTTTCGGCTGGGTCTTGGCCAGAAACACTTTCAATGACAGGGCGCAGGGCGTAGGTTTGAATGTCTTTCTTAGCCTGGTTGAGTGAATAATCAAACAAAAAAGAAAGCTGTCTTGGTCAGGAAAAAAAAAAGAAAAAAAAGATGGATAGCATGTCCTGGTTTCGATCCAGGGCCTTCCGGGTTATGAGCCCGGCTGTAATATGTTAGCGAATATGTTCAAGTTAGGGGGTCACGTGATCGTTTACCACTCTTCCTCTGAGTTAACATGCTCAGTTGTTGAAAGTGGCTCTTTTTTTACAACTTATAATCCAAGCCCACTTTCATAATTTATCTAATTTTTTAGCCCATGCTAGTTCCATGCGGGCCATCTGCATGTGTTTAGCCTCCGAGAAGCTGCTCCTGACCAGCAGGGTCTTTTTCTGATGTCTTAACACAGGCTTGAGTTGCTACTCTTCTCATAATATAACCGGCGTGCGGCTCCATGGCTTCTGTATAAACCCTACAAGTCGGCGGACTACACCACGCTCATTATTCTGTATGATATTGATATTCAGCACAAGCTTCTTAATATTGGATACAGAACCCCATCTAGTCACCTAGATCACCTTTTGGTATCGTCGATCTGATTTCGCGCTTTTCTCTCGCCTGATAATCCGGTGCCAAGTCAGTCGCCTCGGGCCGGCTGCCCAGGTGCACCAAGGTTGAATTGACCAATCCGGCCTGGGCCAGAGTAGCGAGATCACTGGGACTGTGGCGGGATATGGTATTGTCTGATTTGTGCTTTTTTTCTTGCTCGTGTATCGGCGGTCAATTGGCGACAACCGTTGTTATTCGAGTTCCCCGTCGTCATGGCTGGAAATATATATTTCCTTGCAGTGCACACATGGCCAACACCTCCACTTTAACAAGGGACTCAAAGCAGAAATGACAAGCAACTCAGCAGCTCGGTGCCGGATATATAACGTCTTTAATAATGGTGCATGGGGCTCCATTCTGATTGCTTGATCCTGGTCATGATATGCACGACTTCTTTGTCCGAGACATGGTGTAACAAAGAATGAGGTAATCCATATGCATGGAGATGCGTCCCTCTTCCAGCTGTCCCTGTAATATTATACTAATATATCGATGCTAAGGCCGGCTGTCTGAGCAGCCAATACCATTGCCGGAGCTGACTTACCTGCTGCCAGCACAATATGCGGGGAGAACGCAGCAGATCAAGGTCATAACTCATGGATAAGTCCAGGCAGGGTTCGCCCTGAAAAACGAATCCATCACATCCACCCCCATCTCATCCTCCCAGTATCAAGAATGAAGCGTGAAATACACTGCCAGGACTTCGACCTTGGGTCAGTGCCAGCGACTCCACTCTACGCAAGTCAAAGCAGTGAAAATGAGCCTTATGTCTGGGTTCGAGGGAGTAAGCCGCGGACGTCAGCTAGTTTCCTGAAGGGCATTGTCGACATGGGAAGGTAACTATCTATCAGTATAGGGAGATAAATTAACCGCTAACCGCCATCAGCAACGGCATCCGATTCTCAGTCTCCGACCTCTCCCCACCCCTCTCGCGCACCCTCCCAACCCTCCACGCATACCGCCTCGGAATCTCGCTCTACGACTGCCAATTCGACGAAACAGGCACCCGGGTGCCCATCCCCCACGACATTATCGAGAGCGTCGTAGCAGCCCTGATCCGATTCAAGATCGTCTGTTCTGACTTTGGGGTCCCCGAACGCAACATCCACGTCGTGGCGACAGAGGCAACCCGCGGCGCAATCAACTCCCTGGAATTCGTATCGGCAATAGTGTCAGCAACTAACCTTACCGTGGAGCTCCTTCGCAAAGAAGACGAAGGCCGGATCGGCGCCCTGGGCGTCGCGAGCGGGTTCTCCGAAATCGAGGGGCTGATGATGGACCTCGGCGGCGGGAGCACGCAGCTAACGTGGATCATCTCGCGGGATGGGATGATTCGCACGAGCCCACAGGGCTCATTCAGTTTCCCATATGGCGCTGCGGCGCTGACTCGCACGATCGCCGACCTAACGAAAGACAAGCCCAAGCACGAAGCCGACAAAGCGCTGGAGAAGCTGCACGACGAAATGGTCGCGAGCTTCCAAGACGCATACGCCAACCTGCAGATCCCCGGCCCGCTCGCAGACAAAGCAAAACGCGACGGCGGCTTCACGATCTACCTCTCCGGCGGCGGATTCCGCGGCTGGGGATACCTCCTGCTCTCCGTGGACCAAGAGCACGGGCACCACTACCCGATCTCCCAGATCAACGGGTACGCCGTGGGAAAAGACCGGTTCTCAAGCACAGAGGCCCTAGAAGAGGTCGCGCGCAAAGCCCACTCGATCTTCCGAGTTTCCGACAGACGCCGCACCCAAGTCCCCGCCGTGGCATTCCTCGTGCAGGCCCTGACGAGCGCCATCCCGCACGGCATCAAGGAGGCGCGGTTCTGCCAGGGAGGCGTGCGCGAGGGGATCCTCTTCCGCGAGCTCCTGCCCGCCGTGCGCGCGCTGGATCCGCTTGAGACCGCGACGCAGCGGTACGCCACGGCCTCAATCCGCGACCTCCGGACCCTCCTTCACAGCTGCATCCCCGGCCCATCGCAGACGCAAAACACCATGCTCTTCCCCCCCGCCATAACGAGCCACGTCATCAACGCCTTCGCGAACATCATGTACGTGCACACCATCATGCAGAAGGAGTCCGCGTCCACGGCAGCGCTGTACAGCACAAGCGTGGGCATCATGTCGTCGACGCACGGCATCTCGCACGCCGACAGGGCGCGGCTCGCCCTGATGCTGGAGTCGCGGTATCTAGGCGAGCTGCCGCCGCGGGAGATCGAGTTCCGCGAGTGGCTGCGGCGGATCATCACGGCCGAGGAGGTGTGGTGGGCGTCGTATTTGGGCCGTGTTGGGTACCTGATCGGGCGGCTGTACCCGGTTGGGGTGATTGATGCGCGCAAACCGCGGATTGTGCTGTCGGCGGAGTGGGCGGGGGATTTGGGGAGGGGCAGCGACAAAAAGGGGGTGCTGTTGACGATTTCGGTTAAGAAGATGGAGGATGATCCGGCGAGGCTGGGGGAGGCGTTGAGGGGGAAGGTTGGGATTGTGGAGAGGATTGGGAAGAGGAAGAATTGGATTGGGGGGAGGGAGGGCTGGGGGTTGAAGGTCAGGGTGAATGTTGTGGAGGAGGATATTTTGTAGTTGTCTCTTGTATAGGGCAAGTGTGGTATCACTCGTTTATGAGCTTTGTTCTGAGGATTTGTAACCCAGAATGTCAATCAACCTCTTATATCAAGATAAGCCCCACTACTGACTACGGGGAGAATACTGCTTCTCCAGTACCTAGGGTAGGTAGCTGGTGATGGGAATGTCCTCGTGCAAGGTTGGTATTCTTTCCCGCAACCGACGTACCTAATTGGCCGAGAATGAGCGCAGCCGGTTCCAGAGATCAGGGCTGGATTCTGCAACAAGAATTATTTGGATCGGGAAAGTGCATGGTTAGACGGGATTACATCTATGTTTGATCTGGATACACACCGTATTTATTTCACAAGTTGTCCAGGAAGATTTCAAGTATCGAATCATAACTTTATTGACATCAGTAGCCTTGGAAATTACTGCCAATCAAATGTACCGATCCTTGTATGTCATCACTACAACAGACTCTATATAGGTGCGAAACACAAAATTAACAACCATATACTGCAAGGCCAAAGCAACTTTAATCACATGCGCACACAAACATTATACCCCAGCCACAGCGTCGAGCAGTCACTGCCCACCCCCGGATTCCACTTGTTGAAGTTGGCGACGGAAATGTTGTACTCTATCTGGATGCTGGCGCAGGTGTCACCGCTGACCACCTTGTGCCACTTCTTGCACGAGCAGGAGACCCCAGGCTGCGTTGGGGTTGGTGCACTTGTGCAGCCCGGGTTCGTTGCTGTGGTTGTTGTTGCTGGTGGCTCTGTTGGCGTGCCGGGGATTCCTTGTTCATTAGCATTGTCCAACTTAGCGAGCAATTGGGAGAAGCGTACCAACACAATAGTAATATCCAATTTGAAGCCCCGAGCAGTCGCTGCCAACAGCCGGGTTCCATTCAAGGAACTCGTCGAGCGTGAATGTGCCGTGTTCCTGGGCGATAGCGGCACAGGTGTCACCTTTGACAGCCTTTTGGAACGAGGTACATGTGCCGATAATGCCGGTCTGGGTCGGCGATGGTCCGGAGGATGTAGTCGCTGTAGACGTGGACGTGGACGTGGTAGGCCTTGTAGTTGGGGACCCTGGAACACCGACGCAGTAGTAGTACTCGGCCCATAGACCGGAGCAGTCATCCCCCAAGGCCGGATTCCAGGTAATCAAGTCTTCTTGGGTAAAGGTACCGTACTTGGACACTATCTTCTGGCAAGTGTCGCCTTTTGCTGCCTGATAGAAGGTAGTGCAGTTTTCGACGATGCCATCCTGCGTGGGCGAAGGACCTGTCGGGGTTGGGGTTGTCGTGGGTGTAGGGAGGGGGGTGGTCGGTGTACCAGGCACGCCGACACAATAGTAGTACTCAGCCCAGAGGCCAGCGCAGTCCTCGCCAACAGCCGGATTCCAAGTAAGAAAGTCATCCACAGTAAAAGTGCGGTACTTGTCGACGATCTTCTGGCAGGAGTCACCAGTAGCGGCCATATAAAAGGCGGTGCAGGTGTCGGCCAGGCCCTCCTGGGTGGGCGAAGGCTTAGGGCTAGCCGTGGCCGTGGGCTCTGCAGTGGTCGGCGTAGGCAGGGGGGTCCCATAGTTGACCTCGACGCAGTACGAGTTGCCCACGACAATGCCGCTGCAGTCGTCTTCGACAGACGGGTTCTACGCTGTTAGCTACCTAGACACCAAACTGCCAGGGACATACGTAGGAAACAAACTGCTCATGGGTCAATGCCCACATGGACTCAAAGTAGGCGCAGTCGTAGGAGCTGTCCAGGGCCGTGTCGTACCAGGTGCAGTCGGGCGAAGTTGAGGAATCTACAGGGCCGTCCTGCCGCTTGCGGTGGGCATACCCAAGGGCCGTCCCAAGGAAAGAAAAAGTGAGAAACTGCTTCATTGTTGGGTGGTGCTGTGATACTTGATGAATATACTCCGTACTGTCCACCCTTTATATCTTGTCCGATGTAATGCCAGGGCTACCGTGGACGCGCGGGGCAGGCTAACAGACTAGCCAGGAGGGTATAAGAACCTGTCTTAGCGTCCTCAACCCCTCGATCCGCACTTCCCTCGCCCCCAAACCATTGAAAGCATGCTGGACTGGAACGACACCAGGTTCGGCTTTTTGCCGTTTGACCTGTTCGCTATTGTATGTTCCCAGCCTCCGCTCCGTTCCTGCTGACCGTCAGGAAAAATGGGACTACACCACGCCAGCAAGTGAGGCCGAAAGCAAGCGACAATGGGAGATTCTAGCCTGGCAGTACCAGCGCCTGACACTATTTGAACGATGGGTTAGTCTAAATCTCTGGTTGGATCAACCGCTAAATGTGCCAGTCGTACTACAAGCCCCTCGTCGGCGTTGTCCCCCCGGCGCCAGCCTCCCAGGAACTCAGCGAGCGAATTCTCGGCTCGAATCAGACCACGCAGGAGCGCAAGATCAGTGAATCTCATTCCTGCAGGGGCCACATTGCACCCCTCTGGCTGCGAACATGCTACGACCCCACCATGGCCACCCGATACGGGGAGCTCGAATGGGCCGCCAACCCGCAAGACTTCCTGGAAGATAGGGTCCTTGACAATGAAGCACTTTACGCCTTCCCCGACGGTCCCGATTCCTGGCGACGAGTTCTTGTTCGCATGCCGGCATTCACCGAGTTCCTCGGCGCGTGCCCTATGGACGGAGACGGAGCCAACTTCCAGTACCACAGTGGCTTGGACGACGATGAGATCCTACAGCAGATCGAGGCAATCCCCGACGAGAGGTCGCGAGAAATCTCTCGTATCTCGAGGCGGGTGCAGGCGGTGCTGTACCTGGTGGATCGAGAAGCCATTAGCGCGGGGGTGATCAAGGTGCTCTGGTTGGACGAGCACGGGGAGGCTGTCTGGGACAACCGGATTCAGCCGGATGGCCTGGAGGAACTCACGCTGCAGGTCCAGGATGCAATTCGGTTCGATGAAATTGTGGACCAGGACGGGAATCGCGGAGATTTGCTTTTAATCTAGATAGATGGCTGCAGGCATTGCTTACACACCACAGGTAGCGAATGTATCGATTGCCTGGCAAAGACCAGGCCCAGAGCGAGTAGCTTCGCACAACATGCCGCAAAGGCAGGTCTTCTAGGGCTGGTTAGCGCGTGAGATCCTGTTGGGCAACTACAGATGAACTGTGATTGACGGAATCAGCGCATATTGGCTCATTCTAGCACTAAACACACTACATCCATTCTCCAACCCACCCGCAATCCCACCCATCCCGCAGTCGGCTGGTTCGCCAACATGCTAGAGTATGAACACCCAGCCATGATACGCTGGAATTAGGAGTAAAGTATGTGGAAATTTTTGGTTATGGTAAGCATAGTGTAATATTACTGTATTTTAAGCCAATCTACCACTTAGGCTGGATATAGGGCGTATTTTAGGTATATATTACTTTAAGGTTACATAACCTTACTGTTGCCACGCCGCCAAGCTTTTGTTGCCACCCTTAGTAAAAACTGGGTGTACATACCCTAGCACACCCAAAAAATGGATACGTTGCGGCAACGTATCCACTGGATTTCAGTATAACAACACGCTAGCTCCAGCGTGTTGGCGAACCAGCCGACTGCGGGATGGACGTAACATCGCGCCTACCACCCCATAATCACACTGGGCATACAGCTCGGCTCAAAGGTCGTCTCCTCGGGCGCCGGGCTATCAGGGTCTGGCTCACAATACAGCTCCATAACCTCACTACAATCAAACGGGAGCAGCTCCCACTCAAACCCGCGTTCGTAGTCCTCCTCGGAAATAGGACACGCCGTCGCCATCGCCACGCTGAGGCTGTACGCCGTCATGTTTGCCGTTGCTGTAAGCGTGCCGATGGGCTGCAGCGCGTAGGGGTCCGTCCGCGTGGTGTTTGGTGCTTGGGTGGCTGCCGGGGCTGTCACCCAGTCGCCGGCTGGGGTTGTGAATATCTCGGTGTAGGTGACTGTGATGGGGATGTCCCATTCGCCTGACCCGGGGGGTGAGATGCAGATTGTGTGCCCGGATAGGGAGGCCATGTTGCCGCAGTCGGAATGCAGGATGGGGTTCCAGGCGAGGAGTTCGGTCAGGGTGTAGGACTTGTCGGCTAGAATGGTGTTGCAGCTGGAGGTGTCGTTGGCCGTGACCTATTGTTATCTCGGGTTAGCCTTCGTCCGTTTGGCGGGTAGGGGTACCTACCGTGTACAGTGTGCAGGCATCGCCGATACACAAGTCCATCCCCACAGTCAGGGTCTCACAGTCCAGGTCGAGTGAGTTGTCGCTGAGAAGGCGGTAGTAGGAGACCCCGTTCTCGTCCGCAATGGACTCGCATGTATCCCCTTCGACCGCAGTGTACGCTGTTCCAATGCAAGGGGCCGATGAGTTGGAGGTGCTGGTAGGCGCTGGCGGAAAGGTCACGGTTCCATGGGGATAGTCCGTAGGCGCAGCACTGCAGGAAGAGACCAACGACGAAAAGGACCCTTCGCTAACTATCTGGTGGCCGTAAGTCGAGTTGAGCATCCCCGCCAGGTATTGAAGAGTGCAGTCATCACAGGCTTCGACAGCATGGTCTGTAATTTCTGGCAGACACAGTGCTCCCTGCGCTCTTCGCTGGTCAGAACAATCCTCAACTCCTGCTGTGACTTACGAGTCCTCCAAGCAAGCCATGTTCTGCGCCCACAGCAGAGGCAAGGCAATATCGTTCCCCGACTGCTCCGTGCTGTTCCCAAACGAGTAGACCGTATCGCCGCACCGGGTTCCGACCAGATTCGCAAAGCTCTATACCATCTTAGTTTCGAGGACCTTCGTCAAGAGAGTCAGCATACCTGCACAGAGTCCCTGCATTCCGGTGTACAATACTCAGCGAGCCAGGTTGAATTGATGGGTGCCTCGCTGACGATTTCAGGAGCCGTAACCAACCGCATGGGACAGGTGATGTTCGTCGTCAGTGCTGCGCGACATCCAGCGGGGATACCGGTCCCCAGTTCGGCTGGAGTCTCCCAGATCTTGATGGCCACGATGGGCGCGGCGAGAAGGACGAGGCTGGTGATGAACGCCATCTTGCTCAATGGTATCTGTAGAGGAGTGGAAGTGAGCGGACACAATAGACTATACTTTTGACCATCCGCCGCCGTACTTGAGATCCAGCACAAGCTCTATTCAGTGTTAATCTTGCTAATCAGTCAAGTCCGACTATCACTGTGACATCGCTGTTGGCCAAGAAGCATCGCGACGGACGATTTGCCCGCTCGGGGCATTGCTCGAGCAGATACAATCAATCTGTTTCAACTAGTTGATGCAAGCGTCCTGTTCATGAGATGCAGGGGCCAAAAGATCTTGGCTGGTAGCATTGCAGTAGTGTGCATCTAGCTCACATCCCACGGGGCCATTCTAGGTAGGGCTAGTCAGGTCCAGGTCCGGGCATATTAGAAGTATCAACCACTCGGCCCTGGTGTACGTATTCCAGCTTTATTCATTCTTTTGTCCCTTCATTCAGTCACTCCTTAGTATACGCGATGGGGCTGCGCCTCCCACTTCTGTTTATTCTTTTTTACCTTTTACGGCTGTTCTTGGTCGCTGCTCAACAAGGCGCAACATGCAGCACTCTGGAGCCATGTACAAGTGGGTGCTGTAGTGAACATGGTATGCGTCCGGACATCCTATTCGCCAATGTCCCACTGACTGGTTTTCTAGGTTCCTGCGGTTTTGGGGACGACTTTTGCGGCGATGGGTATGGATGGTCAACAATTGTAAATGAGCACTTGCTAAATGGCGCAGATGCCAGGGATCTTGTAACGCCAACGCGGAATGCGGCCAGTATGCGCTCGAGGAAAACTTTTCATGCCCTCTCAATGTCTGCTGCAGGTGCGTCTGCGGTCCTTTGGTGTGATAAAGCTAACGCGGCATAGCAAATGGGGGTTCTGCGGAACTACAGCCGAGTTCTGCGACGACGAATGCCAGAATGAGGGCGGTTGTCAGGATGTTGAGTATGCCCCCAAGTGTCTCTATCCGATACGCGGTGTGCCTACTCACACGCTGTTCATTCTAGACGCCCATCATGCTCGGCTAGCACCGATGCCATGGCCCTCGATGTGCGAATTGGGTACTATGGCATGTGGGGGGCGACTCGCGACTGCGACACCTACCAGCCCGAGAATATCCCTGCTGGCGCCCTGACACACATCAATCTGGCCTTTGAGTATGTGAGCGAGGACCACGAAATCACCGATACCCAGGGCTCGATTGTCGCCAGAGTATCTCGGCTGAAGGAGAAGTATCCGGGGTTGAAAGTTAGCATTGCATTGGGTTCGCATCTCATCCTATACAGCCTGGGGTATGTACTCACAGACTACAGGTGGGTGGGTGTTCAACGATCCACCAACGCAGTACCGGTTCTCTGAAATGGCATCCACTGTTCCGAACAGAGAAAAATTCATTGCCTCTCTGATCCGGTACATTCGTCGGTACGGGTTGAACGGTGTAGACCTGGGTAAGTCCTCGACATACCCTGCTCGTTACAACCCTAATCCCCCACAACAGACTGGGAGTACCCCGTCGCCGAAGACCGCGGCGGAAAGGAGGAAGACTACAACAACCTCGTCCTCCTCTGCCAGGACATCCGCGAAGCCTTTGACCGCGAGGACCCCGGCTGGAAACTCACCCTGACCCTCCCATCAAGCTACTGGTACCTACGCGGGTTCTCGCTCGCCAAGCTGGAGAAATACGTCGACTGGTTCAACGTCATGACCTACGACATCCACGGCATCTGGGACCAGTGGAACATCTGGACCGGCCCGTATCTCAAGGGGCACACGAACCTGACTGAGATCGAGGACGGGATGGACCTACTTTGGCGGAATGGCGTGAGTCCGGAGAAAGTGGTTATGGGGTTCGGGTTCTATGGCCGTTCGTTCACCATGTCTGATACTCAGTGCACGACGCCGCCAAACTGCCAGTTTGACAGTGCCGGTTTTGCGGGCGAGTGTACGGGGGAGGCGGGCATTTTGTCTTACTCGGGTAAGCGCCCTTGACGCCCATTTCTTGTGTTGAATGTTGCTGATTTATTCTGCAGAGGTGGTTAGCAAGCGCGGCCAGCTGAGTTCCAACGAATACTACGATGAAGAATCGTCAGTCAAGTGGATGGTCTACAGTTCGAACCAGGTACAACGGCTCGATACAAGATCCGACCAGCGCTAATGGCAACAGTGGATATCCTACGACGATGCAGAGTCGTTTGAAAAGAAAAAGGAATATCTCACCTCACGGTGCTTGAAAGGCCTGATGGTCTGGTCTCTTGATCTAGACACACAGGATTATCAAGCAATGACCAGCTTACTCGGCGAACGGGCCATGGAGAGCGCCCTTGTAGATACGGGCCTCAACAAGCAAGAGGCCGAACAACTCGCATTCGACCTCTCGCCTTGGACCGGAGAGCTCTGCTATACAACCCCTACATGCACTGACGGCAGCAGCGGCGAACGCACTGGCGACCAGGTCTGTAAAGGCGGGTTTACCGCCGTCAGCATGGCGCACTCTCCCCTCCAGCGCAATGGCGACTACGAGATGCACGGCGAGTGCGCGGAGGACTGGTGGCGGTATATCTGCTGCCCGACCAAGGCCATGCCCCAGGAGTGCGAGTGGGTTGGAGCCCCAGACCGGAATGTCTTTGGTTGCGAACGGGGCTGCGGTGACTCGCAATTTGAACTGAACATCGATACGTATGTTGACCACGAGGGGCACGGGAGCTGTTATACCGGTGCGCGGAGTGTAAGTCCATCGCAACGCTTGACTTTTGGGCCCAATTGCTGATCGTTGTCGCTGGCTGAAGCTGTGCTGCTCTGGGACCGAGATCCTGGACAAATGCCACTGGACCGGGTGTGAGGCCACGCCCATTGGAGACCCGTGTGCTGACGACGAGGATTATATTGCAACGCGCTATGATGATGATAACGGGGGTAAGCTTGCCCTACCTATGCTGGTCCCTTTCTAACTGCAAAGAAATGTGCCCGAGCGAGTACATGGGCCCAGCTCATGGAGATCGCTATGCCAGCCGAGCGCTCTGCTGCCCCAAGGAAGGTATGTCAAACTACTCGGACGATTGGCAGTATATCTGACAGATCCAAATCCAGACAAATTCGAAAACTGCGACTGGGCTGTAGACGACTGCAAGCCGTCCCAATGCCCAACGGATAAACTGGCAGTGGACCACGCCGCTATTCCAGAGACAATCTTCGACGCCAGCCTGACAGCGTCGAGGGAGTGCTATGGATATTCAATCCCGGCCATGACCAGCCCCGACTACAAGCTTTGCTGCGACCCGCCGTGGCGATACGACGAGGAATGGCCGGTTGAACCGAGCTACCTCTGGAGCCACTACTACGATGACGAGGACGACGATGTGAGCTGGCAGTTCAGCAACAACTTTGGAAACAACAACCAGGACAACCGTCCGAATGACTTGGATGATGACCCCGGAACGGACCCTTACGGATTCGTCATGCTGGATGGGCCGCCTGGCTCAATCAACAATGCCTTCGACGAGCAGTACACCCTGGCCACGAGGGACGAACCCGGGCGGATGGCGAAGAGAAGCCTGGTGACCACGAACCAGACCACGCTCGACTCGGTCTTCGAGCACGTCGAGGAAACCGTTCTCGTCTACTGCAACTACCCGGCCGGCTCGAAGGAGTGCCGCGAGATCTTCTACAAGGGCGCCGAGGACACCATCATCCGTCTGCCCGCGCACGTCGGCGAGGGGCCATGGGCAAGAGTCGTGTCAATGGAGCCTGTACCTCAGTCACAGAAAGATCTGCCGTCGTGGGTTGTGCGCAAACGAGACGCCAGCGAGAATGCAAACGGCGTCTATGCACTGACCTTTGATTATGACTTCCACAAGATCAAGCGTGAGGACACCCAGGTCAACATCCGCGTCGACTATACCAACCTTCTGCCGTACTGGGAGGAGATTACTGATTCCCCGTCAAGCCGGAAGCGTTCGATGGGTGAAGTTCCCAGCTTTGCCGACTGGAAGGCCATGGTTGACGAGGCCAAGGCACACGAACCTGCTCCACAGGGAAACAGGACCACGCAGGGACAGCTGCAAGTCCGTACGGACCAGGCTCCCAACAGTCTTTCCCGGCGCTGGTGGGGCAGCTTTGTCAACTGGGTGAAAAAGATGACGACCGTAACCAAGACAGACGGGGGGGTGCTGCCCATGGGGTTCATGCGCTCGCTTGTCCTGTACAGCGGGCGTCTGGTCTGTAGCAACGAAGCGGTGACCTTTACCGCTGGCATGGATATCACCGCCGACTTCAACATGGAGATGAACGCCCGTTATGCGTACTACTTCTCCGGGACCGTCGTTCCCCCGGCAGTCACCGACATGTACGCATATGTTGGCGCCAACCCGCGCGTATATGCAGGAGTTGGCATCAGAGGAAACGCCGAGTTGTACTATCCCAGCGAGCGGAAGAAGATCATCGACACTCTTACGTATCCCGGCCTTGCAATCAAGGGAATCGCCGCGGTTGGTCCGACAATGGATCTCTGGGGCCAGATCGACGGGCGAGTCACGGTTTCAGGCGACCTCCAGGTAGGGTTGACCTATGCCTTCAAGCCTGTGGAGCTGTACTTTCCCAATAACGACGAGGCCGAGAACAAGCTTGACGTGGAGGATCTGCACGATGCAAGGATCAACCAAGAAGGCCTCGTGCCGGAGATCTCTGGCAACGTCCGGGCTGATGTCGATATCAACATCCACGCAACGCCCGAGATCAACCTGGGGATCAAGGTCGGCGGCGGCATTGGGTCGCTCCAGGGCACGCTGGCAGACGCCCACGTCTCGGCTTTTGCCAATACAACGCTCAACTTCCACGCGCAGGCATCGGCCAGTACCTCGGGCGGGTGGTCCTACGGGTACTCGGTCACCTTTCTGTACCGCTTCGGCTTTGGGTGTGTTGCGGAGATCTACAAGTACGGCAAGTGGGCGAGTGGGCTGTGGTTCCCCTTCCCCCAGCAGGCGATTCCCATCATCTCGCAGACCGTTTCCTCGGGCGACTCTGCAGACAAGCGAGGCCTGTACAATGGCCCAGAGCTCCCCATGCAATCTTTGCCTGGCGCTCTGTTCGGGACGCATGAGATTTCCAACGACTACTGGCCACAAGCAGACCTCTCCACCCTGCAGACAGGCAACTGGACGTCTTCAGACCTGCTGAAGCGGGCTGACGATGCCCAGGTCGGGAAAGAGACCCAGTTCAAGCTCGGCTCGTTCCAGTGCACCACCAGTGCCGGCAGTGTCTGCGAAGACGTGGCGTCCAGCTTCAACCTCAAACGGGCTCCCACCGATCTCGCCGTCCGCCCTGTCTACGCCCTGCAGAAGCGCGCGGCCACCGACTGCCCCAAGCGGATTCCAAGGCTCTACTACAACTGCGTCAGCTTCTTTAGTGATTTCACGTTCAACGGGCCGACGGGCACCACGAATATCCCTGGCATCTGTACCAACGTCGCCAGGTTCCTGAACAACAACCGCCGCGGCAACACGGGGTATACGCTCACCTGGGAGTCCAGCTCTCAGAGCAATCGGCGAGGCAAGTCTTGTCCAAGTAACTTCTGTGACGCCGACAACGCCGCCCGCAAACTGGTTGCCTTTGGCCCCGGATTGGGACCCAGAGAACTGACGAATTGTGACGAGTTCCCGTTCGCGTCGGTGGAGGAAGGGGGCGAGGCATGGTTGGGCCTCAATCCGGCTGTTACCACTGGGACCACGCGAACATGCGTCCCGACTTGGATGAACTCGATGCAGGGAAACTGTCACAGTAAGTTGCCCCTAGACAAGCTCTGGCAACGCACCACTAACCTCTCCAGACCTCTTGAACAACCTAGAGACAAATGTTAACTACTTCAACGATCCCAAGAACCCCACAGACGCAAACGAGTACTGGGCAAGCTGGAGCCAGACCTCGTGGAACAGGAAAGACGCCTGGAACGGCAGGCAACGCCTCGCAGACTATCCAAACGACCAGCCGCACACCAATGTGCCAGGGCTGACTGCCGACGACCGCCGCTACCCAAAGCGAAGCTTTTTCCAGAAGCGCAACTTCACACTGCACCTCGCCTTCCCTCAGGCCAACGCGAACCCCGATTCCCAGTGGCCAGATCAGGCCTTTACCTCTGGCACGATCAGCGGCGGCACTGGGCGGAATCGCCCCGTCACAAGAACGGTTGGGAGTTCGACGTGGATCATCTGCGCGGTGAACAAGATGGGGCAGCAGCGGTACCGGTATGCCGGTGCAAATGGGTATTGCTGGGACGGGGCATCGACCAAGGGCGCCTGGTCGAGTGTGGGGCAGATCATTCGGGTGTTCCAGTATGTGCTTCTTGTTACCTGGTGAGATGATATTGACAGCTGGCAGGTGCAAGATTACTTTTGCTGGATCCGCTGGTCCTGCGAAGAGAGATGGGCAGCCACTGGGGTATTTTGGGGATGATGCTGTACTAGGTGAGTCTTGCACGGCCTGAAGATTGACGAAGCTGACGATACAGACATTGAGGAGGTTCAAGGCACCGAGGAGTTTCATGCGGTGCCTGCTGACTGGGAGGGGGGGTCACACTTTGTTTAACGATCGAGATCCAATCCTGCTGAGAGGAAGTAAAGTCGCCAGGTTATATCTCCCGCCAGACGGTCCATGTTCTATGTGATATATTTATGGCCATTTCAATTACATATGCCTGTTCTCTCCCAACCTGAGCAAGAAATGGGACCCTGGCAAAAGGAGCTAGGTTTGGCCCCATTCCTGCCATGGCCTCTGCAGAAGTATTGTTATAGGCAAGCCAAGTGGCCAAGGAGATATGTCAGGGGCCAAAAATAGTGTTGGGGTCTTGGAGGTGGAGACGCAGTCAGTTGATTGCTCGGATGGACTATACCAAGAACTGTATCCAAGGTGCAGGACCCTTGGCTATCATCATTCTTTCCTGAAGGCTTCTTGTACTCCCGGGTGTGGTTAGTGAATACGACTGGATCAATCCTAGGCAGGAGAAAGTGCTTTGGAAAGGTATAAAGACAGGCATTGTCCCACGTAGATTCTCATTCTTCACGCAGCTCAGTCCATCTCCTTTCTTGCCTCTAACAAACATGAAGAGCATCACCTACCTGACCGGCAGTGTCCTTGCACTTGCCCCCCTCGCCCTGGCGGGAGACCTCTGCCTGTCCGCAGCCTGCACCCTCGCACCCCCGGACCAAGGTCCCGCATGCGGCTGGTGGCAGATGTGGTCCCCGGGCGTTGACGTCTGCGGCCCTGGAACACAGGAACTCAAATAACTGAACCGTGCACATACAAGAACACTCCGCTGATATGTCTAGCCTCGGAACCGACCTCGAAGACTACCTGGTCAACAACGGCCCGATCAATCTGGACGACATCTGCGGAGAGATGGTCCTGCTGACCTGGACCGACGGGGCGCCGGAGCTGTACATGATTAACGTGGAGGCTGGCTTGTCATGGAATATCAAGGCCAAGAACATCCAGGGGTCCAGTACTGTGTGCCACTATAGCGGGACTGACTGTGGTAATACGGGGCCTATTTTCAGCCGCTGGTACTGGCCTGATCTTCCTATCTGTTAGCATGAGGATGACAACTTGTTCATTTTGAATATGTCTTTGCCCTTAGCAGCTCGTTCTGGTGCCAATATATAGAAAATATATAACGTAATCCACGGGCGAACCGCGCTTACGGGCGAACCGCGCCTTTTCTGCCACTTCCCCATGTCAACATCTTTAACGCGTTACCTCTTTACCAATTCTCTATAAAATGCCTTTATCTAAAGAATCCCGCATGCAAATGGCTATTGCTGCTTCAAAAACTGGAAAAATAAAAAAAAAAATAAAAAGGGCTGCTAGGACCTTTAGCGTGCCTAAATCCACCCTTCGTGAGCGGCTTGCAGGTGTCAAACCACGATCAGAAACACGTGCCAATAGCCATAAGTTAACAAAGATTGAAGAGGAAATACTTGTGAAGAAACTACTAGATGCTGATAAGCATGGATTTTCAATCTAATTAGAATTTCTGCGTGGAATGGTGCAGACTTTACTCCGCGAGCGTACACGGGATACAACTGCAACTATTGGAGTTAACTGGCCCTATTCCTTTACAAAACGCCGACCCGAGCTTTGTACAAGATACAATCGAAGAATTACCTATCAGCGTGCAAAGCAAGAGGACCCAAAGGTTATAAAGCAGTGGTTTTAAATAGTCCATGAAGCTATTAAGGAACATGGTATACATAAGGATAATATTTAGAACTTTAATAAAACTGGCTTTGCAATGGGAGTCTGTACCACCTTAAAGGTTATTACTGCAGTGGAGCGTAGTAAAAGACCTTGTATAGTTATTTAAGGTAACCGGGAATGGGTTACAATCATTAAATGCGTGAGCTTTAAAGGGATCTTAATACCACCAGTGGTTATCTTAAAGGCCAAGGAACATCAGGCCACCTGGTACCAAGAACCAGGGCTCCCAAAGGACTGGATACTTTTAACAAGTGAGAATGGTTGGACTACAGACAAAATAGGCCTTCAATGGCTAAAGGAGGTGTTTGAACCATGGTCTCAGCGTTCTATAACTGGTGCTAAGCGGTTGCTTATTCTTGATGGCCATTCTAGCCATCAAACTGCAGATTTTGATATATTCTGCAAGGATAATGCAATTGTCTGTCTTTGCATGCCTCCTCATACATCTCACCTTCTTCACCCTCTTGATGTTGGTGTTTTTGGACCACTTAAACGCTCGTACGGAAAGTTGGTTGAAGGCATGATGGCTGCAGGCAATAACCATATTGATAAGGAAGACTTCCTACATTTATACCCATCTGCACGTGAAAAGGTCTTCTGTCAAAAGAATATATGCAGTGGATTTATAGGAGCTGGCCTCAAGCCACTTGATCAAGACCGGGTTCTTGAAAAGATTACTTTTCAACTTCGTACACCAACACCACCACCTCTTGCTGAAGGTTCAATATTATAAGGCCCTTTATATACCGTACTAACTAGTAAAGCTATTAATTAAATACTATAAAAAAGAATAAAAAAATAAGTTATTTATTAAAAGCTAGAGCTACCTAGGGGTTTATATAAATATTTTAAGCCTTTAAAAATTTATTAATAGCCTAATTTTTTTATTAAAATAGTAAGGTATTAAGCACCTTACTTTTTTATACTAACATAGCATGTAAAGGTATTAATAAATAAAAACTTTATTAAACTTTACCTTTGGCTAATATACTTTTTTAATACTAATTAAATATTAAAAATAAGGCTAAAAATATTTATTAAACTAAGTATTTTAATAAATTTATAGTATTATTATTTAGTAAGTAGCTTAATAAGGCTATTTATAATTATTTAATTAATAAGTATTTATTTAATTTTAAGGTTTTTATATTAAACTTTTTATTAAAGCTATAAGTTATAAATATTAATATATTAAAATTTTAATTATAGCTAGATATTAAGGCTAATAAAAATATTAATAATTTATTTATTATTATATTAAATTAAAAAATAATATTAAAAATTAAATTATATTAAATTAAAAACCTAATATTATTAATAAGTTATTTTAAAGGCCTTAAATAAAGCTAGTAGTTTTACCTTAATTATTAAAGTTATAATTAAGTATTATTTTATAACTTTTTATTTAATTAAATTATTATATAGCTTGTAAATATAGCCTGTGTTAAAAAAGTAATTAAATTAATTAATTAAAGCTATATTAAAGTAGGCCTTATAAAAATTATATACCTTTAAAATAAGCTTATTTTTAAGGCTATTTAAATTAAAGTATTTAAGGGCTAAAAAGCATGTATTATAAAAATAAAAAATAAATTAATTTATTATATATTAATAATAGTTTGCTAGATTAACTAGGTATTTTAATAGTTAATTAATAATATAAAAAATATTTAAATAAGTAAGCGTGCTTGTATATTTAATTAAGCTAATTTTAAATTTTATTTTTTTAATTTATTAAGGTATAGCAGTACTAAGGTTTAAATAAAGCTTGCTAAAAAAAGTATTTTTAAAGGTTAAACTATTATATTTAGGTAAAATTAGTTTATAATTACTTTTATATAAAAGTTTTAATATAACTAAACCTTATATTTTTTTTATTTTAAATAATTTATACTTTTAAAAATTATTTTACTTTATTAAAATGCTAAAGCTTATACTTTATTACTAGTTTTTTTTTAAAAGTAGTTATAATAGCTTGGCCTTTTTTAATAAAAAAGTTTATAATAATAATATTATTTATATTAATAAAAAAAATTATAAACTTATTAATATAAAGGCACTTTTTTTTAAAAAATTATAATAAATTTAAATTTTTATAGTATTATAGCTAAATTAAGCTATTAAAGGTATAAAAACTTTTAAAGGTTATAAATAGTTTTAAGGGCTTTTAATAACTTACCCTGTTACTTATAGCTATTTAAAAAGTAAAAATATATTATTTTTAAAGGTAATATTAAAAAACATATTAATAGTATTTTTTTAATTAAAATTAAGGTTAAAAGTAATTATAAGTATTATAAAAGCTTTAAAAGCCCTTATTAAGGTAGTTATTACTTAACTTTTTTTAAAAAAATTTAATTTTAAATTTTTGTGTATATAGATTTAGGCTTTAACCTTAATAAAATAGTTATTAATATTAAATTTATAAGTAAAAACTTATAATAAGGGGATTAATTTATTTATTTTTACCTTTTATTTATTTATTATTTTTTATACTTTTATTTTATAAAGTATTCCTAGTTTAAAGTTTAAAGCCTTTAAAAACTTATTATAAAATAAATAATTTTTAAGATTACTCCAGCGCTTAGAAGAAAAAGGTAGGTTATTTTAATAAAAGTATTTTTTTATAAGGTTTTAATAAAAAGTAAAAAAGGTAAATTAAATATAATTAAAGTTATTTAAATTGTCCAAGGGAGCGCTTAAATTTAAATTATATATATAATTATTATTATTATATTATCTAAGCCTGCGCCTGGTTATTAGTAACCTAAAAAAAAATTATTAAAGTTTTTTACCCCCTAAGCGCGCTAAGCTTAAAGGCAAAGAAAAAAAAAGCTAGGCATGCTTATTTATTTTTTTTAAGTAATTACTTACTAGCTAGATTAATTAAGAAATATTAAGATGCTTAACAAATTAAAATTTATTACTAAAATTTTTTTAAATAAGCTTTTAAAGCTATTTATAAGGCCAAGTTTTATATAGGCCTTTTATAATAATAAGGTTTAAAAGTTAGTTTTAGAGTTAGTAGGTATAAAAACTTATTTAATTAATTAAAGACCTTTTTTTTACTAGTAGTATTTTTAATTTTACTAATAGTATTTTAAGCCTTATTTCTTGCTTTATACTTATTACTATTACTAATACCTTTTTTTTTTTAAAAAATCTGGCGCAAAAGGGCTTCTGCGAGGACCTGGAAGAGGGCAAGTTCTCGCTGCCCATGATGCACCTCCTCCAAGCGCTGCCAGACATCTACGTGCTCAAGAACGTGTGGATGCAGCGGCGTGTGAACCGGACCGCGACGGACGGGCAGAAGAAGACGATTCTGCAGCTGATGAAGAAAAGCGGCAGTTTGAGGTTTACGCTGGATACGCTGAGTGTTTTGTATAGTGATGTGGAAAACAGGATTGCGCAGCTGGAGAGCAAGTTTGCGGAAGAGAACTTCCAGCTGCGGTTGATTGTGGAGTTGTTGCGGAATGCGTAGAGCTGGCTTTATTGGGGCTGAAGGGAATGGCTCAGCTCTACTGGAGGATGGACCCTTGCCCTGGTAGGTTGGGTATATAATTAGCCAAGTACTGTTCTTGTTTGCTCACCCAGCGCTCCTGAGCGGCTCTTAGAATATGTATGAAGTTTCGGAATACATTATGGATATGAGCTGCAGTCCCAAGATTTGGCCATTACAAAGAACCTTAAGCAGTTTGATGGGATGGGCTCAAACCCTAAGTGACAGAGGGAGCCTCATAGTATGGGGTGTCGCAGACGCAAATGAAAAAGAATCATTATAAAGCTTTTCAGTATATTAGTTATGTACCAATCATAGACCAACAAGGACAGGTCAAACTTTTGATACTAAATACTAAGCTCGATTAAAGGTTTGACTTTGAAGGTTACTGTATGAGTTAGTCAACGCATATGGTATATTGTGGATTTAACAATAAACCATGAACCTAGAACCTAAAGAGTGATGATAAAAAAACGCAGCTCACTCAAAGAAGAGACAGAGAAGGCAGCAAACACTACCCATACAGTATGATTTTGGTTGCAAGTTCCGCTGCTACATGGCGAATAAAGTCCTGAAGTAATCATTGAGGAATAGACCCCCGGGCCCTGGGGTCCAGCTGCTTGCGAATTTGAAAAAATTCCCGGATACGCTCTGGATCTTGGGCCTTCGTTAAATGACTGATGGCCCCATCCCGCGTCTTATTGATATGTGGAACTCCACCATGAGCTAACGCGATCTCGTTGAAGGCGAGGCGGAACGCCTTCCACTTAGGGTCTGTCGGGTCGTGATAGCAGGGGCCGACTGCCATCATATTGCCATTCCATGATCGCGACAGCAGGGATTCTTGGTCTTGCTTTAAGAAGTAAATCAAGACGGGCAGTCAAAACTGGAGTTCGCGTCATCATTATCGTAGATAATGCCACGATCGCAAGGATCTATGGTGTATCTGCAGTGATGGATCCATCTAAGAGGCAGATCGATAAGGACTTTGTTAAGTAGTGCTGCCACAACATCCGGAAGTTGAAGAGCTGCGATGTTCTTCACCACAGGCAGAAACAGGTCCTTGAACAGAGAAGGGATATTTTTCTTTGCAATGTCATGCCTTGATTCCAGCTTCGGCGTCGCTGAGTCGACGAACTTGCGGCGCTGGAATAGCAGCTCCCCAGAGCTTGGGAATATCATCCCAAACACCTGATCGGATTTTCTCAGGGCTTGCAACTCCTCTCCAAAGTTCTCCAGGAATGAGCTAATCTCTGCAGTCTGGAACCTGACCTGGAGTGGCTGGCTTTTGAAGATCCGCAGCGTAACCTCGCAAATGACCCCGAGCATGCCGTTATGGGAGCGAATGGTAGGCAAGTACTCTGCATTCTGTGTTTCAGAAATTTCCATGATCTCGCCTGATGGTGTAACCAGCTTCACACCGAGAACGAACGACGAAAATTGCGCAGAGCGATTCATGGCGGTATCATTGGCATGTCCACTGCGCCGCTGATGGCACCGATCTGGAAATTGCCAAACTCCAGGATAACGGGCGGTTGAAGGCCAAGCTCTCTCAAGTGGTCGCACAGCTCGCGGAGGCTCACGCCTGCTTGGACGGTGACTGTGAGCTGTTGGATAGGCCAAAGGAGCTACTTATGAAGATAAAATAAAAATATTACAAGATAAATAATAATATTATAAAATAATAAGTAAATCTAGCTAAAAAATAATTTATATAAAAAATTTTTAATAAAAAAAGTAATATATAATAATACTAGCCTTTTTAAAATAAGCACGGGGAATAAAGTTAATTTAAGCTAAAAACTTTTAATAACTTTTTTAACTTACTAAACCTTTACTTTAATATAGCCCCCTAGTGTTAACATGCTAAAGTTATATAAAATTTATAAAAAATATAAAAATTATAAAAACATAATGGTTAGGTAGCTAAAATTTTAATTTTTTATATTAAATTTATTATTATTAATTTTAATATTTTAATAAAACTTTAAAACTTTACCTTATTTAGTGCTTTTATTAAGTTATTTATAAGGTTTTTAATTTTATTAATTTTTTTAAATTTTATAAGGTTTTTAGTAATAAATTTTTTTATAAAAAAATATTAAATATTTATTTATTTAATTCCTAAAGTTTACCCTGGTTTCCCTAACTTAATAATTATATTTACTAAATTTATATAAATTATTATAAGTTTTTTATATATTAAACCTTAATATTATATATAATTTTTTAAGCTAAATAGCCTTTTTTACTACTATATTAAATATAATAGATTTTGCTAAAATAAAATTTTTAGCTATAATTAATTATTTTATAAATTTTTAAGAAATAGGCGCGCCGTAGAAATAAAATATATATATTTTTAATAATTTTTTTATAGTTAGCATAAAAACTATTTATATATTTAATTAGTATTTTATTATTTATACCTAAAAAAATACTAAAATCCTGGTACTTTTTAAAATATTAAAATATATGCTTAACCGCGGCAAAATTAGTATTTTAAGAATTTAAAATATACCTTAATAACTTTACTATAGTATATTTAATATTTAGCCTTATTTTTTTTAAATATTTAGTTAAGTTTGCCTATTAAGTATTAATATTTTAAAATATTTTTTTTATAATAGTTTAAATATAGTAATAGCCGCCTTTATTAGGTATTTTTATTCTAGATTTATTAAAATTGTTTACCTGTTTAATTTATTAAAGTTTAGTTAATTTAAAATTTTTTAAATATAAGTTTTTTGAAAAATAAGTATTTTTTTTTATAAAATTAATATTATATCCCAGGAACTACTTTAGTTTTTTAAAATTTTAAATTTAAAGTATTTAGCTAACTTTTTTAAAAAAATTTTATTAATTTTTCCTCTAAGCGCTGCTACTAAGGTATTATTTATATAAATAATTATAATACTACCCTTGTAGGCGTAATAAAAAAATATAAATTTTTTTAATATTTTAAAGGCTTATATTTTTTAATATATTTATAAATATCTTATTTTAAAAATATACTACTTTTTTTAATTTATACAAAATATAAAAAAGTAGGTAAATAAGATTTTTTTAAACCTATAGGTTACTTTATAAAAACCTTTTTTTACTTTATTATAAAGTTAAAATAAGTAGTTATTATATTAAATTAAATATAATAATAACCCCTTTTATAAATAGCTATAAAATATATTTTTACTAGTATGTTAATAATAATTAAAGTATGTATTTTTAAGCTATTATTTTTAACTTAAAAGTTATTACATGTAACCTAGCGGGCGCGGAACTTTTTAATATTATTTTTTTTATTTTTTTTAGTATTAAAAACCTATTTTCCTGGTATAATTTCTTTTTTTAAATAATTAAAAATTAGGAAATTAATCTTCATGCAGGGATGTTTTTTAGCTTAATATTTTATTTATTTATTACTTTAATTTAGTACTTTTTTTAGGGAGATCTTATTGCCTTCTTGTAATTATTTAAAATTAATATTTTATAAGTTTTAAAAAAATAAATACTATCTAGAATTAATAGTGTAGGTAAGGCTAATAAATTAAGTAATTTTAACTTTTTTTTTATATTTTAATATTTTTATTCTTACTTTAATTACTCCGCTTGCTTATTTATAAAGTATATTAATTTAAATTATTTTTTATTAACCTTTTTACTAGGTAAAATTAGCCCTAGATTTTTTATTATAAATTAGGAGTGTCTTTTTTTTTATTTTTTTATTTTTATAATATTATATCTTAGCCTTAAAGCAATAAGCCACGGCTATATATATTTTTTTATTAATTTTTAAAGGTGGTAAGTTTTTTAAAACTTCTTGCTTTAAAACTGCTTTATTTTTTTTAATTAATTATAATACTTTTTATACTTATATCTCCTGTTTTCTACGCGGTAAGAATACTAGCATATTATTAAAAATAAATAAACTTAATAATTTACTTACTTATATTCTTTTTATTTTTTTTTATATTTTTTTTACTTTCTTAACTTTTTTAACTATCTTTTTAACTATTAATTCTTTAAATAGTTGTATAAAATCTATACTAAAAGTATTTTTTTAGTACTTATTTAACTTCCTCTTGTGCAGCCATAATTAATACTAACTTAATTATTAAAGGCGCTTTTTTTTTTAATATTTATTAAATAAATACCTAAGCACGTGATTTTAATTTATATATTAACTAAGCCTTATAGCTTGGTAATTCTCCTTTTTTTATTAATATAAATTTTGTAAATTTTAGGGCTAGAAGTATTAAATTTAGGAATAAGGTTTAAACCCTTTTAATTATAATAATCTTTTTATTCTTATTAGCTATTTATAAATTATTATTATTAAAATTTTATATTTTAAATTACTTATTAAAATTAACGGAACCTCCAGGGCCCTTATTATTAGGATTAATAGGTAAATATAGTAAAGTAGGTAAAAACACTTTATTATTATTTTTTTTTAAATATAATATTTCTTAATTTAATAATTTTTTTAAACTTTAGAAAGTATACCTTATAAATATAAGATTTTTTATATTTTATAAGTTTTCCTTTCTTTACTTTAAGTATTATTTTTAAAGCTTTTATTTTTATTTCCACAGGGATGTAAACATAGGTGTTATATTTAAAAATTTATAAATACTTTAATAAAGTATTATTTAGCACTAGTATCCCTAGGCCTTTTATAAATTTTTTTACTAGTGGCTTTACTTTACCTTTTTAAATAAAATAATTTTAAATATATAATATAAATTTAACCGCTAGTAGCTATAATTTTTTTAATAACTTTATATTTATTATTATATTACAAGTAATTTATATAATATATTTATTAAATTACTTAATTTTACTATTTCTTTTAGGCATATAACTTAAAGTTTTTTTAAATTTAGTACTAGTTTAATTCTAGTAGCACCAGGCCTTATAATTATTAAAATTTTTAATATTATTACTTTTTATTTTTATAATATATACTTTACTTATATTAAGCTACTATAAGTGCATGTAAATAAGCATGTTTAATATTTTATTTTTTAATATAAAAACTAGTAAAAATAATCCCTAAAGTTATTACTAAATATTAATAAAGTATAGTTATATTCTTATATACCCTAAGGGTTTACTATTTAAATATTAATATATATTATTTATAAAGGCTTTATAATTTATTATTAAAAAGTTTTAAAAACCTTTTTTTTTTCTTTGCTAGCTTGCAGATTTTGTAATTTATAATTATTTTATTATTTTAATATTTATTATTTTTACCTTTATTATTTAATTATATATAATTTTTATTAAGTTATAATATTAATACATGGCCTAATTACCTATGCCAAACTTTTATTAAAACTAAAGCTATATTAAAGCTTGTTTTTTAATTAATATTCAGTTTATTTAGCCAAGGCATGTTTTTATTAATATAAACCTTAAAAATAACCTTATTATTCTTTATTTATTAAATTCTTAATAATTTATTATTATACCAGAGGCCTAGGTTTATCTTAATTTTTTTTATTAATAAAATATTATATAATAATCTTAGAGACCACAGGTAATTAAATTATAATATTAATATTTTACTATTATTTAACTAAACATGTAAATTAACTTTACCTTTTTTTTTAAAAAATTACTTTTTTATTATTTAATATAGTAAAAGCGTGCTATAAAAGTTAAATAATATAAAAATCCTTTATAAGGTTTTTATTATTATATATAGGAATTCTAGAACCAGTATTTACTAGCTATTAATTATAAAACTGTAATATTATTAATATAATAAAAGTATAGTATTATATATACTAAAGTCCGCACTATATTTACCTTAAGTTTATTAAAAAATAGTAGTAGCACTAGGCTTACTAGCATTATTATTTTTAATATTATTATTATTTAAATTTATTAGCTTAATAAACTTATAACACTAAATCTTGCCTAATAATTACTAGCTTAATAATTATTTTTTTAGTACTAAATAATAATAATTTAGAGAATTATAAGATCCCTTACCGTAATAATTATATATATTTTTTAGTAATTTTTTTAAAGCTATTTTTTTTATTACTACTTATTAAACATGCCTTTTTCCAGAGCGCCTTAACAAGATATATTTTATTTATTATTTTTAAATTTAAAATTATTATTCTTGTCCCTACTTTTATTTTTATTATTATTATTATTATTATTATTTAGTACTACCATGTAAATAAAAGTCTAGACCTTTACTTTATTTAAAACTTTATAATAAAATTTTTAAAATTATATTATAATTATCTTTTTAATAGCACTTGCAGGTATTAAAATATACTTTATTTTATAATATAAAGGTATTTCCGCCTATAGTCCCTTTAAAAGTAAAAAAAATTACTAGTATAAAGTAATAATTATATTAAATTTATTATTAAATTTATACTATTTATAAAATATTTTAATAAACTCCTAAATTATACTATAGCTAGCCTAGTTAATAATAATAGCTTTTTTTAAATTATATAAGCTATTATATATTTATTTTTATTAAAAACCTGGTTAATTTTAGCATAAAACTTGTTTATATATAACACTTTTTTTTAAATTTATATATATTATTTATATAATATTATTTATTAAACTCTTCGCAAGCTATATTTAAACCTTTTTTAATATAATTACTTATTTTTAATATAATATTAATATTAATATTAAGTATAATATATTTTTTTAAATAAATACCTTAAGATTATATAGGTTTAATTTTAGGCTTATTAACCAGGTTTATATATTATAATTTTCCCTACCTTTTAGTTTTTTATTTACTATATTAAGTATAAAAGCCTTTTCCAGTAGTAGTAGTAGTAGTAGTGATATTTAACGCCTCGGGGGTACTAAGGCTGGTTTAACACCCTTTTTTAACCTTTCTTAGGGTATAAAGGCGGGCTAACACTAGGATAAATATAAATATAAGCTTAAAGTTTTTTTTTATTTTTAAGTTTTTTTAATTATATTTATTACTTAAATAGCCACTTGCGAATTCTTATGGATTATTATATATAATTATTTTTATATATAGTTATTTATACTATTTATTAAGGCTTAGGGAAGTGTAAATTTTAAGGCCTTAATAATAAGGCGTGAAGGTTATATTTTTTTAACCAAGAAAAACTAGTGGTTTAAGGCCTTTTTAAGGCTTAAAATAGCGGGTAAAAAGGTGTAGGTAATAATAGCCCGGGGGGTGGCTAGAGGTCATGGCTCCGGGGGGAGCGTAAATATTAAGGCCTTTTTATATAAAAAGGCCAAATTTTAACGTAGGAGTTATGGTAGGAGTGGGATTTAAACCCACGGCCTTGGTATATAAGGCCCCTGTGACCGCCCACTTGGCCACTCCCACCAGCCTTTTCCAGTAGGTTTATTGCTTGGTTTATTATAATAATAAAAGTAAATATAGACTTTATAACAGGTATTATATTAAGTATTATAAAGCCTTTTAACATGTTAAAAGTAAAGGTATTTATAAATAGTAGTTAAAATTAATTAATTAAATTCCGGGGCTTCCGGCGTTACTATTTTAATTAATTATATATAAATTTATAAATATAAAATAGTTAAAAATATATAATATTTATAAATAAAATTTTTTTAAAAAAAATTAGGGGCTTATAACCTATTAAATAAGCTAAAAAAGTTATTTATAAAAATAAAATAAAAATATTATAAAATAAATAATAATATTATAAAATAATAAATAAATCTAGCTAAAAAATAATTTATATAAAAAATTTTTAATTAAAAAAGTAATATATAATAACACTAGCCTCTTTAAAATAACCGCGGGGAATAAAGCTAATTTAGGCTAGAGGCTTCTGGCGGCTTCTCCGGCCTGCCAGACCTCCGCTCTGACATAAGCTTGTCATCGTCGACTGATAGTATACGAGCCATGTTTCTCATTGAGATGATGGTGCCGGTACCGACTGTGCATTCTGTTGTTGAATGCAGAGCGCCAATGACTCTCACTTGTTGATCCAGTTCAGAGCTCTCTCGGACGATGTCCTGGATTTCCGAAACTTGTGTTGGTGTCTTGAACTGACTATCGGCTACGGCAAACCGGACCGTATTGTTCCAGTTAGTCAGAGTAGGCATAGCGGAAATCTTTAGGCGAGGATCCTCTCTCAATTCTGCAATAAACCGAATGTAGACCTTTCAACGAAGAAAGAGACTGATGATGACAAAGCATAAAGACTAGGTATCTGATATCTTATAACATTGTATTGTGAGGCATGCATAATCAAAGTCCCAGGCGGCAGTTGATGGTGATGTAATGATACTTACTTACCATAGTGTTCTCCCTACTTGAACATACGAAATCCTTGGAGGTGGGAGATAACGTTTGGAGGGAGGCCTGCCATGGCCGTTTTCAGAAGTAGATGACGCCACTACCTGTCCAAGCTGAAAATAATTCTCGAAAATCATCACCGCCAGCAGCAGCTACAGCAGCAGCTACAGCAGCAGTCTGATTGCTTTATTCTGATTCATAACTGGGCTTACTGGGCGAGTGTTAGAGACAGTTAATCCCGGAATCCCCAAGTTTCACAAGCTCTTGATGACGGGTTTGTTTAGCAGCTACCCGGAGCGCTGTTCAACCACCAACCTCCCCTGAAGGGCATTGATGTCTGTCCCAATTTGAACAGATAATTAACAGTATCTTTATTGCCTTGTTTAGCAGCTGCAAGGAGTGCACTTCGTGCGTTACCAACAATATTTCACCAACCAGATATGCGTCGGAAGTGCACTCTTTAAGTGGAGTTGATTACCCAGGAAATTGCCATGATATTCAGATGTTAGTTGGTGGTTAAGGGCTGAAGTTGTGACTGATAATAAGAAACTCTGCTCTCGTTGCGTCACCATCGGCAAGATCCTTCGGCCTTATTGATATTGTTGATTGGCGTGCTCTAGTTGCTGTCTTGGCCCTGTGGCAGCAATGCAGGATAGTACATTCTTATAAGAGACAGATATCGCAATGATCTATATGGTTTAGTGCCTGCATCTTTCTACTTGCTATCATGAACAACAGAGCAATAAACCTGTGTAGACAACGCTACACAAGAATAGACGTGGTAAGTTACTAACAATAGCCGCGTTGCCATCTGATTTGGAAAGAATGATGAAACAGTGCAGAAGTAAAGATGTACAGGTTAGCGAATGAAAATAACATTTGGAATATACTGCAAGTTACAAAGGTGTCAGTGACTAAATGATGAAGGAACCAGGCAGTATTAATAATAATACTAAGCATGAGGAGAGGAGGAGATGATTCTGTGAAGCAGGGTCTACATAACCTTGGATTAATCAGGTCATGCGACCAAACTGGGAACATGCTGGTTTGTAGCAAAACCCACCAACAACTGGAGTAAAATCACCTAAAAATACCTCTATCATTTAATGCGGGTTTCGGATCATACAGCCAGCGCTCTAGAGGGAGCTCGTGGTCCAGATACATGTGGCTCACAACCTCCACATGATATGTACCATGTTAGAATAATCGGAACTTTACTCAAGGTGGTCCACTTGGTCTAGACTAAACAGACCACATCTCCACCTAACGGATCATCGAGGCCCTACAATGATGCTTGATGACTGCTGCCCGGGCGGGGTCTGCTCAATATTACCGTTTGCGACGCAATGAAGCACAGTTGGATGTCCAGGCCACCTTCTCCACATAATAGCCCTGTCGATCATCCGACTTAACAGGGCACTTCTGGTGGTAAGACCTCAAGTATAATCTATGATTCGTGGGCCCTGTACGTAGTAGTTTGATAAGTGATATGATGGGTAAGTTGATGTATTGGCACTGGAGGTTGTTAGATTGATGACATAGGTGTGATAGCAGGGAACAGTCTCTTCTGTAAGACTTGATCTCAGAATACATCTGAATCCTGTCTTCGTGTTTAGCTATACTAATCCGAGGCTCTACAAGCTTTGATTGTTCAATACAATCTGCTAAGTTCTTGTTGAGATGGATCTGTCAAGGCCATTTGGCGTTGTAGATAGACTGGCCACTATCCATTTAGACTCTTAGCATCCGCATTGGACAGAACTACTGAGCACTTTTATATGGCACCAATTTGCAACAGTCATAGACCAGTCTTATTAAGACAGCACAGGATTCAAGCCCGGATCTCAGCCCACGAAACGAGCCCAAAACTTACGACTCTCCACTAGAGCAATAATCGTCAATATCACAGCAACAGAGAGCATACCAAACATCGCTGTGAACAATAAGAGTATTATGGCTATCACAATCAGCACGATGCAGTCTCGCTTTCCAAGGTTGATTACAGCCATCACATACCAAGTAGGAGGATATTCATAACAGTAGCTGAAGGGAGAACCTCCGGGAGAGAAAGACTCCTTACTTTCTCAACCAACATGCCATATCCCGTGTCCAAAAAAGCCCCAGCAACCATATGGGCAAGCTCCTCCGGCCGCACTGCAAGCGATAGAGCCCCCGCGACTCCATCACCCGTTGCCTTGACGATCTGGCTGCCTGTGCCCGCAACAAAAGAGATGGTGTTTGCTGTTCCCCTCGCAGCCTCGATTGGCACACTATTAACAGCCTGGACAACATTCGCTGCCGTCTCACCACTGCCCCTAATAACCTCCGCAGCGATGCCGCTAAATGGTAGTCCAGTATCCCTGGTAAAACCAGCAACGCCGTTTGTGATATCACGGCCAATTCCTGTGCTTGCATCCGTGATATCTTTGGACGTCTGAGCGACATTATTCATAAGCTCGGCCGCTCCGCCTCCGGCACTCTCCATAACCTGGCCGCTGACCTGGGACACTTGCTTGACTGCTTCGCCGCCGAGGTCAAAGGGTGCTCGGATAAGATCCATATCTGGTTTTAATGAGCTGTGTACTTGGAGTTTTGGTGTTCTGGGTCTTGCTAGGAAGGAAAGAGGAAGAGTGTTTGGGGACATAGGCTGTGCTTCGTAAAGAAAGTGATTACGCTGCCACGAGAGCTACATGGTGATGCATGCCCTTAAGTTGTGAGCTTGTTGCCGTGAATCTAGAACGGCTGTCAGAGAAGAGGCTAAAAATGAAAACTTTGGTCTGATGGTGACTTCGCAACTCCCGCTGTGTATAAAAACTGGGAATTAAAAAGCCGAGAAAAGTTTACAGTGGAAATGGAAAATATAATACGCCCATATCTGAATTTCCAGACATCGTGTTGACCGTCTCCGGTAAAGGCTCTCACTTGCCCGTCCACGTAATACACTGGTGAGGTCATCTTCGCATTGTTCAAATTCATCTGACTCTTCCAGCCAATGCTCGTATCCAGAATAACCAGCCCAACTGGTGAGGTCATCTTCGCCCTCAGAGGAATCACAAAGAGATAATCGCAAAGAGAGCTCAACGTAAACGACGGCATATCATCTTACATCATAGCCAAACTCAGCATACGTGGCTACGAAGTAATTGTCAACATATAAAAAAATGGTTGGTCTCCTCGCAACCCGCAGCTCGTCGGCACTCCTCTTCCGTCGCTGGAGCTTCCACCTGGGCAGTTCGCAACGCAAGTCTTGAATTCACTCTACTTCAGAACGCACAATGGGCCTATACGAGAGCGTCATCGACACTGCCGGGACGATCTTCGGGGGCGCAGATGACAGATCCCTACGCAAACTACTCTGGACCGTTTTCGAGCGCATCAAACGTACGCCAGACCTCATCAACCCTAATCTCCTTGTAGAGACTGTGAAAAGTCTCGCGTTCTCTGTTCTGGGGTCTATATTTGGAGCGGTCGGGAGCGTCTCAAGCATACGAGAAGCCGTCTTCCGGAACGAAATCAACGCAACAACCCTGATCCTGCTCAGAGATAAAGCCGGAGATCTCGCCAAGTTTCTACTGGACTTTGTGGAGGTTGCGAAATGCTACTACAGGGCGGACGGATCCCTCCAGAGTGGCCTGGACGACGAGCATGTGCTGTACACCGAGTTCAACGAACTTGACTTCTCCAAGGACAGGAACAGACATGCTGCAATATGTCAGATGCAGAGATTGGCGTTGTCGGTTATTTACATTCTCCAGAATCTGCTCACGCCGGTCGCCTTCAAGGATATCAAAATGAGTGAACATACCAACCTCCAGAGCGACCGGGGTATAAGGCTCCAGGAAACCTACACTACAAGAGATGGCACGCGATCGAATGGGGGAGGCAACAATAGGAGCAGGATGGAAGAGCGGCACAAGAAGATGCTCGATCCAGAGGCCAAAGCGGCCATCAGCGACAATAATGAGAAATGGCTATTCGTCAACGGGATTGCCGGAGAGATGTTTTGGCTCGAGCTCGCCTGCAACAAACTCAAAGCTATGTTCCATCGGAACATCACGGGCGTTTTCAACAGGGGCGATGGTATCCTCTGGGATCTTATCGAGTGCTTAGGGCAGAGAAGCTCATACGTGCAGAATCCTGACATCAACGCCACAATGCTGAAGAACTACCGGGATGGAGTTGTGAAAGACCAAAGAACAATGATTGAACACACAAAGAGCAGCAAGATATCTCAAGAGCTTCTTCGCACGAAGCTCTTACAGACCCTGAATGACCATGGTAATGGAAATCGGCACATTGTCATGATTGCTCATTCTCAGGGTTGTCTTCTCCTTCGTCATGTTCTGGAGGACTTGATCATGATGGCGGCTGGGGACGAATATCTCAGACGTACAATGAGAAAATGCCTTTGTGTTTTCACCTTTGGCAATCCAAGCCTACACTGGAAAACCCAGAAGCCACATCCCAGGCCCCTAGGAGAACTTGATGGGACATACCTCAGTTCACATGTCCTTCGAACCGAACACTTCGCCAACAGCGGGGATTTTGTAGCAAAGCTTGGTGTCCTGAGCGAAACGAGTGACTATGGTCTGGACGAGGTCTTCATCAATGAGGAGGAGGCCTGGATTGGCCATCTTTTTGGTACACAGTACAGTATGAAACCGGAACATTACAAGAATTCGAACAAGCATCAGTCTTGGCTTCTGAAATGTTGTTTTGGGACGAAAATATCGGACGTTATTGCCCGCAATTGAACGCCGAAGGTATCGTTGGTCAGGACCTGCTTGGTTAATCTATGACTTTTAAAAGGTTGACAATTGTTTCGACTGCCTTTTTAGTTAGTTGTTTCGTGTATTCCATAGCTGCCAAGTTGGACGAAGCAGAGATTTATACCTTGGTGGTTGTCTACGAGTATTATGTATGTACATGGCGATCTCTGAGAGAAGACTACAGTGGAGTTACTTACTCAAGCCATGCAGAGTGCTTTGCCTCTGTTTCGTGTTCAGTTTTCAAATATACCATAAAGATTCAAGGCGCTGCGAGCCGCCAAACAGTGGCTGAGTCGAACTTAGGTACCTAGGGTTAGGGTTGGCGATCTGTACTACCAGTAAGTTCGTGACATACTATTCCAGGGTACCAGGGTTTTGCTGATTTCGTCGGGATTTATAGGCATAAGAGCTTTATGTGGTGATAAGCTCCTTGCAGGGCCCATGGCTACCTCGAGTAGCTCTGCCGCGTATGGCGTTTATCTTTATCTAAAATGCGTACGCGAGTACAGCGAACCTGTCTGATATACCACCCCAATACACAATCAAGACCTATCCAACATCAGCCCCCTCTGCTCGTCAACCGCCCTAAGCCGCACCGTGATCCCCTGCGCCACCTTCTCCATCTGGTCCGCAGTCTCTGTCCTGCTGCTGGCATCCGCATCCTCAGCCTCAAACCCATTAAGCCCATGGAAGAGCACGGCAAGCAGAGACGACTTCCACAGCGGCAGCTTCCGCCGTCGATTAACAAAGACCGTCAACCCCAAAAGCACGATTCCAAGCGCCACCAGCGCCGCGGGGAGGATAAGCAAGACCCAGTCGACAGAGACATAGACCTCTGAGACGTAAGCTGTTCCGGTGACGGTGCCGTTGCTGGCTGTTAGCGCAGCCTTTGTGAACGAGGCGGCGACGTTGGCCATGACGGCTTCCAAGCCTGTATTGATGATCTTGTCGACGTTGGGGGAATCAGACTGGCTTCTTGAGACGCGAGTCTAGAGTGAGTTGTTTTTCATGTCGTAGACCCTGCTTGCGTTGCCCACGAGATAGTCGTCGATCATATACCATTTCTTAAAGAAGAAGGCAAATTCGGATTTGTTGGCGTACACACTGCCTGCGTCGGGCTCGGTGGGGATGTTGACGAGCGAGGGGGCAAGGCTGCTCTCAGGCCTCCAGCACCACTCGTTGTTGCCCCATTGGTCTGGATGGGAATTATAGAAGAATCCACCATAGTCGGTTGAACCGATATCGAACGAGGCCGTTCCGTTGGAGACGGAGATGTCATATGTCTGGAGACAGAGAGCAAGTGCGCATTGCGTGCACCGCTTCACTTCCAGTGTGTCCCCCAAATGCGACAGCGGAGAATATCCCGTTGTTTTATTGCTGGCCAGGCCCAGTTCAGTATGGATAGCCACGAACTGCGGATCGCGGATCCCGACATAGGTCTTATTGTGAGGCCATATTTGATACTCGTAGGGCGACCAGACTATGTGCTCCGGGACTGTCAGGTGTCTCCGAGGCGTGCCGTCCGGCAATGTGCTCAGAAAAAAGTCAAGGGTTGCGTTAAGCGAGTCCCGCTTTGACGTGGTGATGGAACAATCCGTATACGACGTTGGCAAGCTTGTTGTTGTGGAGATGCTGGTGCAGCTTTCATGCGAAGTACTGTTGGAACAGCCCTCGTAAGTTACTTCGGGCTCGGGGGTTTCAATGGGACCGTTGGCGCCGCATTCAAAGGTTGTCGTAGACGTGATATCTTCGCATTTGCTGCACATCCCCACTGACCGGTAGGTCGGCCACCTGCAGTTCCCCGATGAGCACGTCAACCGGGGTTGCAGGTAATCAGAGGACTCGGTCCAGACGCCAGTGTATACAACATTTGCGACGTCGGTATCTTCGCGTTCGGCGCTGAGCAAGTCCGGGTCGACATAGAATGCTTGTTTTGCGAGTGCGCGGCTCAGGTCGGATGTGTCGGCCGTCTCGCGTGTCGGGTAAGTGATAATCTGCTGCACAAAGGGGTCGTATATCAGGGCTAGAATCATCAACAGCGCGCCTAGCGATGCGAGCGACTGGCCCTTGTGGTCCAGGATGATAAATAGTGAGCCCAGCGGCCCTCGACTGGCGCTGTCAAACAGCTGCATGCCATCCAGCTGCTTTCCCTCTTTGCAGAACCAGATCCATTTTAACTGGCCCATACACTCCCCAATGACATATATAAGGGACGACTTGGATGCAGTGGCAAGGATAGAAATAATAGCGTTGAGGGTCAGCCCGTATGCAAAGCTCGGGCGCGACTTCTGGTCAAACGCTCTGAGAACGCCGACAATGGCGGCGAAACAAAGCATGCTGAAGATCATCGCCACGGCCTCCCACAGCCATGTGCTTAACATGATGGACGCCCACGTATCCGAGCAACTCGCATGCTTCTTGCTTGGTTTCGCTGTCAAGGTCTCGGGACTGGGCGTCCGAGGAACGGGCTCGTACGCGGGCGGGTGGCCACCAGCAGCCTGAGGAGACATCTCGTCCCGTACGATGCAATCGTATTGGAATATTGTATGCACATCGCATGAACTCTGGGACGGGGCGGTACTTTCCTTAAAAGCCCGCTTAGGCGGACTGGGCACATCACAGCCTCGCACACTAGCGAAATACGATAAGCCAAGCCCTTCCAGCCCTAAATCAGGAATGCCCTGACGCTTGGCGATAAAGCGGAGCACGCCTAATTAAAGCTGACCGTTTGATTGGACTACAGAGTCAGCGACGGGTCATACTACACGCTTCGACGAATGAAACCCAGGTGATATGCATCCCGATTCCATGGCGAGGTCTGGACATGAGGAAGTGAAGTTGGGACTCACGGACTGTGGCGCCGTGGCTTAGGACATTAATAAAGACGCCAAGGCAGGGGACGAGAGAACCCTGTGCGATTGTTAGCCTCTGCCATGGCTATACTGTGTTGGTGGGACAATGCAACTATATCACCTGGCAGTAGCGCCTGAAGAACCAAAAATCAGTGATTGTGGTAGTCATAAGACCGATGTCCAGAAGACCCAGGCAAAGTTGTCGGTATTCTGACAAACTACCTATGTCTGTTTAGGGTATAAAAAGAATAATGCTTATATTTGCAATGCCATTCGCCGTCGACTTTTTGACAAAACCGCCAATCTATACAGTACCATACTAGAGTATTCGGTGATTCATCCCTTACCAATCGCGAGTTCATAGCAACAATAGAGCGCTAAATCATGGATAGACAAGCTTAGCCGAACCGGAAGTAGACCAAATCAAGGACCAAAAACTTTGAAGGGCCCGTCAAAGTTCTGCTGGGAACTCCCGTGATACATTAGCCAGGCTATCCATTGCCTTACATGAAAGGTCTAGGTTATTATAAATCAAGAACATGCGTACGTACCCAATTAATCAGATCCGAGTCCATCCACTCGCGTATATCCGTCAGGTTGTCGAACAAATCTCCAAACGGAGAGTCGGTGCTTTCTGCTGGGGGATTTTCTGTTCCCACCTGAGCCCTAAAGGAATCAAGTAAAGAATTAGTTACCATGATTTAGACTTGGTATAACAACTACAAGGTTTGGAAAAGGTGGGAATAGCGTACAGATGTGAACGCCTTAATATCCGATAAGCCCTGAGACAAATGTTACTTCTGCGCGAGAGGTCATGCATCCGGTCAACCAGGGCTTCGACTTCCTTTCTGACAGAAGGCAGGTCATATCCCGGGCCTAGGCCCTGGCTTCGTTCTGCATCCACTTCCAACGCAGGCGGCGTATCCTGCAGACACGCGGGAGCTAAGCGCCACGGCGGCATGGAGCGCCTTCAGACTGGTCACCCCGCTGAGCAGCCATGTATAATTTCGCAGGAGCGGAGCTTCGTAGAGCAGCCTATGGATGGATATCAAGGCTACGCTGGAACTGGCGCAGCGCTCTCTGGATGCGGCGCGGAAGCACGGTGCTTTTAGGTGGGCGAAGGGTCGGTGGAGGAGGAGGTAGAGGTGATGCGCGTATGTCTGCAGGGTGCACCAGAACGCGTAGCTGTTGGAGCCCAGGATGTTCGGCGAGCCGTCAGGCATGTAGGTTGCGTCCCATTGTTTCTGCTCCGCGGCAATCGCGGCGTCGAATTCTTGCAGTGCGCTCTGGTCTAGACGCGAGGGGCTGGAGATATGGCGGCAGATTCGCGTGCAGAGGTGGAAGAGCCGGAGCTTCGCTAGCATCATTGACATGTGCGTGGGCTCGATTCGATGCGATCGCTGTGTGATTCCTTGCTCGGTGATATCTGAATCGTCGACGTCTGCTGGTGGGACGGCCTTGATGTTCAATAGGTAGGACATGTCGACGTCTCGGAAAAGTATGCCCTGGTACGTGTGGAGTGTCAAGAGGCCAGCCCAGCAGCGCCGTCGTCTTTCAGTCTCGATGGGGTTCAGGCTGGGGCTGTCCATGTTGCACCGCAATGCGATGCCGATGTTCAATGCCATCCCTAGCAAGGCCCAGCCTTGGTCCACGGCCTCATTGTGCGAAGGGTTGTAGATGATCATTAGCAAAGCCTCGAATGTGCTGAACCGGTGACGGATGAAGAATTCGTCCTGTAAGAGACAGGTCATTGCGGTGCGGAGAAGGCGCCGGGACAGCGAAAGGGTGGCCGGTGCTTGAGTCGGACTCGAAGGCAGTGGCGACTAAGACTGCGCCAGTTTGGAATCACTTTCGTCCAGGGTATGCAGGGCCAGAGAGCACAAGGCAAAGAGCAGCGCCAGCCAATGGAGGTCGACGTCGTGTGGTCGGTGCATGAAGGCTGTATATTGCTTTTGAAAGGTCGGACCATGGAGAATGGGAAACAGAGGAGCGATGTTCCTGAAGAAATGAGACAGAAGGTAATCGCAAGAGGATCTAGGCGGGAGAGAATCGATGAGTTCGTGCAGAGAAAGGCGCGGATTGATTCTTAGAGATGGAAGGGCGTCGTGAGCATCATCCTGCTCCGGCCCTGGCCTTTCAAGCACTGTCTCCCAATGCGAGCTCGATTCAGATGCCGGCAGCTCCGGCTGTCGAGGCAAAGCATTCACAGAGTTCTGGCTCGCTGGAGTATTGCACGGCCCAGTGGACATGGATCGGATCTCGTAGGAGCAGCTGGCCTCACGCTTGCGGCGCTTGCAAGCGCCGCACGGATGCTGACGATCGCATCGTAATTTGGCGCGTCGGCATTCCTCGCAATTGACGGCTCTGCGGTTTCTACGGTGACGTATGGGAGTGGGAGCCGACATGGTCGTAATTTCAATGAGAAGTCCGACGTGGTCGGAGACAGGAGACGGAAGAGACTGGCGGGCGCTGGGCATCAAGGGAACTCATACTCTGGACAGGCCCACTTAAACCCGACCGGCGACCGGGAGCTGCAGTGGCAAGCCGGACTTAGGGCCTCGGGATCTGAATGGGATCGGACCTAAGTGGGCCTGTGCTATGCGTATAGATCAGAATGTGTGATATAAACCCCCAGCGCTGTCCTGGAGACTTCTTGTCTTGACTGTCAGCCTTGAGGAACGACGACCATGGAGACTTATTTCCAGTATAAACGGCTTCAGCAGCATGTCCGCCAGCAGCTGTTGACTCCGAAGAACAGCTGCAGCCCGGGACACACCGTCGGCTCTCCCTATCCTGCAAGGTAAGTCTCAAAATGGCTCAGTATGCCTCGTGCTTATTCTGACATGAAAGAGTAGCTGCGAATTGAGAACTCACCAAAGCGTTCCGGAGCTGCCAGTTTCAGAGGACCTGATCCTTGTCAGCTGGGATGGGCCTAATGATCCATTCAACCCTGCAAACCAGAGCACTACCCGGAAGCTTTTCATGACTGTCCTTGTTTCCCTGATAGCCCTCGCTGTCTCTGCCGCATCCGCAATTGATGCTTGCGGCGTCAGAGAATATAGTGCGCACTTCCAGGTATCCGAAGTCGTTGGTTCTCTCGCAACAGGTACGCCTTCTTCCCAGAGTCGCTCGTCCAGTAAAGAATTTGGCTGATCTTTGTTTACTCACAAGCTCTCTTCCTCGTCGGCTTCGCGTTCGGATCTCTTCTCTCCGGCCCTTTTTCCGAAATGTTTGGACGCAACGCGGTCTATATAACAACCATGCTCCTCTACCTCCTCTTCATCATGGCATCCGGCCTCGCGCAAAACCTGCATAGCCATCTTATCTTCCGCACCCTCGCCGGCTTCTTTGCCTCGACCCCGCTAAGCTGTGCAGGCGGCACGGTCGCAGACTTGTGGGATCCAATCGAAAAGACCTACGCTTTTCCTGTCTACGCTATACCAGCATTCACAGGGCCCATGATCGGGCAGGCCATTGGAAGCTATATCCCAGAAAAGCTAGGCTGGCGGTGGCTGGAGTGGATAATGCTAATAACCGGAGGCGCCGTCCTGGGCTTGGTCTTCCTATTCCAGCCAGAGACTTACGGGAATCTGATCCTGCATTGGAAAGCATCGATACTGCGCCAGGAAACAGGTGATAAACGATACAGAGCCCCCATGGAGATGAAGCAGGAGAGTCTAGCACAACGGCTAAAGATCTCTGTCTCGCGTCCCTTTGCAATGTTCTACTCCGAGCCCATCATCATCCTTGTCTCACTCTATTTGACCGTTATCTATATTATCCTCTTCACTTTTCTCGAGGGCTACACGTATATCTTCGGCGAGATCTACGGCCTCTCGCAGGGCCTGACGAGCATTTGCTGGACTGGTATGATAGTTGGAGACTTGCTTGTCGGATTCCTAGTCCCAGTCGTGTATGCGTGGACTAAACGGGCCTATGAGCGCACAAAGCCTGCACCCCTCGCCCCTGAGATGAGGCTATGGTACGCAATGCTCGGCGGTGCGCCCGCTGTGCCGGTCAGCTTGTTCTGGATGGGGTGGACCAGCAAGGTAAGGTCCCAGAATACATAGAATCAACCGATATTGACTTTCACTAGGCGTCGATATCAATCTGGTCCCCCCTCGTCGCCTCGGTTCTCTTCGGCTACGGCATAACCACCATATTCATCGTCGCGTACATGTATCTCATCAATACGTACGCCACCTATGCAGCCTCCGCGTTGGGATTCCTGGTGTTCACGCGGTATGTGGCTGCGGGGGGTGTGACTGTTGCCGGAGGCCTGATTTATCGCGCACTCGGGGTGTTTTATACACTCACGATTCTGGGCTCTGTTAGTGCGCTGATGGCATTTGTGCCCTACCTGCTGTATATCTATGGACCTAGGATACGCAAGAGAAGTAGGTATGCGGTTAACATTAACGCACCGTGATGCTGGTGATTGTGTATAATGCTGCATAATATCGGACTTTCGGTTATATGGCAGCGGTTATGATAGAGCACAGTTAGAAGATTTAGAGTTCGAGAGCTGCACACATAGGGTACCATATAGTATGCTTCAGTTGATCCATCCCTCAGATCTAGACGAGAGTCTATGCTACCTAGTAGGACAAAAATATACCAGGCTTTAAGGCTTGGAAGATATACTGAAGAACAGCGAAAGGTTGGTCTATCGAACGTATTAGGTTGTTCCCAGTCTTTCAAGGTTCTATTCAGACACACACAATCCGAGCGCTATACAACCAGAAGCCCTTGTTGGCTTGTGCCCTTTGCAGTGAAAACGGAATCTATTACTGAAGGTACAGGGCTTACTATGCCATGAATCAGATTCCGGGATGTATCAAAGCGCTGGCCGCAGTGTCTGTTTCCTGAACAACCATGACAATGGGACCCTTTCGTCGAAAGCCCAATGGAAAATAGTGTAGGTAAATCTAATACTGTCACTCTGACATTGCCCTGATACGGTAAGCGCGGACGTTCTGATAGGGCTGGCATCGAGTGTTACCCTAACACCAGTGATCATTGACAGATTTAGGGCACACCTGCCATTGCTTGAATCTGTTGAGCACTGTATACAAGTTGATGCAATATAGCGGGGTTCATAATGAAAGATCCTGTTCTAGGTCCCCTCTACGAGGAGAGGCAAATGTATGATATGCCTATGGTACAATGCCGTATTCATGAGAACGCATGCGTACATCACAGTCTGCCAGGGCACAGGACACTGACTAAGCGCCTCACCGGAGCAAGCGGTAGCAGCAGGCAGTATACACCATGACGTCAGATCACGGGACCTCGGTAGTACCCCTCCATTCAAGGCCACAACCACGCACTCCCACCTTTACTGCGAACCATACAATCAACCCCTCATCAATTCCGAACTTCCATATCCCCATCAATCAAAATGGTCTACACCATCGTCGTTCGTGCGTTCTCGCCCATTGCCATCCCTACCTCCCCTCCTTCTTTCTCCCTCCCCCACTAACCAACCCTTAACCCCTCACCACCTTACAAGCTAACCTATCTCACTAATGGTAGACATGAGGGCCAAGCCCGACCAAGAGAGCATCTCCAAGCTCGCCGCCAAGCTGCAGGAAGCCTCAGCCGTCTACTCCAAGGACAAGGAGACGCTGTCCTGGTTCGTCATGCAGTCCGTCCACGACCCGCAGGACTTCACCATTGTCGAGCGCTACCTTAACGAGGGCTCGCAGACGTACCACCTCAACAACCCCTACTGGAAGACGTTCGACCCCTATGTTATCCCGCTGCTCGAGAAGGATATGGACCTTAGAAGGTTTGAGGAGTTGGAGGAGGTTAAGGTCTAGACTTGCTATTGCGGGAGAAGTTGGATTTGCATGGATATATGTATCTATATTTCACCAATAGAGTTCTGATCACAGCTCATCTCCATTAAGTATGCATTGTCTAGATGTTCAATACATCTGTTGAGGGCTGCGGCTTCACTAAATACCAAAGGCAATGTGATTCTCCTTGTTTCCTCGTCTAATCGGGGTAGATGCTCGCGATTTTATACACCGCTCCTCTTTGTATGTTTAAGAAAGAATCCTGATTTGCAACAGTGTACCTCTTGTACATCGACTACCAAAATCACTGCTCGTATCGAATCGCAGCCACAGCCACATCCACTGTATCAGATACTACGTACTTCAATGTATGCCTACCTTTACGTGGCACCTGACCTTCAATGTTGGCTAGACTGATAACAAAACTCACTCCATCTGTATAATTCGCGAGTTTCAGTCCCCTCTGCACGATAAGAGGGCTAATAGCTGATCGGCCATACTTTTTAGGCCACATGCGATATTGGTAACAGACTGGCGTCCACGTGCTGCGGCTCCAAATGCGGCCCGTGCCACAACCGTTCTGCATGCAACCTTGAGCTTAACCCTGAGCCTCATCATCGATATCCACTCATTCACCGGAGTAGCTCGGCTGCTACAATCCCGAGATACAGCAGTTCGCCATTCCCAAGCGGATAGTAAGATAGGTTGTTGCGTTCCGTCAGTTGAGCATGAGTGTACATGTATGGATACGGATCCAAGTCGCAGTTGCTGGATATACCTTCTCAGCACTCGAGAAAAGATGATATGGTAGAAAAATGTTCTTCGGTGTTTGTTCCAGAAAATAGATCATGAGTCCTAGATTATTTCACCCCACCACAGTGTTATTGTGGGGGAGGGGTCTCCACAGCCCATGACGCTCGGCAATGACTTTACCCATCCCTACCATGATATAACTTCAGCCCTTCGCATACGCATACGCAATCACTAGTTTTACATACAACAACCCGGTATATCAGCTAGAGGATATTGCCCCCAGAATATCATCGAAAGACAGTAAATCCTCACAACCACCATGAAGCCCACAAAGTCCCAATTCCCCCCCGACGGCAAAACCCTAGTCTACTCCACCGTCGCCGGCCACCCCATCCACATGGACTACTACCTCCCGCCTCGCACCGCCACGACAACAGATTCCCTCCCCGCACTAATCTACTACCACGGCGGCGGGATGACCACCGGCTCAAGACGCGAAGCCCCCTGGCCAACCTGGATGTACACCCACTGCCAGGAAAAAGGCTACATCTTCATCAGCGCCGACTACCGCCTCTGCCACCCAGCCAACGTCCTCGACCAGATCGCCGACGCAAAGGCCCTCTTCGCGTTCCTGGATAGCCCTGCCTTCGCAGATCACCTACCACCCACCGTCTCACTGGACACGGCCCGCATCGCCGTAACCGGCTTCTCGGCCGGCGCGTACTCCGCCCGCGCGGCGTGTCTTTATGCGCGTCCTAAACCTGCTGCGCTTTTATCTGTTTATGGCCTCGGCGGGGATGTACTAGCTGATCACTGGACGCGCGCACGCCCGCTGACTTCGATCGCGAAGCGCTTTGACTTGAGTGGTGTGCCTGCTATCCTGGATGATAAGACGGTCGTCAGCGAGAGTAGCTTTGAGGAAGGCCGCTTTGCGCTGACGGTCCACTGGGAGGTTAGCGGGACGTTTCTGGACGGGATCTTCCAGGCTCCTGGGCTTGGTGCGAAGCTGGATGCGCTGCCGTATGAGAAGAGGTTTGATGCTATCCCTGATCACTTGAAGCCCGGCGTGCTGCAGGCGTTCGTGACGCGGGATTATCCGCCCTCGGTGTTTGTGCATGGGGCTGCGGATGAGGTTGTTAGTCCGCAGGAGAGTCGGTATCAGCATGAGCAGTTGAGGAACTTGGGTGTGGAGTCAAGGTTGCTTGTTATTAAGGGCGGGCCGCATGGGCTGGAGTTTTTTGAGCGGAGTGAGGACTCACGGGTTGTGAGGGATTCGATGAAGGTGTATGGAGAGGCTTTGGCGTTTATTGATGGGATATTTAAGAGGACTTAAAGAAGAGTTCTAGCCTCGTGGTTCGTGGTAGTAGCTCGGTTGTAGCCATGAACGTTGCCTACATATCAATGGGCCTCGATGGTGGTACCATACACTTGACGCCGGGCCGCCCAGGGGAATGCCACCATCCATATATACCGTAGAGTACCCGGTACCTATACTAGTTACCGTGCCAGCATACCTAGCCCTTTACTGCGTATCTTAAATGGACTGACCCATTATCCCGCACTCTGTGTGCACTACTCAATCACAGTTCAAGTACAAAAATATGGCCTGGACTGTACCCTAGGCTTACTCAAGTACAAGTACCATAGGCGCCCGTTTCACTAGCACAAACTGCGATACTCAACGCAGTATCTCTTCATGCATACAACTGATATCTGTGAAGAGTATGTACATTACGCCGTCTCTCATCTAAAACCTCCGAACAGACATCTAGTACGCGGAAATGAGATAGCACTAATCCATATTATACAGTTTCCAGCGAGCCTAAATCCTTGATCCTCAACCTACTGCAAACACAACTTGACGACTTTATAATATCATAGTCTGGACTCCACCAAGGGATGCTTCCACACTGAGTTCACGTGCGCGCTACCCTGGGCCATAGCTAGCGCCTTTCAAGTTTAATATACCGGAGTATTCGGGGACCTCTTATGGAGTTAGCGTATATCCTAGCCAAGACTCCTGGCCTTCCATTTAATGTGGGCTTTCCCTCCAGCTATCATTGTCTGGATACAAGCCCTCGTCCTTCGTTTAGCTTTGCATCTCAACAGCTCCACCACAATGACCACCGCACCCAATGACCCCGATAGCCCTGACAACAATGACCCTCCCAACATCGACTACCTCCCACCAATAAGAAACCCCGCGGACGAAGAAAAACTGCGCCAGTTCGCGCGCGACACGCGCTACCCCGCCAGACAAGAAATCAAACTGCACCGGGCGATCCGCAGAAACGACATCGACGGCGTCCGCACCGCACTCGCCAACGGCGTCTCCCCAGACGGCCGGTTCTGCGGTCTCAGCCCTATCACGCAATGCCTTCGCTACGAGCGGCCGCACATCATGCGTCTGCTGTTCGAGCACAACGTGAGCTCTCCGCAACCCTGCACGCCCGAGAACGGGTTCGAGGACGAGATCCTCCTCGCGGCGGAGAAGGGGAATCTGGACATGCTCAGCGCGCTCGTCGCGTACCGCGAGGAGAAGCGAGGATACCGTAGCCGTGGGTTCCACTTCAAACCGGGGTATATGGACTATGCGGAGCCGATACATGCCGCTGCGCGGGGGAACGAGGTCCCCGGGTGTATTGGGTGGTTGTTGGAGCGGGGCGCGGATGTGAATGAGGAGACGCCGCGGTGGCGCACGCCGCTGCATTTTGCGGTGGACCGTGAGACGGCGAGGGTTGGTGTTGTCCGGTATCTGTTGGGCATGGGGGCTGATGTGGATCGTGTGACGGATATCGGGGAGACGGCGATCTATTTGGCTGCGGATCGGGGCAATGGGCGGGTGGTTGAAGAGTTAATGAAGTGGTCGCCCCGGTTGGATGGGAGGGTTGAGCCGGATGGAAAGACTGTTTTGCATGCTGCGGCTGCGAACTGTTCACTGGAGGTTGTCAAGCTTCTTGTTGAAGGTGGGGCGGATGTTTATGCGAGGGATAAGGAGGGCCGGAGTATACTTGAGTATGCGAGGGGTAGCAGGAGGATCGAGACTGTGGACTGGATTATGGGGAATACGACGTTGGAGACGCTTGTTACGGAGGTTTTTTGATCTTGCACTTTTATTTAGAGTTCTCTGATATACTGAATCTTGTTGATCTGGATCTCTCATTTCTAAGAACTCTGCTGCTATCGGTCCCTGGGTATCTGTGCCAACTGTGGAAGATAGTCAGTTTACAACTTGGAAAGTTTGAGTTAGGGCTAGGTTGTGATATGAATGCAGGAAATGTGATGACCCGACGCAAGCATAAGCGAAAGCATGAGGCAATTGCGCCCAGATCAGCAAGATCGCCTCATATAGGCTTCGTTAGTTGTCTACCTCGATTGCTTTCTTTGTCCTTGTTATGCATGTCTGCCATAGTACGAACTTTGTTCCAAATTGTCTGTCTCTCGAGGCCATACCCTTCATTGTAGCATGCGACCCTGATAGTACAAATAAATCCTTCCCCTCGTTGCTACATGCCTGGGAGTCCTTCGGTATGTGCTCAAGTCAGATTGCTTTCATCCAGCATGGAGTTCCCAATCATCAGTCAAGCACCTAGACTCCAGCTCCGACTTCGCCGACGTTTCCAAGCAAATTTTCCAGGCTAGCCAGGAATGGGGATTCTTTATTGTCACCAACCATGGTATTAGCGGCACCAGTACGGAGAGGATGTTCACATTGGTAAGCTAGCTTGACAGGCGAAACATCGTCTAGACTGAGTTAATGACCGAGGACAGTCGCGCAAGTTCTTCGACCTACCAAAAGACGTCAAGTGCGAGAAACCTCTCAATGAGCTCGGTGTTGGATATGACGACCATAAGGCCAACGGGTGAGACTCATTTCGTATCCAATCCAGTCAATAAGCAAGCTAAAGTGCAAACGCGAAGATTTGCCGCATCAGAAGGGATGGCATTCGGCCTTCCGGCCGGCCAGCTTGCCCAGAGCTCAAACATGCACGACTGGTGGGACAGCGTCAAAATCGCCGAGATAGAAGCATTCAAAGCTCAATGCAGCGATCTGACCTTGCGTCTCCTTTCCTGCTTCGCCGAGCACATGGACCTACCACGAACGTTCTTCGAGACTTCCCATAAACAAGATGCCGGCCTATTACCTGGCAATGCCCTCAAATTCATGAAGTACCCCACGCTATCAGAGAAGCCAGAAAATGCCTTGGAGCGTCTATCGGCTCATACAGACTGGGGCACCCTCACGCTCCTCTTCACCGAGTCGCCGGGTCTAGAGATCCGTGGACCTAATAATGAATGGCACGATGTCCCCGTCGTGCCCGGCGGGATTGTAGTGAATATCGGTGATCTGTTGGAGTTTTGGTCTGGAGGGCTGTTGAAGTCTACTATGCATCGCATCTCATGGGAGAAGGTTCCGATTGAGCAGGACCGGTATAGCATGCCGTATTTTGCGCAGCCGAGTTTTGGTATGGACTGTAATTTGCTTCCAAGGTCCACTCGCGGCTTCAGGCTAACGATGGCTTGACTGTATCTAGATACTGATCTTCGACCGTTGACCGGGACTTTGAAGAGTGATCTGGAGGCTGAGTCGTTGACGTACGAGGAATACTACCATACGCGGATTAGGTTGACTTGGGGGAATGTCTTGGACGACGAGGAGAAACCGGCGAAAATGAACAGAAGGCTTGCAAAGTATTTGGATTTGAGGAAGAATACGGCGGGTGAACATGTCAAGTAAGTGTTGTTCTGGAGGTAGTGCTCAAGATTATAACATAGTTACCGTACATCTGAAATCTTCACCACAACCTCTTATCTTGCCATCGCTACGCAATGCACCCTACTGCTCGAGTCCATCAAGTCAAGGAACTAGAGCACTTTAGCGTCCTGTCCAAATGGCTTGTCCCGGGCCTAGCTGGCACCGTCTCTCACGGTCGTTTCAGGTTTATTTCAGCGTAAGAATTACATTAATCGAAGCAAGTTGGTTCGCCGAGTCTCGAGGCTGACCGTTACCGAGTAGCTAGCTTTAGCATAAGCCGATATTAATCCCATGGCTAGCCAATATTACCCCGCGGTATTTAAGATCAAGGCTCCTCTCCCCCTCCAATATCCCTCCACGATAATTCTACCATTGCACAGTTGTTCAAATGATGGGGTCGTTATCCTTGAAGGATGCACTCACGCCTTCACTGGGTCAAGCCGCATTTATTGCCTTCTTTGCATACTGGACCATCTGGATAATCTACACGCGATGGCTCCATCCCCTTTCTAAATTCCCGGGTCCGTTCTGGGCCTCTGTCTCGCGGATTTGGACCGTTCTTCACGTTCTTCCCGGTGATGCAGAGAAGAGGCAAAGAAAGCTGCATGAGAAATATGGTTCGTCTGCGACCGAGAGAAACATCGGATGATTATGCTTACAAGGAATGGATAGGGCCCATTGTCCGCATCGCACCCAACGAGTTAATCACCAGTGACCCGGCAGCTATCAAGACTCTCTACGGGACTAAGGCGGGTACGATGAAGGTAAGTCCTCAATATTTATGGATAGAGGGAAGGGTTTACTGAAAGACAACAGACGGATTTCTACCTCGCATTCAGACCACCATGGGGTATACGCCAGACCCTCCATAACAATTCCCCCGGCCCCAGCTAACCAGCCCCTATTCAGCACGTTTCCCCGACCACTTCAGCTCCCCCGGCGGAAAAGAGCACGGCGACCGCCGCCGCATCGTCAGCAGCGTGTACTCCATGTCCAGCATCCTGCAGTCAGAGAGATACATCGAGGCGTGCATCGACGTGTGGGAGAGGAAACTAGACGAGATGGCCGATCGCAAAGAGTCGTTTGATCTGTGGCTTTGGACGAGAATGTACGTCCCTCACACTATTTCTAGAAACCCCTACTCGATATACTGATTCCGGGTGATTTAGGTATGCATACGATGTCATCGGCGAGCTCTTCTTCAGCAAGATGTTCGGCTTCCTTGAAGCTGGTCGCGATCACCTAGGGTATATCGCGGCGACGGACGACCTGATCCCCGTGCAGTTTATTGCGGCGAATATGCCGACGTATGTGCGGTCGCTGTTTATGCTTACTGGTATCATGCTACCCAAGGTTCGAGGGGCGTTGAAGGCATTGGATAACTTAACTGAGGCGACGGTGGTAATGATCAAGAAGCGGCTGGCGGCGCTGCAGGTGGATGAACCAGATGCGAAACCGCAAAGAGCAGATATCCTCGGAAAGCTACTTGACATCTCGCATCGAAACGGCAAGGAGGTGGATTTTGAGCTGGATGATATCAAGATGGAGTCTTTTGGGGGGTTGTACGTTGCACCTATCCTACTCTTCTACACATTCGTAGAAGGAAGATACTGACATATGCATGGCCAGCTTCGCCGGCAGCGAAACAACCGCCACAACCCTCACCGGCATCCTCTACCACATCCTCCGCAACCGGGCCGTCTACAACAAACTAACCTCCGAAATCGACGCCGCAACGCAACGCAACAAACTCAGCACGCCGCATATAACGTACAAGGAAGCCACCGCGCTCCCGTACCTCGTCGCGTGCATCAAGGAGGGGATGCGCATGCACCCGGTCAACGCGGTGTCGTTCCCACGTCATGTGCCTGAAACTGGGTGCGCCGTTGCTGGGTCCTGGATTCCCGGGGGCGCAAGGATAGGGGTCAACATGGCCGTCGTGCACTTTGATAAGGGTGTTTTTGGAGATGATGCGGGTGTGTTTAGGCCCGAGCGGTGGATTGATGGGACGAGGAATCCCGTGGAGATGGAGCGTCATTTGTTGAATTTTGGGATGGGAAGTAGGACTTGTTTGGGGAAGAATGTGAGCCTCCCTATTCCTTGTGCAATGGATGTTCTGTTTGGATCATGGAATCGATTGCTGATTGCCGCAGATATCTCTGTGCGAGATATACAAGGCTATCCCGCAGCTACTGAGACAGTTCACGTTTGAGCTGGGGAGTGAGGAAGAGATGAAGACGAAGTCGTATTGGTTCTATAAGCCGGTTGCTCTTGATGTTAAGGTTTGGCGTCGTTAGTTGCAGCATGCACAGCTCTTAGCTTGATCTCGAATACAGCCTTGCTCAGAGAGTGGCGGAATAAACAAGATCACGGGCCACCTGTCCCAGTAGCCCCACTAGTAAACGGCATCGTGGGACAGCACTACCCGAACAGGGCGCTCTATTAAATATGAGTTCGCCACCTAAACATCTACCATTATCCGGATTATCCTGGCCTGTTAAGCAAATGTTTATATATCCCTACGGAGGGGTTCCAGCTGCAGGGTTCTTTCAATGCTGACTTCCCCCTTGGCATCTTCTCTTATACCACCAAGTGGCACGTCCAAACCGTGCTCATCAGTTTCTGATTATATCGTGCACAAACAAAGAATTAACTGGCCTGCCGAAGTCAATCTTGCCAGGTATATTACTAATATCCATGCATGCTCATTGCTGAGGCGTGGCGTATTCGACCAATTCGAATAGGGCCTTCGCTGGCACTTTTGTATAGTCATATTTCTACTTACATCGGCTCTTGATATTCTACGGTATCACTTGCCGCAGGGCACTTTGCCAGCTGTAGCTCGAGTCTACTTCATGCGTCTAGCCTGGCATATCATCAGCTAGGGATTACTATCACTTCCCCGCTTGGCCTCAGCCCTAGCTAACTATGATAGGTAAATCCTTCACCTGGATTGATATGCCGACACTTGTTTTTCTCACGGACCCTGGCGAACCTTAAAGGTACCCCTACCATGGCTCTTCATATTGCCATACTCCTAACCCTCGTGTTTGTACCAATTAGTTATGTAATGCCAAATATAGCGGTGGCCCCGCTAAAAGGAGCGATTGTGAGCTAAGTTCTAGGGCATTCAATTCCTCCACCCTTTGCGCTCTATCCCCTGGCAAATCCAGTCCAAGCACTCTTGTCTTCATTCTTATTGGAAAACAATAGAGAAAGTTTGATTCAATATCAAAATATTCAGTCTTGACCCCTTGGCCACCCTCGTATTATTGAGTTTGGCCCCCATTAGCAGCCGTTCGCCAAGAACACCCACCTCGTGGAATTATTTTGGCAAGCCACCTCGTTTTCGAGAATAATGATCTGCCTCGTGGTATATTCGCTAGTTTCGTACGAGATACGGGCCCTTATTCGTTGAATTATGGTCGAAGATTTGAGGGAGGGCTTAAGCGCTGCCAGTTCCGGCCGTGGGTAGCCCTAACTCGGTCCCGGTCGGGAGACGGCCGTGTACTCCCAGCTGGAGGTAGCTCGAACTTGCCAGCTCATGGAGAGTACATAGATACTAAATAAGAGTCAAGCATATCTATTCAAGACTCCTACCCATTCCGTCAATGCCCATAATGAATCCGCGTTGAAAATCGCGATCGCCTCGTCACGGATCACCGCAGCAGGGATCCGAATCCTCCGCGGACGAACTCCGCTCGACGGATTCAACGCAAGCAACTCACTCTCCTACCGGTTTCGTCGTAGCCTAACCATCTATCCCGAGGCTGAGCCTAGAGCGGTAAAGGTGACGAGTTCTGAAACGTCTGCGACGCGGATATTTCCGCTGCGCTGATGCCGTCTGTTTCCAATCCATGGGCTACCAGATGCCACTGTTGGCGATCTACTGACTATCGCCGTGACAATGACATCCTCCACAAATAGTCGAGCTGTCAACCCAACGTTTTTCTCCTGTCAACTGTCAACTGTCAAATCTGTCCCCTTGTCGCTCGGTGGGTGCAGTGGGACGTGGCTGGCCGAGGCGGCCGCCGGGCGCCTCGCTGCCCCCCCACAGTGGAGCGCGAAATTGCGATGTGCAAATCTAAGATCAGACCCCAGAATCGATCGGCTGCGCTATCCAAGTCTAGAAGCTGCAAGCCACGAGCTAGCCCGGGCGTGTGTGAGAGTGAGTCGGCGAACCTTCTGCAGACTGCGGCACTCGGGCGGGATCGTTGAGCTTGCGGTCTCCGTTTCTCAGGGGAAAACAACTTTAACCTTGCAATGCTTACTCTTCTTCTTATACTGTCGCGTGGCACTTGACTGCATCAGCTGTTTCTTCGCCTGCTGCTTACTCCGTCTCTGTCTCATGCGCTAGCACTGGGAAATGGGGAACCAGTACGCTGAGAGCTTCACCCTACTAGGGCTGGGCCTCGTCTTCATCCTCACCCGCGTCTACGTGCGCTGGACCCAAGTCGGGCCCGCGAGTTTCCAGCTCGATGATTATCTTATGCCGATAGCTGGTGTATGTCCTCTGCTGCCCTTTGCATCTCACTCTCTAACTCTTCTTTGTGCAGGCAGTCTTCGCCGTCGAAGTAACCCTCGCCTACCTCGTCGGCTCGAAATACGATGGCCTCACAAACAGCTACATGACCGACGCCGCGCGCGCCGCGCTCGACCCCACCTCACAGGAATACTATAACCGGCAGATGGGCTCGAAGATCCAGATTGCGGGGTGGTCGTTGTATGCGATGGTGCTGTGGCTGATCAAGGGGTCGTTGGCGGTGTTTTATTCGCGATTGACGTATGCTGCGACCGTCAACCATATTGCGACGGGTTAGGGCTGACAGGTGTTGGTGTTGGCGTTAGGACCGGACTCAGCCACCTACCCACTCGCGTGCGCTTCGCGTATATCCTCCTGGCCGTGACGTATCTCGGCGTTGCCTTGACGCTCGTGCTGAGTTGTCAGCCCATGCGGAGGTTCTGGCAGATTCAGCCGGATCCGGGGAGTGCGTTTGCCTACATACCACCCATCCACCCTCTCCTTTTCACAGTAAATACTGATTTATCCATGGTGGCAGATACATGCCAGCCCGCCCGCTCAATCGTCTACGTGCTCGTCGTCATGATCCCAAACGTCCTGACAGACCTGTACCTAATGTCCATCCCGCTGCCTCTCCTCTGGACCGTGAAAATCGGCATTAGACGCAAGATAACCCTAATGGGTCTCTTCAGCGGCGCGATCTTCATCGGCGTTGCCGCCGTGATCCGCGCGGTGATTATCATTACTGTACGCCTACACCCCGAACCCCTCCACGTTATTCGAGACCGTATACTGACGAGGAATATGGCCACAGGCCGGGGCCAACGGCGCAATCGAAGGCAGCAAGTGGGCGTGCCGTGAGTCCTTCGTCAGCATCGTGGTCTCGAACCTCCCGATCCTCCAACCGCTTATCCGCCGCGGCGCAAGCAAGCTCGGCCTTAGCGGGCTGTTTAGTAACAGCGGTGGGAAGGAGAGTAGCTATAAGTATCGTGGGACGTCGAGGCGGCGAGAGGGCGATTACCCGCTTACCAGTGTAACGGGGAACGGGACGGTTACTGGGACGACGAAGAGTAAGGGGGATAGGAAGCGGGATCGCCTGGGGCTGAGGACTTTTGGGAGTGTGCATCATAGTGAGGCGATGGGGAGTGATGAGGAGGTTCTTGTGAGGACTGGCGGGAGGGAGAGGAGTGCAACGAAGGGGCAGATTACGGTTACGCATGAGACGGTTATTGAGCGGGAGGAGATGGCTGGGGATGGGGAGGGCATTGGGGTGGCGAGGGGTGGGAGTGTCAATGGGCATGGACATGGGCATGGGCATGGGCAGGAGTCGATATCTATGTCTAGCTCTGCGGGGAATAGGTGGGATGGGGGGATGAGGAAGATGTAACGATCATTAATATTTCGTATTCTCAATGCCTAAGCTGCAATATACTTCTGGCCCTTCAAGCAAGTACCTAGAATGGGCTTCTCGCCTATTATTCATGGTCGACTGAAATGCCTCTGTTTTGGGGTGGGACAAGGTGGAGGGGAAAGGGATATATGTACCAGGGGCATAGGGCTCTATGGGTACTCCGTAGAGCAATATTCTAAATATCCACTGCTATGGTAGATATGCAAGATGAAGTGGTTACTGAGAAACACTACCTAGGTACTACACCACCAAACACTGTTATAAGGTGCAGTTGGTAGAGTTCTCCCGATCAATGAACACTCGCCGGATAGCTAGCCATTTGAAGGACGTTAGTCACTCCAGCATATCCACTCAGGATGTACTTCTAGGCAAAGTAATATATGATAGTCAGACCTGGACAATCTGGAAATAATGGTGGGGCATGACATGTAGATCTGAGTAATGCTAAGAGCGCAAATTGAATTATTGAGCAAAGAAGACCAGAAGCTGGCATACGTTGTAGAAGGCGTAATGATTTAAACTAACCCAGGAAAGACTTTATAGGTAAGATGCATCTATACTGCATGTGGACAGTATTGAAACATTCTACAATATGTGCCGTAAGGTTGTTTATATATAACATTTGAGGCGACAAATAATGAAACAGAGATAGATTCTAGTGTCCAGCATACATGAGGCTGAGGTCTTGAGATTAGTATTGTATCTTGATAGGCCATTGGTGGCTACATACTGCTGGGTACCCTGTCTTATTAGCCTTTCTGCGCGGCTATGCTGCCAGCTTGGCCATTAGAACATGGCTTTTCCGGTCATTGATAGGTTAAAGCATCCCAGGCACCAATACGAGGCATTCGAGAGTCTATCCATACTGGTTGGCCCCAGACACATTGCCAAGGGTACACTGCGCATAATCGATGATCAAGGCGCTTACGATGTCGCCCATGGTCGGTCAGCTGCACCTGCACCGGCGACGAGGCTGAACTTCCAACGTCGCTTCCGTCCCACTGCCCAGGCAATTCTTCCCTCCGCATCCTCTTCAGCGTCTCATCTGCCCATCAATATCTCCACCACCGCATCGAATTCCATCAAAAACGACATGCAGGATGGGAAACCAAGAGTACACAATTGGATGGGTATGTGCGCTCCCCATCGAGAGGGCCGCTGCTCGCGCTATGTTGGACGAAGTGCACGAGACACCGGTCGAACGAAACCCCTCGGATAACAACGCCTACACCCTCAGCCGCATCGGTCCTCACAACATCGTCATCGCAAGCCTCCCGGCCGGCATTTACGGCGAGTCGCCGGCGGCCACGGTCGCCGCGCAGATGTTATCGACCTTCCCTTCCATCCGGATTGGCCTTTTGGTTGGCATCGGCGGGGGCATTCCCAGCGAACAACATGACATCAGGCTTGGAGATGTCGTCGTCAGCAGGCCGGAGAAAGATGTGGGCGCAGTGGTTCAATTCGATCGCGGAAAGCGTCTAGGACACGGTCGGTTTATACGCACGGGATCCCTGAACAAACCGCCGTCGGTCCTTCTGAATGCACTAGGGGAGCTCGAAGCCGACCACGAGCTGGGAGAAAGCAAGATGCTTTCGTACATGGAGGAGATGACCGAAAAATATCCGAAGATGCGCACTGAATATTCGTACCAAGGGAAGGCAAATGACGTCTTGTTCAAGTCGGGCTACGAGCACCCAGAGGATCGACCGACCTGCAATGAATGCGACCATGAGCAGATTGCACATCGGCCCGAAAGAAATCCTAACCCCCTGACCTACTTCGGCATTATCGCTTCTAGCAATCAGGTCGTCAAGGATAGCGTACCGCGCGATCGGCTTGGAAGGGAACTCGGCGCTATTTGCTTCGAGATGGAAGCGGCAGGTCTGATGGATAATTTCCCCTGCATTGTCGTGCGCGGGATCTCTGACTACGCGGATTCCCACAAGAACAAACAATGGCAACGATACGCTGCTGCAACAGCTGCGGCATATGCCAAAGAACTTCTACACAAGATACCACCGAGGCAACTGAGTCTTGGGCCTCCGGCAGCGCAGATTCTACATGAAAGTTAGTCGTGACCAAACAACTGGCACGGCGTCTCTGACCGACCATAGAGCTCCTGGAAACTCATAACGAGGTGCTCACAGTTCGCGAGGATATGTAGGTCACCTCACAAGCGCGGACATCAGCGAAATGAAGAGCTAACCAGGAGCCAGTCAGACTATTGGCCGCAGGCTTCACATCGATACCTTACCAATCGCAGTCGGAGCGGCATTCGACTCGTACGGAGATGAACCTAGCCCACATTGCCACCCAGACACCCGATTAGACTTGCGTCAGGAGATCAGCGAATGGTCTCGAGGCTCTAGCGAAAAGACTGTGTTTTGGCTGAACGGTATGGCTGGCACCGGAAAGTCTACGATAGCCCGGACGGTTGCTCGCTCTTTCCAGGGCGAGGGTAGGCTTGGAGCCAGTTTCTTCTTTAAGAGAGGCGAAGGCGGCCGTAGTAACGCCTCTCGGTTCTTTACCACTATTGCGGCACAAATAGCTTCAAGCATACCAGCATCAGGAAGCCTGATTGAAGAAGAAATCAGAAAAAACCCTCATATAGCAGATAAAAGACTGGCGGATCAATTCCACAGCCTATTCGTGCGGCCACTCAAGGCCTTGACCTTACAAGCATCGCCACCGCGCATTGTTGTGGTTGACGCACTGGATGAATGCGATGAGGTCAATCACCTCGGAACTATCATTCACTTCCTTTCAAGTGCAGACGTCAGGGAGGCAGGGCTGAAAGTCTTCTTAACCAGTCGACCGGAAACACCAATTCGTATCGGCTTCAAACAGCTCGCCGGGGAAACGCATCGAAGCGTAGTGCTACACGAGGTCGCCCAAAATACTATTCAGGATGACATCCGTGTGGTGCTTGAGAAAGAGTTGGGCGAGATAGTCGAAGACTACAACGCGGTAGCTGTGTCCGCGGACACCCGCCTGCCCCTGAAATGGCCCGGGAGCACGGCTATCTTCCGTCTAGTCGAGATCTCCTGCCCGTTGTTCATCTCTGCCGCCACTATATGCAGGTTTTTGAGAGATTTCAGGTTCCACCCGAATAGTCAGCTCGCTACTTTGTTGGAGTTCCAAGGTGCTGCCAACCATGCCACGGCCCTTCACCTGACCTATTTGCCCATTTTGGACCGAATCCTGGTGGATGGGCTTACGAAGCGTCAGCATGAGGACCTCATTACCAGGTTCCGTGTGGTAATAGGATCAATCATCGTTATTGCGGAGCCTTTGTCCATTGGTCACCTTGCCTGGCTTCTGGATATCGCGAAGCACGAGGTGCAGAGTATGTTAGAACCATTGCATGCGGTCCTACATATTCCTCGAGACGACTCCCCTGTTCGTCTTTTTCATACTTCTTTCCGTGATTTCCTAGTCGAACGAATTCCAGAAAACACGACCTTTCATATCGACAGTCCCAGTGCGCATCGTCTTCTATTCACCCAGTGTCTTCATTGCATGTACAGAACTCTAAAACCACGAGGGCTCTACAGAAACATCTGCGGTCTCGGATTTTCCGAGGACTTGGACGAGTTCCCTGAAGAGGATACCCTGAGTAGGCACATACCAAAAGATCTCCAATACGCCTGTCTCTACTGGGTACACCCCTTAAAACAAGCTCGGCTGGTTGTACAAGATGGAGATGAGGTTCATCGCTTCTTGGAAATTCATCTCCTGCATTGGATTGAGGCAGTGAGCCTTCTCCAAAAGGCGTCGGTAATTTTACAAAGTATTGATACTCTATCAACACTGGTTGATCATGTTGGTATTTATCTCATTGCTGAAGGAAGACCTACTGACACAATGCTCTCCCAGACTCGCAGCGTCAAAATGCCTTCACAACTGGCTAAATTATTGAAGACCCTATCAGTCAAGTCTAACAAGGTGAGAAGTGTCGTGCCACCACACAGTAGTTTGGCTAATGATATACCTTTAGCCAACTGATGAGACTCGGCTGGCTAAGTTTCTCGACGACGCGGAGCGGTTCATTCGTTCTAACCACGCCACACTTCAACGCGCTCCGTCCTTGATATATCCCGCCTTGGCCCTCGCTCCGCGATCCAGCATCGTTCGACACAAGTTTCAGAATTACTATCCAGACTGGGTCTCTCAGGCCCCGAATGTTCCGTGCAGCTGGGACAAAGTTGAGCTAGTACTAGACGGCGGTTCCAGTGTGTGGGCCTTATCACACAATGGATCCCAGATTGCAATGAACGACGAGGTATTTGACGCTGTTTCTGGCCACGTCACCGGAAGCCTGGCAGAATCTATCGTCAACAGCGGCAATGCCCTAGCCGCTGAAAAGATAAGGGGAAAGAGAATCTGTATGGACTTCGCATCGGACGATGATATTATAATGATGATGGATACTGGCTATCTTATCACATGGCATTTCTCTAATAAGGAGCTGTCGGTGCGCCATTCTGGTTTTGAGTCGATACAAGAGGTGGTTGTGTCTCAAGCTGGCAAACGGTTGGCCTTTTTGGCGGTTGCCTCAAAGCAAGACCTGCAAGGCGATGAGGGCCAATACGAACGCTCGCATCCCAAGGCAAGCCGCGACTGGTCATTTCGTTGTGTGCGATACTGCCATAGGATCTTTACAGCTCACAATTCGTTTCGACTCGCTGTCCTATTACGCCCGGCCCGATCATTGGAATGATTCAAAGCGTCTAGCCTTATCGACTGATGGGAACACGGCAGCCTGGGCATATGAGGCCCACGATTCTCACAGAGTTCAAGTAGTTGATCTTACGGAGAGAAGACCCAGAAGGTCGAGGGTTCTTGAATTTTACAGCAACATCGACTCATTGGCATTATCATTGGATGGGAGCAGGCTTGCAATCAGTTTTTGGATGGACAGCAAAGACGATTGGTCTACTATTCAGATAATAGATGTTGACACAGCCCGCCTCAACTGCACAATAGATGTGAGCATTGCAGAATCCCTGACTCACATGGCATTCACAGGGGGCAGCGATATAATCATTGTTCACGCCCCCTACGGACAGGTTAGGCTTTACAACGCAATTACCAGCTATAAGGAGAGAAGTGAAAGTCTTAGTCCCCGCAGGATGATGGTCTCACCAGATGGCTTGAGGATAGCCACAATGTCGGAAAACATGCGGTACACCCAGATATGGAAAACCGCCACCATAGGCAAGGTTACAAAAAATTCTTTTTTAACAAGCAAGTATCTCTACAATGTCAAACCATTTGTTGTGCTTTTGCATGACGGCTCCAGCGCCGCAACGCTGCCACTCAACCAAGATCACTTTGTCATATGGGACCCAGCAGACAGGCGGCTCATGTACAAAGTCAAGACGCGTGCAACGCCTGCAGTTGTAGTCTTTTCGGACGACTCGATGGCTTTTGCAGCAGCATCGGGTAAACATATGGAACTGGACGAGAGCGGCGGCTCCGACGATCAAGACATGGAAGTAGAAGTGCCCAACTCTGAGGAGGAAGAGCGCGGCTCGTGTGATGACACACCCCAACATCAGCCCCTGTGTTTTGATGATGTGCACAAGACAGACAAGAACTAGTTGGAGGTATGGAGGATAAAGTTTGGTCGGCCGCATCTGTGCTTGAGAAGGGAGCTTCCGTACATCACGGCACCACCGTTCGCATTAAGTGGTGACGGGACGAGGTTGGTGCTTGCCCTTAGGCACTTCAAGTACTTGCGGAATGGCCTTGACAGCGATGATTCTGACGGATATGGTCTTGACAATGACAGCGCTTTCCATACTCACGTGAAGATTGTCGAAATGCTTGAAGAATGGGACATTGTGAAGAGCAAGCGCATACACACACATGTACTCGGTGATCCCTATCACATTAGGCGAGTTGGGTACTCTCCAGACGGATCTGAAATCCATTTTATGAGCAGAAGAAACGCCGGTTTGGACCATGGCCCGGACCTCGGTGATGGCGATGGCGATGATGATGAGGATGAAGGCGCCGATGAAGGCGATGAAGACGATGAAGACGATGAAGACGACGAAGACGACGAAGACGACGAAGACGACGAAGCCGACGATTCTGATGATATCTTTGCACTATACGGCCACATCTATGCCTTTGACCCCCAGTCGCCTCCACCGGCCAAACAGCCGGCCTATGTTTCACTGAGAAACGAGCAAATTTCCATATCATACATAAACCAGGCCCGTGGGCATGCATCCACGGCACTCGATCTCTCGGTGGATGGACGGTGGATTTGTTTCAACGGCAGATATATCATGCCTGTTCCGGCGGAGTTCAGTACCAATGGAGCCTGGAACAAACTGGTAGACACAGAATATAGCACGGCCATGGCTGGAGAGAAACACATGATCGCGATGGTCAATGGGAACGGCACGGTCACTACGCTGGCAATTGATGCGGACAAATTGGGACAGTGTCTTGGACCATGAGTCGTTGTTCTTTTGAGCGTGTCGACGGGGTTGTCAATGGGTTAATATCAGGTCATCTATATACTAGTCATGAACATAAAGACTCCAGCATCCGCAATGCCACAGTCTCATCTAGTACGTAATCACAGATGAGGTCATAGGTGAGCTTGTCCTTGCTTCGGTCAACCTCATGGACCTCACCTCTAGGTAGGGCATCGCGGGTCACGTGTCGTTGGATGTGGGCGTTGCCATTCTTGGGGTTATTATGGAGAGTGGGGGGCCTTTGCAAGACTTATAATAACATATATAAGGTACTACGTGAAATAATGCAGATTTGAAATCTCTTCTAATAGGCGTCGCTGGGTTAAGATCATCAAAGGGCTTTCCAAGTGGGATCTGGTGACCGCGGCCAAAAACACGATTGAAGAGCTCTTGATTTGAAAATCAACTAAGTCTGTTGACTCGGCATGAGTGATTGACTCAATGCACAAACTCATTGAGAAGTACCTCCATCAAACCTCTCTGCTCTAATTAGCTGATCTTATAGAATTCGCACTGAAGACCACGTTAGACTAGACCCATTTGCTAGGAATATGTGGCGATCGTTGCTGTACCTATCAGGATAATGGCAGGAATCACCTTTTCTTTGATCTTTGTGTACATTGATGACCTGTTTTCAGCATTAACTTATTGGTGGAATACAAGATGAATGAATGCCAAACAAGCAATGGCTAGTCAGGACTCTGGGCTGACAGTCACTTTGGACTAGAACTACGGGCACTATCGGGGTCTAAGCAAGTACGGAGTCGAAGTTCAATGGAATGGCCAACAGTATTTCAGTCAAACTCCCAATGATCCCACCGTTTCCGTTTGCTCAAGAATCCCACCCACAAACTCCTTAACACTCTCAACAAGCCCCTCCGTCCAACTCAGCTGCGGCGAATGCCCAGCCGGCGCCCGGAACACCGTAAACTCGACCCCCCTCTCTCGCTGGATCCCAACCATCAGCTCCTGGAACTCTTTGGGTAAAATGGCGTCGTTCTCAAGCACCACGTACGCGCACGGAAGCACCGAGTACGCGTCGTTGGTCAGCGGCGCGGTCATGATCCCGGAGGCGGTTAGTGTGCTCTCCCACTTCTTTGCCTCCTCGGGGCTTAAGTCGTTGAAGAGGTATTGAGGTGCTTTGGCGAGTGTCGCGAGGCCGGTTAGGCCGTGTTTCTTGCGTTTGGTTAGTAACTTAGCCCCAGCATGCATATAGCATCAAGCCCTGATCCAGGCAACTCACCGAGAACCGCACCCACGGCGGGAGTACGACGGACCCGTCCTTCGGCTGGAAGAAAGCATGCACCGACTCGCCCACGGGAACCGCGAAGCCGCCGAAGTAGAACAGCCCGATGATTCCGCCGGGTTTCCCCTCAGCTCGACGCGGCTTCGCTTGCAGTTCTGGAACGGCCGCCTGCGTCGCGACCCAGCCGCCGGATGAGTGGCCGAGAAGGAGGACGTTCTTGCCCTCGTCGTTGATCAGGCGCAGCAGGAGCTGGGTTGTTGTATCCACGTCGTCAGTGTCGGTGGGGTATCCGCCCGGTGGAGGGTCGCGGTCGAGGTCTGGGTTGTTGATATCGCCGACGTTGAGTTTTGTCAGGTCGCAGGTTGGGCGTTGGGGGCAGTGGGCTTCGAAGCCTTGGGCTTGGAGTGCGGTGATGAAGGGGCCGTAGGGGGCCGGGGAGTGGTAGGAGCCGTGGCAGATGACGATTGCGATGTTTTGTGGGGGAGGCATGATTGAAGGATTAGGTGATGAGTCTGAAGAGGAGGAGGAAGGTGAGAAATGGATGAAGTGAGGCAACGCCGGCGGCCGAAGAAATGGGGCTTTTATAGCTGCGCTGTGGCGGCATATACTCTGATTTATATTATAGCAACCTCTATATTAACGCCCAGCCCCCAGGATGTGGGGATCGTCAGCATATAACGCTAGACGATAGAACCAATGGGCTATTATAGCCTGTCCTTGTACTCCACCAGACTTGTGCAAAATGTAGGTACCTAACGGAAGCCAACTACACGCATCCAATCAAAGTCTGTTCTTCCGCTGGCCTTTGGCACATAGGGCTGCAGCTCAGTGCTTAACCAGAAGCTGGCGTCCTTTGCAGGTAAGATTCAACTAGGCAACCACACCCCGTACCCGCCAACCTACCCTAGGGTAGGGTAAGCTGGGAGGTCCAAGCTGAAGCATGCCCAGACGCGTAAGACAAAGCCCAGACACCCAAAAGACAACCTTGGAACATATATAAGCCCCTTCAATCCCAATTCCAGCCCTCTTCAAACCCCATACAAATATCACCCGCCTCAACCCCAGAAAATGCCCTACACACTCCTCGCCCTCCTACCCCGCAAGCCAGGCCTCACCCCCTCGCAATTCAAATCCTACTACGAAACCACCCACATCCCACTCCTTCGAGACCTAGCCGGCGCGCACTCCCCGCTCTTCCACAAACGCTTCTATCTCCCGCGCACCTCCACCCAGAGCGACAGCAATGCACCCGCACCCGACCTCGACAGTAGAGCGCAGATCCAAGCGCAACCGCCTACGCCGCGACCGTGTTCGCCGGCGCACAGACCGACTTCGACTTCGACGTCTACGCGGAGACCACGTTCCGCGACGAGGGGCATCTAGCTGCGTTTCTGGGTGCGCTTGATGCCGGCAAGGGGCGCCTTGTCGCTGATGAGGAGGTGTTTCTGGATCATCGGAGGACCAGGGTTGTTAGGGGTGATGAGGCTTGTGTGGGGATAGGGTCTGGGGTATAGCTGCAGGTAGATGAGCAGAGACGGGATGGACGCAACTTTTGAACCCGGGAGGTTATTATGCTGCTTAGCTGGAGCCGGAAGAGCAGGTAGAGACAGCGTCAGATTGACCAAGCATAAGGTTGATTTTGGGTCTCTCCGACCGGTACTGGACGTAGGTATAGTACCCTAGATTCATTGAATTTGCTCGTTTAAGCTATCCCCCAAGTTGGACTTTATAGGAGAAAAATCACCATACCTAGATCCGCCCAGATCTTCAGGTTTCTCGCGGTGGCATAGGTAAGCGCATGAGATCGGGGTTCGGGTTTCGGTGGCACTGAAGTCGACAGGAAGAAAGCATCCGGATGAATCTGCATTCAAACCGTGGAATACGAGTCTATCCAGTGAAACCACGCCGCTCCAGGCCATCTATTGGATATTCGAGTCGGTCCAGATCAGCCGGGGCGCATTGGGAAGCGACTGACTTGGGGAAGTCTGGGATGCGCGTAGTGTTCGGATTCCGTGAATCATGGCCTTGCTTTCTTTGTTAGGTGGTTCCAATCCGTCCAAGGGTCTGGCCGTCTGGGCCTGGCCGACCGTGAAGATCCAAAGCTCAAGCCCGATGCTGAGGACAAAGAACTCGGAAAGAATAGCCGCCAATCACGAGATGATAGGTCCCTGGGCCGTAGCCTATTGGGATGCAGCGGTATACTTGACACACTTTAAGGCTTAAGCAGGACAGCTGATCATTGAACGAACCAGTCAAGACGGTCGAAGCGGCTGGCAGGCTATTAATATCACTTGGGATAACCCGGAAGCCCACGCTTGTTTAAAAAAGTCTGATCTCCTCGCGGGCAGTCTTTGATTCGTCTGATCAGTCCTCTGGTCGGTTGATATCTGCTCCGCTCTCCACGGCGGTTCTTGACCCGGACACGACTTCACAGGCAAAACGCCAGAAACAAATCTCTAGAATACACATGGCGCACCTGATAGGGACGTTCTACTCGAACCACAGCAACTGCAACAACCTTGCCCGGAACCCTTCTAGCCTCCCTGAACTCCACCACCCACCACCCGTCTGTACCCGAACAGTAAGACGCAACTTTTATATCCCCCCAAACCCCCTTATCCCCCAACATCCCACCCCCAATCACACTCCCTCCTCGTCTCTATCACATCCCCCACAACCCCAAGACTGACCGCCGCGGCCTCCGCAAACCGCGTGATATTCGCCGCGACCTGCGCCCGCACAGCCGGCTCGCCCATGCGCGCGATGAAGCGCTCGTATTCCCCGTCGTCGCCGAACGTCGCTTCGGAGATGACGTCGAAGCCGAAGAGGGAGGAGGCGGTTGAGGGGGGATGGAGGGAGATGCAGGCTGGCGGTTCTGGGGCGGTTTCGGTGGTCGTCGGGCTGGTGCTGGTAGTTGGGTGCGGACTCGTGGGGGACTTTGACGTTGTAGGTGTAGGTGTAGATGCAGGCGCAGAAGGCACCGGCACGGGCACGGGCACGGGTGCAGCTGGCGTTGGCGCAGAGGACGTCCGCGCAATGTACGTGCGGCGATGCGAGAGCGGGAACAGCTCGCCTGTTAGATGTTTGATGAGCTCGATGTGGGCTTCGTATTCTTGCCTGAACTCGGCGGGCGAGAGGCTCGGCTTGCGATGCATGATGATGAGGAGAGTGACGACCATTGTGGAGGAAGGGTTGGGAGGGTCGGAGGATAGGATGAGCGGCTGGGGACACCTTCACGCAGGAAATATATGCGCCTAGAGCATGCGAAGGATGCCCAGTCTTGTGGCTGAACTCTATAAGCGTTCTTCTTCATCTGCTGGATGCCGGTACGCTGGAACCCCCGGCCGAAGGGGTCTTCTAGAATGCCATCCATGAGGTAGGTGGTTCTAGAAGAGTGCCTGTTTCGGCAAATGCTCTGCTGGGCGAACCTTAAAAGGATCTTGGGGCGTTCGAGAACAAAGAGAGATACGCCGGGGATCCCTTGGCGGCCAGCCCTGGTGCTCTGGAAGCTTTCCTGAAGTCTCCAGGGTTGATGCTAGCGTCCTTCACCATGGCTGTACTCGCCACATGCTCATGGGCTGTGGTGACTTGGTGAGAGCTCCCGGATGTTCTCTTCGGGCCCCGGGTATCAAAACCATACCATCAACCTTGAAGCTCATGATGTGCACAATCTATCTACCTAGGTATCCACCTGCAGTCGCCCTATAAACAAGAATCCAGGCATGTCTCAGTAGTGGCCCTATGACTTTCCTGTAGCGCCGGGAGCGAATTCTGCCCGGGTTCGTATCCCCGTTTCTTCAAGGTGGAATATGCACTACCTGGAATTCAACGGCCAAAACCGCACTCCCGCGCCGTTCGTGGCATACAAGCCATAAAATCCCGGTCCACGGTCCCCAAACACAATCCGCCACCAATGGCTTTGGTTCCCATCAGTCTAATCCCCTAGTCCCTAACATCTCGCCTTCCTCCCCCAGCCCCCTCCTCCCCCACGAACGCCATCGCCCCAGCCACAACACTCCGATCCATGAACCGCTCCACCCTCGCCTCTAGGACGACTTGCGAGATAATCGCGATGGACGGCCGCGAGCGCCTCCCGGCCGAAATCCCGGCCTATTCTTTGAGCTTTGGAAGCATCTAGGCTTCTAGACTCAAGAGCCCTGGAATTCGCTTATCGGCCCGGCAATCTGCGATCTCGCGCTCCTGCGTCTTGGCCACGTACCGCTCGTACGACGCATAGTCGGCAAGGTGAACTCGGCGACGGCGTCGAACGTTATCTCTGTGTCGGCGGGCGTGCGAGTTGGTCCTTTGGCTCTGACTTTTGCGTTTGCGTTGGTGTTTTCCAACTTACGGCGGGTGAGGATGAGGATTGTGGTGAATATTTTATAGGAACGCCAAGTGTGATCTATGTGTGATATGTTGGAAGGAAAGCGGCAACTAAGTGAATGTTCATGTGCAGTTTGCCCAGTAATACCATCCCTATATACAAGGTCGGGCGCCTGTGTTGGGCATTTCAACTTTTTTGTCTTGTAAGGTCAGGCCTTCACTGTCATCCGTGGCCTGCCACAGTGCCATAGGCATATACAAAAGAGCAAAAGGCCGAGAAACTGCTGGCCCCGACAGCAAAAAGATGCATGCCGCCCGTCCAGATCCCCGTCAACGCCAGAGAACGCCGTATGTACAGTTCCAATGTAAACCCATGCACTTTTGCTATAGTAGGTTCATCCATCGCACCTCCCCCGGCCCATTCCGCATCTGCAATTGTCCTCCAGCCCATCGGTATATCCTCAACCCTCCTTCTCCCTTTCCTCCCCCTCCCTCCCCTCGTGCTCCCACGGACAACTCCCCCTCCTCTCCGCATGCGTCTCCTCCACATCCCCCACAAACGCCATCATCACCTTAGCGCGATCCAAAAACCCCTCGACCACATCCGCCAGCCGCCCCACAACCTCGGGCTCCTGGTTCCGCGCCGAGAACCGCTCATACGCCGCCATGTCGGCGAACGTCATTTCCGCGACGCAGTCGAAGCCGGTTTCCATTGCCGCGACGTCTTGCTGCGTCGGGCGGGAGGGGTCGCGGAGGGGAGGGGCCAGCCAGGGGGGTGGCATTGCCACCCCGGGGCGGGATTCGGGGTGCGCGATGAAGGAGCGCCGGTGGGAGAGGGGGAAGGTGTCGCCGAGTAGGGTCTTTAGGAGGTCGACGAAGGAGTCGTAGGAGGAGCGGAATGTGGAGGGGGAGATGGAGGGTTTGCGGGTTGTGAGGATTATGATTGTTATGAAGGGGGGTGGGAGGGTTGAGGATGCTTTTGCGGCGGCTGCTGGGGGGGGAGGGGGTGATGGTGGTGAGGCTGGTGGTCGTCGAGGCATTGTGGGTACATATGTGAGATTCGAGTTCGAGTTCAGTTCAGTTCGACCTGGCCTTGGGATGATATCCAGGTAGGTATGTGAGAATTGAGAAAGCTCGAGAACTAAAAGTAAATGCCGGGCGCAGGGCAGAATATAAGGCTCTGGGAGCCACCTAGGTAATGGATACATATGCGATTCAGAGTTTCGTTTCTTTGTCCTCGTAGCGGCATCCATGGAATCGCATCAGCCAAAGGTAACGCCCAGGAGAAGGAATGAAAGGAAGTAAGAAAAGAGGCACAGCTACCGTCATTTCCTCCCGCAGTCTTCAGCTCCATCTCGTATCATCGGAATCCTAACCTGCCTCTAAATCCGAAAGGTCGTCCCACCGCGTAAACCCATCCGGAAGCCTCCTCGTCTCCATAACCTCATGCACACTCCCCAGCGAACTAGCAGTCCACTCCATGAACTCGTCCGCAGTAGAATGCATTTTCTTTGCGATCGCTGGCTCTCTGAGTTTCGCAATGAACTGCTCGAACACCTGCTGGTTTTCGAAGGTCAACTCGGCCAAGACGTCGTAGTCGAAGGGGTGGCGGTTCCGGTTCAGACTGTCGCTTCGGTTCTCGCTTCGGTTGTCGCTTTCGTTTCGGCTCTTGTTCTGACTGTGGCCTTCGCCTTGGCTGTTGCTCTGGCCATGGCCATGGCTGTGGCTCTGGCTCCCGGGCGCCGGCATGGACGTCGCACCCGTCGGGGCGCTCATGGTTGACTCCGCGATATAAGTGCGGCGATGGCAGATGGGGAACACAGGCCCCGTGAGGTCGCGGATCAAGGAGACGTACTCCTCATAGTAGTGGCGGAACTTTTCTGCAGTGATTCCCGGCTTGCGGGAGGAAACAATGAGGATTGTGACGAACATGCTAGAACGACAGGGCAGAGGAGGATGGACTGATTTGGCTCAACTAGGTATGGTATATATGGATTGTAGTATAGAACAAAGAACTTTTCGCCGCCATACCCATGCTAGCTGGCGGGTTCGAGAGCTGAAATATCCGCAGCCCTGACGCTTGACGGGTGGATGGATAAGCTGACGCGGGTCTACGATGTCATCACTCAGGGCTGGCCTCCGGAAGGAGAAGCCGCGACACCCAGCCAGCCCATGATCAGCGATCTCGGGTCAGCTTACGGTATATCAGGCGATTCTGCATCTTGCCCTGCTTATCGCATCTTGCGGGGTACGGTGTAGACCCTACACCGTCGGTAATCGAGCTCCGACCAACCAAAGGGCGTACCAGGCCTACGGGACCATGTCGTGCCAATGCACATGCACACAATATTCGGACTGCTGCTCTATCCGGCCAATAGATGTGCAGAGCTAGAATGCACATGGCGTGAACCATCTTACTCATCGACTCATCCCTCTGCCTCGTAACTCCTCTGGATATTAAGGTTGGAATTCCCCACCACTAGGAATCTCAGCATTCCGCCCTACGAAGCCCACCCTTGAAATCTCCTCTGCGTACCGAACAGAATCACTGTTCATCTTCCATACATAGCAATTATATGCATTTTGTCGGAGCGTACCATACTAAGTATATACCCACGCTCCACCTCCCCACTGTAGCCCTCACTCAGTAGCTTCGTCAGCCTCGTCGGGAATAGCTTCATCGCCCACGCCTAGCTTCATACAATCTCTAAGCTTTCATCTCCAGGACACTTGCCTATTAAAGTAGCTCAAGTGAGGGTGGTCGGGAAACAGTCTGCGGTAGGGCCTTTGGTGGCTTGGGGACCATAACGATGAGGAAGGGAGAGGATAGCCGCACTGGTTTACTCCTAGAGTGACCGGAGATGAGACTCCGGTTGGCGCAGATAAAAAAGGTAGGAAACGACGAGAGAAAGGGAATGAAATGAAACAACTCGGGCGCGGGGCTAGAATATATGGTACCATTGCTGACTTGCTGCACTGCGTAGTTGGTGGTTCTTTGTCTTTGTCCGCCCCCAATCAGTTGTCTCCAAGCTCTAGCTAGCTAGCTCAAGTAGGTATCTCCAAATTAGCTGGAGCTTGAATTGGTCTACCAGCCGTTCCGAGATAATCCCTGCCCAGCGACAAATCGTATGCACAACGGCCTCAAAATGATCAAATCAATGCAAGTCTATTAAATCCCCGAGCCCAGCCCTAACCCTGATTCCAGAACATTTTACCTCCGTCCAAACCCTTCATCCCATTCACCCCGCCAAAGCTTCCCACCCAATCCGTTCAACACCGGAGCCATCAAGGCTATTCCCAAAGAAACCTCTCCCCCACCCCCCGAAACCACTCAGGCGCCCTCCTCGTCTCCTTGACCTCCCCGACCGCCGCCATCGCAATCGCACACGTATCAATAAACCGCGCCGCACAGTCCTGCATCTGCCTCGCAACACTTGGCTCCGCGAGCTTCGCCCGGAAGCGCTCGTACGCCGCGTGGTCTTCGAAGGTCAGCTCAGCGAGGACGTCGTAGTCGATGCTGTTGATGAGCGGGTTGCTGCCGAGAAGCGGTTCCCAGAGTGTGGTTGAGTGCGCGATGTAGGTTCTGCGGTGCACGATGGGGAATGCGTCGCCTGCTAGGGCGCGGACGAGGGACACGAAGGACTCGTATTGTGTCCGGAAGGCGGATTGGGTGATGGTTGGTTGGCGGCGGGCTTGGACGAGGATTGTGACGAACATGGCTGGCCAGGTCTTGGTGAGGTGAGGGATGACCACAGGGGTGGACCTTGAGGCGGGGAGGCGCGATGTTGATGGTGCGGAAGGTAGACTAGATGCCCGCAGCTCCGGAATTTTCTTTACCAGACTTCTGTTCATAAATTGAAGAATGGTGGATATATTTTTGTTTTTGTTTTTGCAACCGCCCTGCCAGCTGGCGGTGCAGCTTGTCAATGAATCGCCATGAAGTGCGTCCAATGGCGGAGCGGGATTCATCATGTTGGGGTTACACAGAAGGATCGGGCGCTGAGGAGAACAAAGAAAAGTCCCACCTCCGATATTGATGTGCATTTTCATCCTTAGCAATCTGACATTGTACATTAAATTCCGGCATGGGCCTGCCTTACCCGGTCTAATGAGCATTGATCGGTGCAGCGAATAAAAGGGATCGCCTGATCCATGGTACGAGAAAATATAGATTGGAGGACTTAATTACTCGCCAACAAAGACATTATTGTGTATTGACCTCGACCCGGAATTGCGCACTGTTTCTTCTTTTTATTTCCCTCGGATTCGTGGCCTGGTGAAAGTTACTTTGGTCGATCTCGATCTGTACAACCAAGCCGCGAGTGAGGGCTGCACTAGCCCTAACCCTAAGCCGGGCTAGTGGTCAGGCACCTACACCTGCACTACCTGACTACCCAAAGGATGGCAGTACCACTTAGATACTCCTACAGCACAGACGAGGAACTGGCCGTCAAGCAAACGAAGAAACTGCAGGTGCAATGTTAAGCTCCAAAAAAGGAACCAAACTCCCATACCCCACTTAATACAGCCCGCTACTCAACCCTAAATCTGTCCCCATACCCTCAGCCCTCACCATCACCATCACCATCAACATCTACATCAATATCCCCCGGCCCATCGTCCCTCCCACCAGAAACCAGAATATCAGGCACTCAGAACCCGAACGGCACTGGCATCGACATCGGCGCGCCCCTCGTCTCCACCACATCCCCCACAACAGCCGCAGCCAAGCCCGCACCATCCGCAAACACACCCGCGCTCGCGCATAATCTCCCCTTGACAGCGGGATCCTGGATCCGCGTCACGAAGCGCTCGTACGCGAGATCGTCGGCGAAGGTTACCTCGGACACGACGTCGAAGCCAAAGACGGCCGGTGCGTCGTTTGCGACGGTCATGGGGTGCCAGGTTGAACTTGACGGAGGCGGAGGCGGAGACGGAGACGCAGGGACACCTGACGGGCGGGGCTCAGGCCATGTGGGCGCGGCGGCTGTGGGCGTTGTTTGCGCGACGTAGGTGCGGCGGTGGGCGAGGGGGAAGGCGTCGCCTGTGAGGTGGTGGACGAGGTTCACGTGGGCTTCGTAGAGGTGGCGGAAGGAGGTTGGTGAGAGGGTGGGCTTGCGGTAGATGATGATGAGGACGGTGACGACCATTGCTGCGATGAGCGGCTGGTTCTGAAAAGCAAATCGTGATGGGTCAGGGTTGTGCTGTCCCGGACTCCTCGGGGGAGGGGGGGTTAAAAGGTCTACCCTTGCAAGGATAGGTAAGGGTCCACAGCCTACGGAATGTAATTGACTCGGCGGCTGCGGATAGAAACCCGCCCGCTATCGAGGCGCCACGGATCACTTAAGATTCTGTGGGTTCGGAATTATTTTTAGGCAAAAACCAAGAGGGACAAAGAAAGTTGCCTGCGGGTTAGACCGCCACAGCGCCAATTACCCAGCTTGGTATGCAGCTCGGAGGACTGATTCGGAGATGGCTGCTTTAACTTCCGTCACTATCGATGATTTGCAACGGTACAACCTGCCCAGGTGTTCATTGTGGAACAAGGAAACGGAGCTCGGAAACGGGGCTCAGGGAGTACCCGAGCCGTCCGGAGAAGTGGGGAATCTGTATTCCCAGCCTATCTAGTATCTACATACTTGCACCTAGATCCAGCGCATTTCCAGGAAGCCCTGAAGCTCTCGTGGAGACCTCCTCCTCGAACTGCAGCTGCCAGCGAGTAAGGGCCGGCCTGCTGACTCCGCTGGTCTTGACGATAAGACCCCCTTCAAGGGCTTGGCAATTAGGTAGCCTCCAAGTGCCCAGGTAGACTTTCGGGGCTTGACTGGATTGATCATACTCTCTGCGAGTTAAGAACTAGGCTACTTGTGGAAGCTACGGGCGTGTTCCAAGGTTCCAAGGTTACCGGGGTCCCTGACCAGCTGGGTTGGCACAGGCCTCTATGCCGCACAGCGTACAGCTAACGCGGGTAGTGATTGCCTGGAGACAAGCGTTTAGTGCTGGCTAGGGCCCATGGTTGCTTCTACGTCATGAACCTACGGCTGGCCACTGTAGCACAGGAAACGTCTGCGGTCTATATTCCAGACTGTTATAGTTCTCTCTTGACGGAGGAAGCAAAAGTACCCTCTCTTTATCACGGGGCCATACGCTCGTAGACCAGGGCAAAAGGCTTACCTACCTAGCATACTCCGTCGCGCCGCATTGCACAATATGTGAATCATCAGGTATATTGCTTTGAGAATTGACTTTGTCAGATGCGATATCTATGGTATTATCTCGCTTTGTATTATTGCCCGCGTGGTGTATTCTCTGCATAAGTAACCTCGATACTGAGTGCATGCCTACAAAAAGTGTTGGGAGAGCTACTCGTATTGAAGAATCGGCGATTCATCCCATACTCGTCGTGTACTCATCGCACCACCAGGAGCGGATAGAATTCCTACATGATGCCGAAGCTCACAAGAAGAAAAGTCCAATATTTAAAACATCATCTCTAAAACGTTAACACCCTTGACGCTCAAACCAAGCCCCTATTCATCAGCTCATCACGCTCCCTCCCCCCGGTCTCCATCTCCATCTCCATCTCCTCCAGCATCGCCCCCTCAACCCTCTTAACCTTCCTCCCCTCCCACCACGACATCCCCCCCGCCAAAAGCGAGCTGAAGCATCCCAACCCAATAAAAAGCCCAACGCCAAAACTCGGCCGATCGTGCCGATCATACGCCCACATGAAGCTCGCCATGCCCACCTGGAACACGCTATTCAGGAGCATGTTCACCACAACGAAATCCATCTTCCACGGGGCTGTCGGCGGCGCTACCTTCCCTGTTAGGGTCTTGCGAGGAGCTACATCAGTAGAAGCCCCCCCGTGCAGCCCTAGGTTGTCTCCAGAGCCGTCGCGGCGGAACCAGCTCCCATTCCGCACCGCCAACTTCCCAATCGCCATTCGCGCCGCCCCGCCCTTCCCAAACCGCCACCGCAGCAACCAGTACATGTCGCGGAGCCGCCACGGCGCGAGGCCCCACGCCGTAAGGCAGAACAGAGCGTTGAGGATCTGCGAGTCGACTTCGATCCAGATGTCTTTGCGCTCGTTGGGCATTGGGCCCACGTCTAAAAGGAGGAAAAAGAGCATTGCGCCCCAGGCGATGACGCTAGCGCCGTAGATGGTTATCAGGAGGCCTGCGGGCGTGCGGAGGAATCGCCATGTTGCGAGGAGGGCCTTTTTGCTTGCGCCCTGTGGATGCGCGACTGGTGGGGTTGGAGACGAGCTGGAGCGCATGAGAAGCCCCTCGGCCTGATCTTCTGGGGGCTCGGGATCAACTGTGCCTATGCCTGTGCCGTCAGGACCTAAAGTGTTGGTGGTGACCCGACGCATGTAGTGCCCGTTCGCATCGAAGTCCACCTCATGGGGCGATTTCAGATCCGTCAGGTTCGGACCGTGTGCGATGGCCGTTCCGGTCGCCTGCCACATCCCGCCGGCGATGTTGAAATCGAGCACCCTCGTTGCGGTTGAGAGGGAGGCGGAGCGTAGTGTCCGCCCTGCTTTTGCGGGAGGCATTGGCGTCCATGGTTGTCTGTCGCTGTTGCCTGAATGTCTTTGCACATTGGCTGTCATTTCCGTAGTCGAGGCTGGGGGCTGATTAAGGTGGTAGCCAAGGTGAAGCTGTTGAGAAAATGTGACAGTGTTCTCTTGCACGCAGGAATCCCGCAAAGTACTGAATCTTAGAATTGAGGCAGCCGTGGGAGAAAAAGGATTTATCGGCCTTTACTTATGGTTCGAGCTCAACTTAGAAAGAGATACGAGTACGAGCCCTTCGCAGGTGGCAAGATACGGTATATTCCCCACCTTTTGGTTGTCCTCTTGACGAATTTTGAGCACTTCAAAAGCAATCTCGTTGGCGTTTTTATCTTTTATGGTAGACCGCTGTTCCTGGGAGTAGACTCGTGGAATGGCTGTCTCATGCGACATAGAAACCTCATTCTCACGGACGTGGACAATTCCCCAGCGTTTCCTCGTCAATTGTAAAGTTGATGACATTATTTTCCATATTCTGAATCGCGATCATGTGTTTGCTGCCGGACTTTGCGGTGTTGTATTTTTTGGACAGTGTGGGCCTGAACTCTGCCGCAAGAGGCATGATATACCTGTTCTTAAAGCGGACCCATTTCATGTCTTCTGCCAGGTCGACTTCTGCAAGCGCATGCCCATGCGCTTGCCTTATAGTGGACAACGAAAGCTGCGCGTCTTGTCCGACTGACTCATGCACTTGGGGTGTGCCTGTTGAGGCAGAGGGAAAGGTGGGATTCCAGACAATGATATATCCGTATCTTCCGGGTTTCACTTGGTACTGCGACTCTGCTCCTCTGGCCCGGAAATGGATCGTTGATCCATCGGACGAATACCCAATCTCCCATATCTGATATGATACTCCTAGCCTGTGTGTGTATAGGTGCTGACCGGTAATCAAATCCCATTCTTCGACCATAGTAGCCTCTTGAACTCCATCGCTGCTTCTGTTCCCGCCGCTGGAGGGGGCTGTGCTCTGCCCGACGGATAGCACCAGCCTTGTTCCGTCATGGTTGAGCGCGAATGGCGCGTGCGGTATGTACCCGAACCCTCTTTCCACACATTGAATAGGTTTCCCAGTGTCTATCCGCCACACTTCCAACCAGCTTTCGTCAATAGCCTGCGTCGTTATTTGTTGTGGTGGTGCAGGTGGGGGGGGCAACGACATAAAACTTCTCTGTAGGTTGCTTGTGTATTTCGGAGGCTGGTGCGAAAGCAGTTCCGTTGCCAGAAAAGGCTTTCCAACCCCAGCCTGGGATCCCACGCGTTTTGACCTTTTTAATGGCCTGCCGCGTTTTTGGATTCCATAACAGGATCTCGTCCTTCAGGCCAAAGGGTGTCGTTGCGGCCCTGGATCCGTCAAGTCGATTTCCATAGGTACGGATATGGTATGGTAATGGGAGATAACCCTTTGACCATCTTAACCCACCGACGCCTACTAAAAGAGGTCGCCAATCTGCAGTATCTCACGTAGTACCTTCTACAGGTCATTCTAAGTCCTTGCAAAAGCCACCCACTCTCCATGTTAAACCCAAGAATGGCAACGTCCACATCCTTGGAATGGCACGTGACCAGCGCTGCCCTAGTATAGGTGAGGTTCATGAGTTCGATCGAAGCAAGGGCAAGCTCACCTATGACCGCATCTGTCAGTTACGTAGTAGATGAGACCAGAGACAAATTTTGGTCACTGGCAGTGGTCTTAAAAACCTATCGTAGGATGGAAAACGTTGCGCGGTCCTCGTACCTCCAGGGTTAGGCCTCAGAGAACCCGAGTTAGGGCTTCCAACCCGCGCCGATCTTCATGGTAGGCAAAAGAAAGCATTCGCAAGACCTTGAGATTTCGGAGGACAATTTACCTGTGGCACAAATGGAGTACGGAACATTGGGGAACTATAAGCGATAGGCCCTGGGCGCTTAAGGACAATCACGCTGTCTCACTTTCAACACCAGCTGAGGCTAGCCCAGTGCTCGTATGACTCGCCCAGCCACTCACATTGACAGCAAAGCAGCTGGAGGCGAGCGCTCGAGCCCGCTACCCCGGGATTAACTGATTACCTCCCCCCCTCCCTCCGCCTCCACCCCATCTCCTCAATCCAAATCCATCACAATGTCCACCCCGACCACTTCACCCCTCCCCACCGCAAACCCAGCCGCAACGCGCGCCGAAATCCGCACCATCCTAACAACCAACAACGTCGGCCCCTCGCGCGCCCTCCAAGCCTCCCTAAACGAGTTCCGGGGGTGGCCCCCCTCCTCCGTGTCATCCCTCTTCACGAACTTCCCGCCCCTCCCAGACCGGCGCCTCTACCCCCTCGGCCCAGAATGCCGGTACCCGCCGCCCGGACGCCGGCGCTGGACCGAACTCGCTGCGAAAGTCGCGACTCTCGCGATCGTGGACACGGTCGCGCTCGCCACGGCGCCGATTACGCTTGCGACGATGGATGCGGCGGCGCGCGCGAACGCAGCGGGGCAGTTGCGCGATGTGCATGTTGAGATGCTTGCGACGTCGCTGTTTGTTGCGCCGTCGTTGGGACTCATGGAGGAGGCGGGGCGGAGAGGACTGGCGCTGTGCGTGAATAGATCAGGCCAGTTTCAGATCATGGGCTCGGGGTACGCGGCGATCTCGCATGTCTGGGCGGAGACGATGGGGCTGCAGTTCAACGACGAGAAGATCGAGCAGGATGAGCGTGGCTTACTGCGGAGCCACTTCAACAAGATCATGGGGGTTGTTGGGCGCGCCGGGTACGAGTGGGTGTGGTTTGATCTGCTGGCGATTCCGAAGAAGGGGCATGGCCAGCGTCAAGACAAGATGACGGAGATCAAGACGCTGATTATCAACAGTCTGCACGGCGTGTATAGCAATGCGGACGCGGTGATTGTGCTCGATTCGTTCCCGCTGCTTCTCCCCTCGTCGGATCCGCTGTTGACCGCGGCGGTCCTGGTCTGTGGGTTGTGGCTCACCCGCGTCTGGACGTACCAAGAGATCAAGCTCGCGCGGAAAGCACTCATCATAACAGCGACCGCCGTCGTGCCGTTCAGCGATATCCTCAGCACGCTGGAGACGCTCGCGAACGGCGATAGAGACAACCGCTACTATCAGCTTTACCGTACCTTCGCGCGCCTCCAACCCGTCTACGGGCTGGGCATAAATCTCGCGGACATCGCGCTGTCCTGCTCGAACCGCAGTACGGGGAACGACGTCGACTATGCGCGCGGGTTTTACGCCCTGCTTGGATTGAAGTGGGAGAGCGGATGGAGCTACGAGGACGGCATACGGCATATTTACGAGGCGCGGCCGCAGGAGGCCGCGATGATTGCGTCGATGCATGGGCCTCGAGGCTTGCCGAGGCCGCTTACGTGGGCGCCGCGGTACCTCGCGCATTTGCAGGGAGAGGCGTTCAAGCCTTATCTTATGAAGTGTCAGTCTGGGGGTTTGGTGGGGGAGTGGCATGCGGCTTCTGTGCGGGAGGTGGTGCGCGTTTGTGCGTATGAGCAGCCTGGGAAAGATGATAGGTTGGCGTTTCAGCTTCTGGTTGCGAATGAGAGGGGCGACACCGCGCAGGTTGCGGTTGTTACGTGGACTGATCGCTGGACTGCGAGTTTGAAGGAGTGGACGGGGCTGATCCCTGGAGGCAAGGCGAGGCTGCTCTGCGCGAAGGAGATGGTGGTTGGCGAGCACTTTCCGACCGTGCTTCTTGCGGTTCTGGAAGGTGATATGAAACCCAATCCCGATGATGTCGTGAGGCCGGGGGTTGACTCTATGGGGTATGTTCTTGCCAGCGGCGTTGTGGTATCTGGCAATCTGCTCTGCGCCGCTCAAAGCTGGCTGCTGAAGTGACGCATCCAAGTCCAGGCTCAAAGGCTTTGATGCGTCACTTAAATATCTGCATGGAAGCTTACCAAGGCTTTCTGGAACCTTTGACGTTTGTGGACCTTGGTATGCCTTCCTCTTGTAAAGCACACCTAGACGCGTAGGGCATGGCCTGGCACCAATATCAACACCTATACAATGGAGTTTGAATGTCTTAAGGCTTCCAAGGTTCAGGCAAGCATCGAACTATTTCGGACTGGTTCCTATCCCTTACCCATCCGCCGCCCCCGCCAACAAAATAGCCGGCAGCATAGCGGATCAAGCTGGCCGGAGGGCTACGCAGAAAGATTTATATGTATCCAATGCTGCCGCCAGTGAGCTCCGTCCTATTCCCGCTGTCAGTTATCTCCTCCAACATGTCAACAAGGCAACGGATTTGAATACTATGTATAACCATAGCGCAGACGAGTCTTGTGTCGTGCGTCAGCCAATCAGACCGAGCAGTCCCGGGCACTGGACGGTCGCGGGAAGAGCTCTCCCTCAGACTGGTCCCGCACTTGACTGTTAGTGTCCCCATTCCCATCAACTCCATAATCTTGATCCACCACCACCAGCTCCATCGTCGAGGAATGCGGCTCCGTGTTTCCTTCGCCCATCGCGCCCCTCTGTTTTTGAGGCGTGCCGCCAATCGTGCGCTGCGCAAGGCCTGGGCTTCCGTGGTGATGGTGTTGTGAACCCTCAACACCCCTTTCAGCTCTTGAGGAGCACCGCAGTCTCCGAGGTAAGATCTTCCTGCCATGGCGTCGGAACAAGGGTGTCAGCGACGGCAGGCTGATAACAATGGTGCTGAGCCAGATTTCCAAAGATGAGATAAGGGCAGCGCGCGCGAGCCCGATAGATACATCCGGGGGCGAGACCGGATGGATGGTTACGTGTAAACGGAAAGTGATGACGGCGACGACGCTGACAAGGTGAAGTGTAGTTAGTGATCGTTCTTAATGGGGGACGGCATTCAGTAAATGGGTGCATACGTGAGCCCCATAAGAAACATCCCGGCAATGAATATCTTCTTATACCGGGGGATCTTCAGCTTCCACAGCACAGGGACCGGGAGCACCGCGATTCCGGCGTCAAGAGCAATGTTGAACACGATGGTGAATATAATGGGGCCCCCATGGATTGCTTTCCGACAGCTACCGTTGAGGAAATGGGTCCCCGTCTGGGAGAAGGGATAGCATTTCACAATGAAAAGAGTCAGTGTAAAGACAAAGTACATGATGACCATGGCGCAGCCGACGTAGATCATGATTCGGAAGCGTCGTGTTGAACCAAAAAGCGTCAGATATAGGACAAGCATGGAGAGTTTGCATCCAGTGCTCGCAACGAGCCAGAAGACGGTGTCCGTGAGGAGATACTGAACAGTCATTAATTATGGTCAATGATTGAGGAACGTATGTCAGTAGGAACCACTCACCTTCCAGTACACCCCAACCTCATACTCCGTCAAGGTCGCCGCTGGCTTTCCTAGACCATTGCAGATTGCCCACACTTGGACAATGGACTTTCCGACGCATCCAAGCTGGACAAGCCATCTTCAGCGCCTTGGACCATGCGGAATGCAAACTGCAGTCGGCGTTGCGACGTACATATGTAAGAAGAGCGAAATAACCAGGCAACTTCAAGCCTTTCCGTTCGGAATAGTCCGTCCAAAAGCGCAGGGCGACCACGAGCGTGGTCACGAAACCAAAGACAACAATCCATATCAATAGCTTGATCCCTCTAGCGCTTGTCGACATGTCGTGGATGATAGTTCGGCGGGTGATAGATGGAAAACGGCGGTGGATCTGGCTTTTCATAACTGATCTCCAGCTCCGGCTTACTCATACCTAGGTATGAACAAACTGGAGCGAATAGCCAGTAGCGATTGCCATCCGACCACGGCTTCTCGTGCCTAGCAAGGTTAGTGCTGGCGACCAAATGGGAATGGAGTATGTATGAGAGGCGTGCATTGGATGGCCTAACTGTCGGCCCATGAGTATAATCTCCGCTCCGGCGCTCCGGCCGAGACTCAGATCCAGTATCACTATCCAGATGGCCTGGCCTGTTTTGAACGCGGAAAATCGATGCTCGCGCCTAGAAGACATCCCTGGATGTTTATAGAGTTTATTCCCAGCATCGGCGTACGCTTGGTCGGGAATAACAATCAACTCACACTGAAATTGATAATATGACATACTTGTAAACCAGCGCCGAGGAGAAAGATCGAGTGACGGGCGAGCGCGATGTCAGGGTCAAGTGTGGAAGACGCCCTATGGTAAGGCGTCTTCGCTCCAGCTCGCCAGCGTCAGCCTTGCAAAGTCTGGGCAAGCGCCACCAACGCCCGCCCAACGGTCCAGTATTTCTCCGGTGAAGCTTCTTTCGTTGTGTATTGGCATGCGTAGGCAGGGTCTGGACCGTCTGGTTGCAGTAGGGTTACAGATACAGAGTACGTGCTTCAAGTTGCTTACACCCAATCACCACGGATGGATTCACTCAAGTGCGGTTACACGACCAGCACATCATCTATTCCACTTGACAATGTCATTCATCAGCTTGTCCCGCCGGTAAGGACCTAGACCGTAGGCCGCCTTATCTCCCCTGGAGCCTCAAGCCCAATACAACGGCATCCCCACGTTGAAACAAAACTGCCGGTGATCAGCCGTAATAAGAACCAACAACAAGCGGATACTGCTTCTCGTCCGGATACTGCGTCAAGATCGATGCCCTCGCTTCCTCCACCTGGTTCTGGTTGGTTAAGAGACCCTTCTCCGAGAACAGGGTGAGTTGATCATCGACCCAAAACCGACATCCCTGTCCAAGCTCGTTGAATTCGAAAAGATGCCGCTTCTCGCTTTCAAGTAGTTCCACAAAATGCTTTACTGTCAACCCATCGCGCACATCAAGACGCACGATCTTTGTGGAATCTGGCGAGAATTTGTAGGTGAGTTGGCTGACGACGAGGTTTCCTTTCGAGCCACCGCTAGTTATGGTACTGGGCACGGTATACGAGGGCGTCATGTCGACCTGGATGGATTCTGTTGAGCTGACGGTCATGTAAAAGGTCCAGTGATTGCCGCCTGATTCGAGGCGGGCATGGGCGACAGCGGAAATATGTAGCACGGGGAGTTCAAGGATCTCCGGCTTTTTGCTAGCGGGGACGAACTGGATGGGTTGGAAAATGGGCGCGGTGAAATTCATCCTGATACAGATGCTGATGGTTACGAGCACCATACGTGCTGGATTTCAGCTGAACTCCGTATCTCGCCTGCAAGGAGGGTTAATGGCCGCCCGGCATGAGCTGTAATGTTTCTCCGGCGGGGTGCATATGGTGCATATCTCGTATTGATACTTTGTGTGTGTCTTGTGCAACACACAATGCCTGCATAAATAGACAAAGCCGACCACGCTAAGCTCCGTTGCAATCCTTCTGAGACAGGCTGTTTTCGAGCAGAACCCTGGCGGTGGCTATGGTAGGTTTGAATGTCAATTCAATGGCAAATGCTTCGACATCATCTTACCTACCAGTAGCTCTCTTCCAGAACAGGATGCTTGACCCGTTGATCCTTAAAATTACCACAGGGCAGTCCGATCGTAGACCCGACCACTAGGAACCTACGCTTTTTTGAAGCATTATTCGACGGTGTCGTGCGGCTGGTACATAAGCCAACATGAAGGCATTCTACGATGCTGTGTCAATGATTCAAAAAAGTCAAGTTATGTAGTGAAGCTGTCGTGATGGACTTAAAACCAGTGCTTTCGGGGCTATTTATTCAGCGATACTCCATAAATAGAAACCGTCTGTGCCCAATAAGGCCACTCCAATTCTATTCAGAGTGTTGTTTACAGTTTACAGTGATTGAACGCAGCGGGTCCCGTCAGACTGGGCGAGTTAGGGCTTCCGCGGTCTGTCTCCACCCGTCCACCTACCACTGCCTTACCTAACAAAGCAACCACTTGATACCCTTCATCCGCCTTTGTTATACGCAGACAAGAAGCCCGAATAATGAGATTTGTAAAGAAGGTAGTTCTTCAGACTCTGGCGGAGAGCTCTGATGAAACGGTGTGGCTTTTCTTTTCATTGTTCATCAGAGACATTGTGGCCGTTGGATAAAGGAACTTTGTCCACTCAACCACAACAACAAAAGGCAGACTCCAAGGAATAGCTAAACTATGCTCACAAAGAGCGACTGGTCGCAGGGCTGGAGAGCTTGAGATAAATATGCCGGAAATCCCCCAGCTCAGATCTTCAAGTCTTCAAGCACTCCTCGGTTCAACGAACTCCCAAAGGTCGATTTGCCCTGCACATACATCATCTGTCAGAGTGGAAAGCAACTGCCCTCGTCTCGTATCTTAGCACGCCCTTTCCTTTGTGCTACACACAACCTAGCTTGGACCCGTCTCTGCCAAATCCTTCCCTTGTCGTCTCATCCTGCTCCATCTCGCCCGTCCCCCCATTCAGCTCCCTGCAGTGCAACTTCATTAGCTGAACTAGCTACTCGTCTGCTTACCCGCCGTCGTAACTCTCCCTCTGTACATCCTCCGCATCGAATTCGAACCGAGATGGGGTTTTCAATCTCCGAGACCCTCAACTTAAACGAACTCACCTTTTCTCACCGAGACCTTGCCATTATTGGCGACTACGCGGGCTGCATCTGGAAATGTATCAAGATTGCGATGAGAAAGCGTCCAAATACACGAGAAACTGCGCAGATGTGTCGACTCGTGCACGTTGATCTCTTTTGGGACAAGCTTTCCGACGAGCTGAAGAATGACCCAATGAATGTACCATGTGGGAGAGTGTCGGTTTTTCTACGAAACTGTCTTCGCGATATCGCAACCGTCAACCCCGAGGGACCATGGATTACCTTCGAGATGGCGGTATTTGTAATTGCCGTTTACACGATTCGGAACAAGGTATTCCATCGCGCCTTTGCTTCCGAAGACCCATACGAAAACCAGCGAATTACCCGCGGAGATATTCAGAGATTCAAGTGGACGACCTGGGTCTCTCCGGCTCATCAGACTACTGTGGAAGATATGATGAAAATGTACTCCAATGGACTGATTTGGAGGATGTCCAAGGATGAGAATCTGGCGAGGAAAGTGAGGGAAGGCCGCGGAAACTGATCAATGATTTCTCAGTCTGCCATCCGCGTGATTGGATGTTGGCCTGGTCAGCATGATGAGGAAGTACTGCGATGCGAAGAACTGAATAAATAGATGCCGCTCATAGGGCTTGGATCGGGAGCTGGAATCAACGGGATACGGATTTAGGGATACTGGCGAGCGCGGAGAACTGTCGGCATCTTGAAATCTTGAAGTTCTTGTTTTCAAGCTTTGATCAAGCTTTTGCAGTTAGGAAGATAGGTCTCATGTAGCATTTCATAGCGGATTATAGATGGCACTTTTCTCATTCTCACTTTTGCTACCTTGATTCCTTCAACCTTCATCCACTTTGGCATAACCTTATTCCTTCTTCTCTTTTCGTGTAAGATATCGGGCAAGGGAAATGTAATCATGACTAGGGCAACATCTGCCAACAGATTATTCCACTCTTTCTTTAGCTGCTACTTGTAGTATTCCATTCCAATCTGAGGAGAAACATGACCAGGCATAAGCCATGGGCTGCGGATGCTGCTTTTTGAATGGGCATGCGAGCATTGAAGCCTGGGAAAAGCTACATTGGCATCTGAGCAGCGAGAATTGTTACCAATCTTCGGAGTGCCGAAAATGGCTACTATTGATCTTTATTGTACCAGTGTAAAAAATCAATTGCACTAGGTATTGTTGAACAAGCAAGACAGCTCAGTAACTATTGCTTGGCGGATATGGTAATGACCAGTGCGACCAGATAGGGCGCGGTCAGTTCAGTCGATGGTACAGAAGCGCCAGAGTTATGCGAGGCAAGTCCTCCTTGTGTGAAAATAGATGCGATCAAAATCTTATTCTTGACAGACAAGTACTGAGCTAGTGAGGAAAGTGTTATCGATAGATCGGAGGTGGATATGATCGACGACTTAGGGCTTCTGCCGCATGATTCGCCATGTGACCTTAGGTACGGGAAATCAATGGTCTTGCTATTTATGCCAGTTCAGTCCGTGGAAAGATAAAGATAGAAACCAGCATACTTTCGGGGCTTGGACATTCAGTTCCGATGAAACGAGATGCTACTACTACTACTATTAATGAGAGACATTGTGGCTATGGTACAGAAAGGGCTTTGTGCAGCACCATGACGGGCAGGTTCAAAGGCAAGCTTGCGTGCACTCAAAGGGCTGGCTTAGCCATCCTCACCAAAAGCGGAAGCTCTCAGAGCGAGAAAGCCTGAGGAATTCATTAGCTTGAGGGAATATTCAGTATATGATGAAACAAACGTTCTGGAGCTCTGCAAGACCACCTAAAGCGTCCTGAGGGTAGATCCGACGGCCAAAGGGTGCACTGCTGTCATTGTTACTCAGAGACATTCTACGTTAAGCAACAAAAAGTCTTTACGCCCCCAACAAACTCTATACAGAGTGCTTAAAGGCACAATGAATACAGCGTCAAAGAGCTTTGCAAGCCCAAGCTCAGGTATAGCTGGAGGTCCAAGATAAATATCGCGGGAATCCCCCAGGCCATCGGTCATGTCCATCATCTTCTCCCATTCTCATCTTCAATCAGACGCCTCCTAGTTCCTTCGCGCTCATTTCGTCTCCTCTGTTTACTACTGTTTCTCTCCATCAATTTGTTTGAAAACCTCAATCGCTCCGACCTCTTCCCAAGTTCCAGACGAAACCACCCAGCATTCCACCTACAACCACAAATCTAGGGATTATGGCACCGGGTTTTGGAGGTTCGACGAGCGTCTATGGGTTTGATACCCAGGCAGAAGCTTCATTACCAGAAAGCAATTTCTCATCGTCCCAGTCAGACTCCGATTCATCTCAGGATAGCCAGTCATCGTCCCAGTCAGACTCCGATTCATCTCAGGATAGCCAGTCATCGTCCCAATCAGACTCCGATTCATCTCATGATAGCCAGTCATCGTCGCAATCAGACTCCGATTCATCGCAGGATAGTCAGTCATCGTCGCAATCAGACTCCGATTCATCGCAGGATAGTCAGTCACCTTCCGCATCCTCGGCGTCCGAGTCTTCGCAGGATGAACAGTCATCGCCCACATCTTCTGGATACTTTTCGATGTACTTCTCCTCCCATTGTCCTCCTTTCCTGGAGTTTTACATACTAACATTTGAATCACAGAGACCAGGATCCCGAACACACTCTTGCTAGACAGCAAAGTTACTCAGATCTACAGAGAATGGTTGATGAAAGCATCGGGGCGACCGAGCCCCTTGCTACCGCCGCTGCCGACGCTGAAGCAAAACTGCGAAAGGCAGTAGCCGATGTCAAAGATTGCCGTCTACCCTTCTTCGAAGCGCAGTTCATCGTTGAAAAGCTCGACACTCTCGAAAAGGTGACGAAGGAACGTGATCACGCCCATCAACTCGCCTTGATAGGGGACTATGTTGCGTCCATCTGGAACGCCGTGTGGCCAGTTATCAAACACAAGGTTAAAGATAGCTCGGTGGAGAATGTATGCCTCTACTGGAAGGAACTGAAAGCCGAAGAAGAAAACGGAGATCCATCAGATCGGTCCATGGAGCAGACCCTCGAAGAGTCGTTGTCGTTTATCTTGGAAAACGGCGGGCCAGCCCTTGAGTTGGATACTGTGAAACGGGCGATTGAACTCTACGCCGAACGGAATACCATGTTTCATGGTGAGCGAGCAGTCGATGCTAGTGGACCGGATACTGCTGAAATGGAGGAACTATGGTCTTTGGAAGAGCGGCAGGTGCTAAAACGGATTATCGACTTGAAGCCCGATGCGGCAAAATGGTGCAGTACCGTCCATCGCCGAGTTAGGCAAGCTGAAGGGGGCCCTGGGGCAGGATTTCGACAAGCAGGCAGGAAGATGGTGAAGAAAGCCATAGAAGTGGCAAGGATGTTGGCAGCCAAGGTGACAGTGAGATAAAATGGATTGAGGCCCAGGATTGCACTGTTCCCACCTAGCATTTCCATGCCCGAAGCCCGTTGTCTTTCTGACGTTGATTATGTATCTTCGCATGTGACGATAGACTTGATTAGATTTTGCTCTTGCTTGTGTGCTCTTAGATAGAATGCGTGAATCTTTTATAATACTTCACGAATGCCTCATTCCTTGAAGTTTAGCTATTGTTTGTGATCCAAGCAATTGAAGCAAACCAGCTAATTGCATTATACACAGCCTTTCCTTGGAGTAAGAGTGATTGATTTCTTCTACGATCGTAATACCTAATAGTCTGGTCCTGCCTATCCCGTACCATAGTCCTGGGCGACCTACATACTTTAGGATCTACGACTTGTAATAGAGATTGTCCGTCTTTGTATGTAAGTTCTACCTCCAGCGCGTTCATTATTCATTCTATCTGCCCTTTACCTGGCACATGATGAATATACATATTAAACATCCACGTCTGAGGACGCCGACGGCGGCGAAGACGAGGACAAGGATGAGGCGATGAATCCATGCAAACCCCAACAAGCAAGCAAAGACAACGTCGAGAATTTCCACAACATATCCGGATTCTGACAGCAGTTGTCAAGAGGACAACAATCCACCCCTTATTCACCACAATGTAATTCTCGGCTTATAACGCCCAGCCCGCTACTGTATCAGCAGCGGCTCTCTGACTGGCGCGAATGTTCTCGTCATGCTGATGTTCATGCGGGCCATCACGGTCCCGATATTCCTCGCTTTGTAGAGCACTCTGTCATTGAACTATTGTGAAAGTACTTCCGACAAGAGGAAAGTGGGGCCGATGCGGCGCAGATGCCTTCTATATTGCGGCGCAGGTCCTCCCTGGCTTAGTTGACACTTGACAGGCAGGGGTCTGGGATTTAGCCTCCAAGCAGTGGTTCGGGTTTGGTTGGAAGGGACATTTTCAACCCCACTGGGCGTGCGCTTAGGTATCTCGCCAGCCTCCAAATTCCCACCAAATACCTCGCTGATCGCACTCTCTGATCTCTCCGGCCTCTCACCTCTCACTTTCTCTTCTTCTCTAACGCCATAAAGGCTTCACCCAAACCAGGGTCAGAAAGCGAGCTCGGATACGAAAATCAACAACACTGGGGAGAAAATGGAAGCGGGCCAAGAATACTTGAAGCGAAGCAGTGCGCTCTCCTTCCCTTACTCTAACATACCATCCCGCCGTTGGCTGGTTCGGGAATATGGTGGAGTTAGCGTAGTCTTATTATATCCATGTGATTTATAATAGTATTATAATAATATAATAAGTAACTATAATATTATAGTATTCTTTAAAATTTATATATATAATTAATATAGGAAAATGCTAATAAAATATAATTAAACATGGGTTAAAAGTTTATGTACAATTTCCTCCAACGCGGGAACATAAAAACTTTATAAAAATTTTAACCACCCCTATTTTAATAACTATAAGGTTTTTTAAAACTAAAATAAGTAAAAATTAAAGGCTAAATATAAAGCTTTTACTTAAATTTTATATTATAATTTTATATATATTTTTAAAAAAAATTACCTAGTAAAGTCGCGACTAAGCTTTATATTTTTTAAATTATAATATATAATATAAAAAAACACTAAATAATTAATTAAAGTATTAAATTAAGGCCTTAAAGGGGTAAATTAATATATATTAGTTAATTAATTATTTAATATATATATTAACTTATATAAAAAATTTTAAATTTAAATTAAAAAGCCCTTGCCGCAGGGGTGCCTAAAATTTTTTTAATTTTAATTATAAAGCGCGTTTTTAAAAAATATTATATTAAAAAGTAAAAAGCTAAAAAAAATATTTTTAAGTAAAAATATTATAAAAAAAATAATTAATTTTTTAAAGTTATAATAAAAATATAAGGCCTAGCATACTTAATAATTTTTAAATAAATATTTAATTTAATAAAAGGCCTTTTATAAAGTTAAATTTATTTTTTAATATTAAAAAAGGCTTTAAAAAATTTAGTAAATTTAATATATTATAAAAAGCTTATATTATAAATAATATAGGCTTTAATCTAGCATAGTAATTAATTAAAATTAATAATTATAAAAAAAAACCTAAGGCTAAAAAATAAAAATACTTTATAAATAATTATATTTAGGTACTTAAAAATAGCCTTATTAAAAACTACACGCCTTAAACCATATTTTAATAAAATAATATAAAAATTTATATTATTTTAGTAACATAAAAATAATTTAAATCTTATAATATTTAAATAGTTAACTAGCCTTTATACTTACCTAATTTAAACCTTATAAAACATGTTTAAAATATATTAAAAAAATAACTTTTAAAGCTTTATTTTTTTTAAGGCAGGAAGGGCTAAGACTAACTAAAATAACTTTTATAAAATTATTTAAAAGGCATGGTGGTTTATATTTTAAAAGTTAATTAACTACTTAATTAACTTTATATCACGCAGGATTAAAGCGGTATATTAAGTAAAAAAATAATATATAAAGTATTAAATTCCACTTTATTTAAATATATTTAAAGGTTTTAATTCGTGATAATTATTAAATAATTTAATTTAAAGTACGCGGGTTAAACTATATATATTAGGTATATACAGACTTTTAACCCATTAGTTTACCTGCTAAAAATATATTATATATTATTTTAATTTAAAAATTTATTATAAATTATATTTTTAGTAATATATTAGCTAAGTGCAAGCTATATTTTTATATTTTTTATTTATTTTTAGCAAGAATATATAAATATACAGCTAAATATGCTTTTTAAGGGGGTGGTAATAAATTATAATAAATATATAATAGGATTTTTAATATATACTTTTTTAATTATAAATTTAGCTTATAAATATAAATCTTTTATTATTTTATTTTATTAAAAGGCTAGTTTGCCGGCTGCATCCTATTTATTTTATGTAAAAAAATAACCTAGGTAAAGAATATTAGCTTTAATAACTATTAAAAAAGGGAAAGAAATAAAGCTATAAATTAAAAAAAATAATATCCACCCTTAAAATACTTATAAAATAATAAAAGTTATTATAAAAAAAAGTTAAACTTAGTTACCGGGGCTAATATTTATATAATTAAAGGTATTATTACTTATAACCCTTTTTTAGTTTTAATTATTTTTTTGTTATTCTTATTTTTTAGCTTATTATTTTTATTATTTTTAAAATATTTTACTTTTACCCCGGCGTCGCGAGCGTAAGGTGTAAATAATATTAATTATTAAATATATAAAATTATTTAACTTTCTAGCTTATTTTACCTAGTAATAATAAACCCATAAGTATAAGTACTTATAAAAGTAAGTTTTATTATTATAGGAAGGTATATTTTAAGGTAATTTAAATTATATATATATATTTTTATATATAACTTTTAATTTATAAATAAACTAGGTAAAGTGCTAGTATAGTTATAGTAATATTAAATAATACTTATAAAAATTTATTATATTAAGTATTTTTTATATACCTTTATTTTTATAAAGGTTTTTAATATAAGTTAAACTAGGATAATACATAATTTAATTATATATATAATAGTTAAGGTATTAAATTATATATAATAATATAAAGTATTTTATAACTATTACTTTTACTAATATAAAATATATAAAATAAATAGTTTATAAAAGTTAAACTAGATTATCTAGTATAATAAATTTATTTAAAAAAATATAATATATTATTCTTGGGATTAGCTAGCTAAAAAAAATATTAATATTAAATATTAATATTAATAAAGGCTTTTATAAAGCTAAATAAATATAAAAAAATATATTAACCTTATTATTTTATTTTTTAAAATTATACTTTATTATAAAATTTTAATTACTAGTATTTAAAAAAAATCTGGGTTATTTAAGGGGCCAGTAGCTTTATAATTAATAATAGCTAAAAAAAACTTAAAAGTAGTATTAAATAATATAGTATTAAACTAGCAAAAAAAGGTAGTAATTAATAAAAAAATTTATGCTTTAGGTAAAAATAATGCTAGTATTACCTTTTTAATTAAAAAAGTTTCTTTAAGTTTAATTAGTAATAATATTTTTTTAAGCTTAACTAGTGGTAGTGTCTCTTTAATAACACTAGGTGGTTATTTAGGGGAAAATATTAATATATTATAAGTTAAAGGCATGGTTGCTATTATTTAAAAAAAGAAAAATAGATTATTATAAAAAAAGTATTTTAATAAATATAGGTGGTTATTTTTAAAAAACAAAGCTGGAGGCAGATGTGTTAAAATAAAAAAAAATAGGTAAATTATAAAAACTAAAGGTAAATAAAAAATACTATAGTATTTTAATTTAAGGTAGCTAAATTTTTATTACTAAATATAAGTTTCCTAGATTTACTATAAGTAAATTTTATAATTATAAACTAGCTTTTTATTATAAATAAATATATTATAAAAGTTAGAATTAATAAATAAACGCAGATATTATGTTTAGTCTGGAGGTATTTAATTTATATAGGTATATAGCTTAAAATAATAAGTATTTATTAACCTAATGCTAATCCTGTTTTAATATTATATAATATTATTAAACACTAATAATTAAAGCAAGCTTAAGGAAATTATCACGCAGATATATTATAATATAAAAAAATATTAGTAATAGTAGTAGCAGCATAATTTATAATAATAAAAAAAAATAAAAAATATATTGTAGTATTTCTTAATTATTAGTTTTAATATTTTTTTTAAAAGGGTAATTAAAAAATATTTTATTATTAGGGGTAGGATATCTTTCCGCTTTTATTTTTTATTAAGCTGTTTACTAAATAGTAGCTTTTTAAAATAACTTTTATTTAAATTAATATATTTTTTATTTATTACTAGGTAATTTTAAAAGTTTAGTTACTAATATTATATAAATTATTATATAGCTTTATTTTTATAGCTAAATATATATAAATATTTAAATAATAATTAGTTTATATATAGGATGGGACAGT